GGTATTATGAATTGTCACTTTTGTGTGTTCTTAACTCAAACAGTCCATTCTCTAGAAAAAGTATGTTTTAGGGATTTCTCATTTGTCTACTATACAATCAAGTGAAGGACTATGTGTTGTAGCCACAAGAACTAACTCTAGTTTAACCCTTCTGTCACAAAGAGTCTCTGATTATAAAGCAAACCTTTACATCTCAGCTGAGAAAGGGAAACTCCCCTGTACAGAATTACTGATCACCAGCTCACCAACTACCAAACAACGTTATTGTCTCCTATTAACTGCTAGGGAATTAACTACTCTAGTATCTTTTCAGTGTCCTGAGATCTCGTCAATTAAGTGGAAGGAAAAGCTCAATTAGGAGAAGCATAAGGCTGCATTGCAGTTGTGCAGACCACTACTAAAAGGTCTTCAGTATTCTGGGATATATGTAGAGAGCTAAACCACTGCACTGTGTAACATTAAAGGCCTAGCAAATACCCATTTTACATTTTACTTTACTAGTAAGTCCTTGAGACTGAAAGGCCACGGCTGACCTGCTAGTCAACAGGAGGCAATGCTGCTAAACACATTTGGAAACACAGATGTAAATCCTGAACACTCATGCCCAGAGTTTATTTGATCTTGGTAACAGTATAAATAACCTAGGTAATTAACAAACGAAGAAAAGCATTGGACTTAATGGAAATGTTTCCTTTAATAGATTATGGCAGGAGCAAGACAAAACCCCCTAACACCAACAGAAGACACATCATCAAGAATACCTACCTCATTTATTTAATATTTGGTAGCAACTTAAGACTGAATCCATTTTTTCCTGGAACATCTTAACTCACTAGAGAATACCCAAAATTACGAAAGCACTGGAAGGACCGTGCAGGCACTATCAAAATGCTAAGATGAGCCATGAATTGACATACCGGTAAGAACAGGAGTGCATACTGGAAACCCTTTCCTTGAACGATCAAAATACACTTTTGGCAGAGGTTTCTGAGCAAATCTTTCTTAGTAAAGTAATTTTCATATAGATGCTAAACACAGGACATAGGAAGAACACCACAGGTGACTCAGAGGAAATCCTTCACCAACTCACTTGTAACCTTTTACGTTGATAGGGATATTTCCCTTACTATGCTAAACTCAGCCAGCAGATAGTATCAAGCCATTTATACCTTCATATTTGCATATGGCATGTAAAGCCAAGTGTATTCCAAATTAAAATCCTGATTCCGAAATATGATGACTTCATCATCCTGGAAAGTTTCCAGATGAAAGGAAGCGCAAGATAGAGGAAGCAGCTGAAGCCTCATTCATATCTCAAACCCCAAAAGGTTTCTTATAGTATATCCTGGGTTTGACTGCTGCTGCTCTGCAGGAAATAGTTCTTAGCAATTCAGCTCCATTGACTTTATCTCTTCTGGAGTGGAAGTGATGTATTGCTGGCTAGAATGGATAGTTAGGTGACAACAGCTTGATAAAAAGAGACAGTTGTCTGTACATGCTGCTCTGCAATGCTCGTTTCCCTTCTTCATTTTTAAAGGATCAGCATTCATCTTTCAGTACAAACAACTTGCTACTAAGTCTAAAAAGCATGAGGAAAATATATGAATAAACCACCATAATAGGCATGCAAGCCATCTAATCTTGTTTAAGGGGAAAAAAACGCAGTGATGTGAGAGAAGGTAAAAGGAGAAATAGAATGTTCTTTGCAATTCTGGATTTTGCTAGAACTTGTGCCTCACAAAACAAGCAGAGAAAATAACCTGAGATTGACAGTTCACATACAACACTTAACACAGGTCAGAAACAACTGTGGTGTTTTTTTTGTTTTGTTTTGTTTTGTTTTTGGTAAGGTCAAAAACAATTGACCTTGAGGTCACAAAGAACAGAATCTTGTACTTTATCCACTTAATTATCCCATTTGCTTCACATGAAAGTGTTGAAAATATCAGTGCATAAATCTACTTGGAAAGATTGTTACTTGGGTAAAATAACACCTTCAGAAAGAGAGCTTGATAATGAACTAAAGTTAGTACTCTAGAACAATTCCAATTTAAGAACACTGCTACCCCCCATATAAACCTAAAAGGACAACACAATTCTAGGAGATGGTTTCAGTAATATACATAAATCACTGGTAACTACATTAAGTTCTTAAGCAATTTTAAGGAGATGCTAACCAGCTGATCAACTAAAACACAAACAGAAAAAACCCTTTTAGCATTGCTGACCAGTGCAGACTATAAACACAGTACTTAACCAGACTTGGTATTATTCACCAGTACCAACAAGAGCAATCAAACCTCCTAGGACTTTGCTTTTTTTTTGCAGATATACTTATCATGGTATTTTGCAGATTTCTTCCTCTCTGCATTAAAGAAATATGCAATTTCATAATTAAGTTTAACTTGAGTCATAAAAATTCCAGTAGCCTAATATTAAAGAATTATGCACTCCGATCCGAACTCTGATGGCTAATTTACTTACTGCAAGGTCTGTGAAATTAATTCATTAAGCTACTTAAATAATGAGGGTAAGAGGTCAACTTACAGCAACAAACTCAATAGATCTTAGATGAGTAAGTCACAAGATAGCCTGTTTCAGATGCCCTGCCTCCTACTTATTCCTTCTTGCTACGCTGGTATGGGATATACAGCACAAGTGAAAAGGTCCAGCAGGCAGAAGTTGCTCAGCATCTGGCTGAGGTGAACTGAATTATCAAACAAAAAACAGTAGTGACGTGGTGAGAAAACAGGTAATGCCATTACAACTAAGTCCAATCATAAAGACAAAACAGAGCTAAGTAAGACAAAAAGTAGAGGTAAATGAAAGCAAAATTTGAAACTACTTTTCTAAAATAGGAAAAAGAATTATATTAGATGACATCAGGTAAAAGTTGCTAAACAACGCAATAGTTCCTATATGCTAGAAATAATTAAAATGCACTTGCACTCAAAATAAGAGAAAAAAAATGCAGTAAGATGGATTCTGTTTAACCTGTATCCCTCCGCCTGCATTTCCTAAATTTCAATGTATGAGACAGGTAACCAAACTTAGGGCTATCACTCACATGCCAGGGGGTTAGAACAAAAAATTAATTCCTGAATAGTCAGCTACTGCCGTGCATACTTAGCATGTTTTTTTTGTGTGTCGCATTCCCCCCAGTTACCTAATATAACTACTACAGGCAGACAAAACCAAACCAAAAAATGTACCTACAACCCTTTGTAACATACTGTACCACTGTTTTATCAGCATTTTCCTGTTACCACAACTTCTCCCTTCTCCTGCCACCCGTTTAATTTGTTCTGAGCACTTGCTATTTAAAAAGTAGAAGTATCTTTCAAATCACAAATTATAATTGCATCCAAACAACCCAATAATGTATTTGCCAAATACTTAAGAAGTCAATAATTTGTAGTGGAATTAGGATTAGTTTTTAAGTCCGGAAGTGATGGTATCAATTCTGAATCGTTTAAATATTAGTTTACAAATATTGCTTATAGCTTAATAGCATCATAGATGTAACTTCACAAAGATATTGGCTCTAGACAGTAATTATATCCTCAGCCTAATGTTGCAGTTAATGGACATACACATTTCAATGATAATTGCGATGCCTGAACATGATAATGTGCCTTTATTAGCAGCTACGAAATAAAGCTCAGTTACAGCCAACTGCAGAACTCAACTGTGCTAATTATTTATTTTTAAGATTGCCTGATTTGTGTTACAAAATTATAAAATAAAAAAGCACAGCACTTTACTGAACCCAATCCTTTAATTGCAAGTATGTGATTAACTAATGACTACATAAAGGTTCATTCAGGTTGTAAGATGTCATGAGCAACGAGCTAAAAGCTAACAAGTTAGTAAGATAAATGCATAGGTAACCAAACAGCAAGAACACAGCAGTTAAAAAAAAGAAAAAAAAAAACAACTTTAAGAATTTAAATATTTTAAATGGCATCAGAAAATGGAGGAGGAAGACTAGGAGTACATATATATATATTTTAATTTGGGAAAACAGAGAACAAAACATTAAGATAACACGCAAACATAGAGGAGAAAGTGTAGTATAGTCCAAGAAGAAAACCATATTGACTCCTGCATAAAACAACCAAGTAAAAAGAAAACGACACAACTGAAGATATGTAAATAAAGAATACTTTACTACTTAACCTGATGAGGAAACTCAGAGTTTATGACTCTGCAAAGTCCTTAATATTTGTCTTTATGTCTTGATTGATTCTTTCCTAAACAGAATTTCAAAATTATAAATAAATTCAATGAAGCAATTCCTAAAAATAGTTAAACAATAGGGACAGTATATTGTGAATTAAAGACTGCCAAGGCGTTATAAATAAAAACTGTTGCATTAAAATGTCTTAGATTATGGTTTAGTCCTTTTTACTTTTTCTTATTTTTATTTTAATGAACAGAAGAGCAAATAATTAGGCAATAAGTATTTAAACAATCTTACAAAGTATGAGATTTCTTCAATGGAAATCCAATTATTTTTCACACAAAGCAAGAAGGTTGTCAGAGCAAGACACAACCCAAAATAACTGTGCATTTTTAGAAGCAATGAACCCATTAACCTAGCTAGTCCCATTTTTGGACAATTAAGTTGAAATATTAGTCCAGGAATATTGCTTGAAAGTTCTTTCCACTCACGAAGGACGTGGTCTGTGCAGAAAACTAATATTTTAGTTACTCAACTTTAAAGCTAACATTGTTTAGAAGAAAAGGTTTACAAAAATGTCATGAATAAAATTTCTTAGGTGGGATGTTTGTACCTGTTCTACACATTTTGAAAAATCCTGCAATATTCTGATCACCCACCACCATGCCATCTAGTTTGGTTCCTGCAGCAGCAGTTATGTTCTATTTCATTCTGCAAGGAGCACTACCTGAATTTGGAGGCTTTTATGACCAGTGCAATGTAGCATTTCCTTCACATCATTTATCTAAAAAAAAGAAAACAAACAAAAAATACCCACCATCCCTGTTGTGCCTGATAAAACCAACCACGTCCTACTTGTGACATTCTTGTCCTGCATATATAGCTTTACAGCTACATGCTGCCTCAAAAGAAAAAGGATTTTGCAGCAGATGTTGAAGTTTTTCATCAGTACCAGATAGATCCAAGCTCCACTGAAGCCAATTCCCACTTGGCTTTCCTGTAGGACCTGCAAGGAGATTGGATCCAACACTAGAGGAAGAGGATCACGCTGCCCCACAAACAGCGGGGTAGCTGTGGAACAAGAACATGAGGTTTAGCCCAATGACATGAAAAACATCAGAGACAATACTTTTCTTCTGAAACAACCATTCTGTATTGTTCTTAAAATATGCCACAGAAATAAGTTGTACCCAATTCTCACTACAATGCTTCCTTAACAAACTCTAAATGTTAAACTTAAATGAGAGGCATTTCATGCAATCTGAAAAATATTCAGTTCAATTAAAAATAATTGATGCATGGTGAAATAATTCTTCCCAAAGCTGCTGTAAAATCTTCAAAAAATAAAGCTACTTAATAATTTTCATCTCCTACAGGCTAGAGAGAAGCATTATTGCATATTAAAAATTGGAGTGTGGTTTTCCCAGAGGTAAAAGAAAGTTATTAAAACAACCTATTTATTGTTGATATAACTATCCATTTGTGCTACACAAAAAGTAACAATTTCAGTACATTAAAAGAAAAGCTAATTAAGGCATAATTAGTATTTTCTATATTTTGATAATTAAGGGTTAGTTGGCTATTTCTTTTCAAATTCCTATTTGATGTACCCCAACAATGCCTTTAATGAGCAGCTAACACTATTGAATCCCTGATGGCTGAGGAGTTTAGTGACCACTACTACATTACTTTCATTTATCACTGCCTCTTTACCTATAAATTAAAGTAGCCCTGTAGCTATGTTGATCTACTTTATATCAATTTCTTCATCCATATCAGCTGAATATGTATGGCATTAACCTCATTTACTAGTTTGGAAAAGCTGAATTAAAATGAGATCTAATTTCTAGTGCACAGAACAATTTCAAAACTGCCTGCTAATTTCCACCACCTGTCAGTGTTGTGATCTTCACCTCATTGTAATGAAATAAAACAGTATATATATTTTACAGCTCAGAAGAGGATAATCATTCATAAGTGTTAAGATATCATTAATCATGAAGACACTAGGACCCAGAATCTTTTATGAGATGCACCACGATCCAACACCTTCACTTGCAAAGGTCCCCACTAAAATCAGTGGGATTCCTGCAGATCTCTGAGTCTTAGCATGTGCAGGGTGAAAGCAGTCAAAGCCTTCTAGCTATGTTTTTTTGGTTTTGGCTTATTTTTTTCTTGTTGTTTGGTGGCATTTTTTTTTTTTTTTTTTTGGCTAGGTCATGCTTCTGTGGCTGCAGGCAATGTAATCAAATATACATATACTGAAGAAATAGCAAACTAACATAAGTCAACAGCATACACATTACACATTAGAAGACAAACCTCTGTTCAGAGCTTAGATGATACGTGGTTACACATGTTTTTTGCTTTCAGCTACTGCAAATAACATAGCAAGGAAATGATATTTTTCCTCTCCTCTAAACACACTGCAGTCTAAATTCTAAACCCTCCGGATATTTTTTTTTAATCATAATGCAGATCTACCTCGCATGTCAAGTCTATAATTTAAAAGCTTTAAAAACACATTCAGATGTGATCCTAAATGTTAATGCAGTAACATATTTATACTAACCACATAAGCAAAAAAAAAAAAAAAAAAGTACAGGATAGAGTAAGAAATTCCATTTGCATCCCCCATCCCCTTGAAAATCATGCTTCAGCTTGTATTTGTAAAGGCTCCTTATGAAACATTAATCCACTTTCCTGTCCTTGTTTACTCTCACCTGCCCTAGCATAAAAAACAGACCTGATTCCACAGATTGCTCATCTGATGCACCTGAAGATGACGACATCCACATCTCTTCATCTGTACATGGGGTTGTTTCCCGGAAGCAGAAGAGTCAGAACTATAACTCCTACTCTTCTGCCTTGGGTCCCTTTCACTTTTATTTAAGGCCGGAGCAAAGCAAAAGCATGGCTTGCTGGAACCCCCAGTGATCTTCACTTCTACAGGTAGCCCTCAAACTACTGCCACCTGGTAGGTTAAAATTACCGCCAGAACACTCAAAACACAGTAGGGCTACTGTTTGATTAGAATGAGCAGAACAACAACAAAAAAATTGCTTTGTGGTGGAGCAAAAAAGTTACCTGAACACATTTAAATGTTAAACTATTTAAGGAAATACCAGTAAGTTATTTTTCACATACAAAACAAACCTCAAACTTGCAAGCTTTACTATTCTGATTAGTATCATGGGTGAGATTTTCAACAAACTGCTTTGCTTATAAAAGCTGAAAAAACAACTTCAGCAGTCATCTGTAACCAGGCTCTGCTGAAGAGCACAGCTCAGTCTAAAACATTTGCTAGTACTAACGTTATTTTCACACCTTCCAGTTTTACCTCTACATTTCAGGAATGGCAACGGTAAACTAAAGGGATAAATCTAGTTAAATAGCGCCACATGCTGTAGAAAGCACACATGACAAGTGCAAAATTAAGGAAGATGAAATTCGTAAGTCTGTTAGAATGCAAGGAAAAAGACAGTGTGAGATGATCTACAGCTCTACATCCTAATTCTAAAGCCTATGTAATATTTATTATACAAATAATAAACAAATTTGTTATGTAGAATCGCTATAATAATCTAAACATTTTATTTTACTTTTTACCATCTGAAAGCATTCACACCAAACCTGAAGATGCAAAGGAACTAGCAGTAAGAACTTTATTTCTGTATGTATATTTCAAGAGCACACTGCAGGAGCAACTCTTAAGTGTACCTTGAAAGAATTCTTCAACCAGAACAATCTTTGGAATAACGTTGTTATAAGCTGCACAGATACCAAAAGCTGAACAGCACGCTGCTAGAAGTCATGACTCCTAGGCCCAGGACTCCAGATTATGCAGACTCCTTAGCATTAAACTAAACTTCAAGTTAAGAAATTTTAGTAATTATCTTCAATTTGAAGTGAAATATTAACCAGCAAAACTTATCCATCAAGTTACACTTGGATCTACTCTTGGCAATGGCACGCTACCAGTTGGTCACAGCACCAAATGTGACCCCCCCAGTGCCATGACCCACCCCTCCCCAGGAGGGGGTTCCCACCAGATGCAGTTTCAACCACTCTAGGGAAGGTTATGGACCCCTCCCAGTGCCTGCCTCTCTTGTTGGAAAAGGAGGCAGGCTCTCCATGTTCAGAGATACTGTAATACCTGTCACCCTTATTACTCATATTATTTCTTCATTCAGATAGACCATAAGGAATTATCGGGAACATACTGGGCTAAAATAAAAACCTGACATAACAGAAAAAAATGCGTATCAGTGGTTGATCAACATAATGCACAATACACAGGACTTATTTTCCCCCTAAGCATGCTTTATTGGCTAAGCCACAGCACACTACCGCAGCCATTTATAATAGTCTTATCACAAAATGTGAGATTAGACCAAAGCAGGACTTCTCATTTATTCTGTTCTTCATGGAAGAATGAATTAGGTACACCTAGACTAAATCAAAAGTCCCCAAATCATCCTGGTAGCCTTCATCAACACCCTGCTACTGCTATAATTAAAAAGCTTTCCTGAAATCTTATTAAGCCTACTACCTCACCTTTCCCTTCAAGGACACTGAGAGCATCTATTCACCAGGATTCACCAGGATTTAGAAAACAACCCTTCATGTGTCCTTGACTTGTGTCCTACCCCAAAATTCTTTGCTAAAGGAAACCAAGGCAGCTGGTTCTATACAGATAAGAAGATAATTTTATATAACTTATTTCTGTTGTCATACTCGCCCATTTGTCTACATTTTTATCAAAAGCACGGTGCCCACAACTGGACACGCTGCAGGTGAAGCCCCAGCAGAATCAAACAAAACTGAGTAAGAACCTCCAGCTCCTGACATAACATCCTACTACTACATCCACAAAGAGGTATTTTCTTCTGTGCAAAAGCAACACACACTGCTGAGTAACCCTGCCTGTAAAACACTCATCTCCACAGCATTATGTGAAATAATGATGCCTGGTCAGAGAGTTGCCACTGCTAGTCATAAGCCTAAATTTTCATTCCTAAGCATGGCATTTGATCAGCATTTTCAACTTTCAGGCTAGTTCTGCAGCTTACGAAGGTCCTTCTGAATCCCAATCCTGTCCTATGTGGTTATATTTCTTCCCAGCCTAGTGCCAGTTACAAATGTAAATAAATAATTGTACAGTTGTTCATGCGTTAACCATACCACAGAAGAAAAGAGTCATTCAAATTCATGTTTTCTTTAATTAGTAATGTGTTGGATGTCGGGAGGCAGATTTCAGTGCAGTATTACACAACTTACCCTAGTGGCTTACAGAGGCACGTTAATGACAAAGCTGCCACTGTTTTGTAGGTAACTACTAGAAGATGAAACTATAGTTTCAGTACAGCACAACAAAGTGCTTTTCCAGACAACTTATTTTCTACTACCCTGCCAGCATCTAAATCAGCAATATGCCACAAAAAGATCATTCTACATCAGCATTAAAACAAAATATATCTTGGTAGACAGACAGATATCAATAGTGCTATACAGTACCAAACAATCCTGTCTCGTATTTAACATAAATATAATATATATATTCATTCACTGCTCTATCTAATTCAAAAGATGGTATCTTGATGTATTATTTTTGTATTGGAAATATAACGGTACCTAAAGTATATTACAATATTACAGAAGATATCTCCAAGGTTTTTCTATTCTTCCTTAGACAGCAAGCCCCAGTGGACTGTTTAGTAAGTAGGCATTTACATGTATTTACCTAGCCAATTTTCCTTCTATAATGAGTTTGCTTTTATAATATGCACACATTTAAAAATTAGTTAATTAATGAACAAAATTAATATATTTATATGACTTGTTCTACAATTTCATTCAACCTTCTGTAACCATTGTGTGCTTTTCTGTATGCAAGCATACGATCAAATAGAGAAATACCTCTAAAAATTATTTTAACATGGCTGAAGCAAGCAAAATTTCCATTATCCATTCTGTAAATAAAAACATTCAAGCAATCCCGAATATTTATATAAATGTGCATTAACTTAGTCGTTTGATATACGTCTAATTTTTCTGCTTCCAAGTGTGAGCCTTTTTATTGCATATTTGTAGATACCTGCCAGCAAGACAGAGTATCAGAGGATTTACAACTGTGAGGGTAGAATGCCATCTGCTGCTACACTTGCTGTTACAGCAGGATAAAACCAGAAGAATCATCATACAAGTGCTGCCTTCTGTTGCTTTCTTAGCCATAAAATATATACAAACGTTTTGTTATACTAAAAATTAAACAAAAAACCCACAATATTTACAGTTTTTGTTGTATGATCAGTTAAAAATCATGGGATGGGAACCACAGGATTCTATGAATGCAAATGAGAGGCTGTTTTATCAGACCTACTAGAGCAAACCAAAGAAAAAGAAAGTGTAATTTGACTGCACAATAAATTATGCTGGTAGACATTGTAATCAAACTACAAAAAAAAAAACAAAACATTTTGAAAATGCATTTGTATGAACTAAGCAGTTGCTAGACTGGATCTATTTAGAAACACCCCTTGAACTGTTATGCATCTTTGCGAATTTTTTACTTTCCCAGGCTGGTCATATTCAAGACGTAAGTCGTAACCAAAGGCAGAAAACAGAACATTGCCAGTTTGATTCATGTCCACTTATGGAATGGGGGAAAAAACAACAGAACTACCACCAAAAAAATGTTTTCTTGAATTCAACCTTCTTTTCTCCCATGTCAGGAAGGGTTCATTCTTTCTGATCTAAGTGCTCGTCTGTAAATCAGATGGAAACATTAGCTAGCATTTTACTCAATTATTTTCTCAGCATTTAACTTAGTAATTACTCAGCATTTAACCTTCCTCACACAATGCAGTCACAGAGGCGGTCTTGCGGTCATTCAAAACACATAAATTCCTATGTCCAGAACTCTGGTGCGGCTGGCAAACAATCAACTATTGCTTTTTTTTTTTTTCCTCTTGAGAAGGGAGCTCCAGGTGTGCAATGCTTCACCCACACTCCAATTCTGCTTCCAGCCTTGCCTAATGAAGGCTGTGATGCCTAGGTATTCAATCTCCTCTAACACTCTGTTACAGCATGCTATACATTGACTTCACTTCTCCACACAGTTAGCATCCCAGTCAGTCAGACTACAAAAAGACGAAATCAAAACCCTCAAAACCGATCAAAACTGGACAGAAAGACAAAATCATCTGGGAATTAGAGATGAGAATAACAACTACTTTGCCTCTGAATTGCCATCAGTAGGAGTTTTCCTAGTGAAAATAGCAGGAGCATGAGTACATTTGCACTCCGTACCTTCTGTTACTTAGCATTACAACACTGCACCATATTTAAAAATAACAAATCAGCTCTGACAATCGAAATAACACATTGCTTTTATGAAAAAGTAATTCCATATAGTGCAAAACTTTATTTTTAATTTTAAGTGAGAAACCATTCAATAAAGTTAAAGTACAGTTCAAACCTGAAGGAATAAAAGAATCCTTGAGATCGGGACTGTAGTACAGAAGTAAAAACAGATCTCAGTCACTGTCACAATTCTTGCTAAAGATTTGCTTGGGGCTCCAACCCAATTCTCTCGGTTTTTCTCAAGATCAATTGATCTCATCTTACTGACATTCTCTTTATAACATCTATATTATGACTGTCCCCTACAGTTAAGGTGAATTAACTGCTGCTTCTTCAAAAATGCATCTTACTTTTTCCTCTTCCCTATTTAAAATGCAGAAAAGCCAAGTAATGAGAGAAATACAGTGGAAACCACATAAATGAGTAACTGTCAAAAGAACAGAACTATTAAAAGAATAAATCTTGTGTACCCAGCTGTGAAATATAACACAATATAGCAGAACCCAGCTAAATGTTTGAAATAAAAAATTGAAATGCAAAGTAACCTAAAATTGTTTAATGAACATAGCTGTTAAAATATTAACTCCTTGCATGCTGAAACTCAAGAGCATACATGATAAGGCAGCTTGCTCAGATGAGCATCACACCAGTAAGTTACCTACCTATCCACCTGTCCAATCAACCACCAGCTAAGCTTCACAGTTTATAAATGCAAGATATATTGGCAGGTCCATTGCTGCACAGGCTTTTCTGTTTCAATTTGCATGGTTTACAGTAAATGTTTACCTTTGAGGTGTGCTGAAGCTGGTCCCCCACATAGGTTTTGCGAAACTGATCCAAGAACCACAGAATTGCCAGTTCTACTTTTTCATTACTAGACTGTGGTAACTGGGCATCCATCAAAGATATGAGCTGAAAAACTCTTTAATGACAGAAAAAAGACATTTTCAGGAAAACTCTCACGTTAAATGATATTGTAACAGCTAATTTCTTCAGGAACCCATCACCCATTTTTTGTTTGCCTAAGTATCTTCTAGGATTGTGTTCTGTTTAGATGCTAATTATGCTAATTGACCACTATTAAATATAAACATAACCATAATGCTTTTCTAATTACTTTGTCGCTTAAATTTTCTCAGATGCATATGTTATTCTGTGGAGAGTTTGTAAAATATTTAATTTCTTAGAGCATTAATTCCACACTGAAAGAAAAATATTGAGAAGCACAGGTCACAAACTGCAAATGCTAGACAAGAGTTGTTCAAGTTCCCTGGAAGCTGAAACTATTGTATTTAGAAATACATTTATACATGCAGTATGTAACACACTGTCTGCATCATTTCTTTCTACTTCTGTCTCTCTTAAAACATCAGAACAAACACGTATTTTCTGATCGAAATCCTTACACAGTACATGTCTTCTTACTAGGACTGATTTCAAAGAATTGACTTCAGCTTTTATCAGCTAAGAGTATTTCAGCTTTTTTAATTTATTTTTTTTAAGTCATAAAATTATTCTCACCTTTTCCCAATGCTGAAATACATAGTAACTCGATTAGAAGTCAACAGCTACTTCATCTCTAAGCCTGTATATTAAAACCTCTCACTATTAATAAAAACATAGTAGAAGACTGCTAACACCACACAGCCCCAGGGTAGATTAGGAAGGCAAGAAACAAAGGAGAAAATGTAAAGCTTTTTATCCAATTCTAAACTGTGTGCCCTTTTTCATGTGTTAGCTAGTGGGTGTAAATACCAGGATCAAAGATGCATGCCCTATTTCACATGCTCCTGGGCATAAACAAGGATTAAGGAAGTGTTTGGTACATTCTTGGTGTTTACCACAAAGAATATATCCAATTCACAGTAATCCTTAGCACACCCCTCACAGTAAAGTTTGCATGATGGGGAGGGACTACAGCACCCGTATTTTTTAAATCCAGAGCCTCATTTTTTATTCTGAATTCCAGTATTAAAGTTAGCCCAAGTTTTCAGTGGTTGACCAGCAGCAGGTTGACCAGAAGGAGTTTCTTTGCACTCCTTCACTTGCAAGACTCCTGATTAACATGAGGAAATAGTGCAGAAAATAATAAATAACCATACCTTACAATTAAATATTTAAATACAAGCATAGCACAAACATGAGAACAGTTAGCTACCCAGGCATATCTAAACACTGTTTATAGTAAGAGATGTATTTGCCTTTAAACCTCTTCCATTCTCTGAAGCATCATTTTGAAATGATGGCCTTAATGACTTCTTAATGACCCAGGATGATGACAGAGGAAAGATCAATGCAATTGGAATGGTCTCAGTCCACAGAAAGTCATACAGTTCCTGAACACCCACCATCCAAAAACTGGACAAAGTATCAGCTGACTACTGAAACATCAAAAAAAAAAAAAAAAAAAAAAGCAACACTTACCGACAGGACAATTCTCCATCCATGGCATCATGTTCATCAGTACTAGTGTATGTCAATCGTCCCCCCACAAAAGTACCCACAAAATAGACAAGCCATGCCAGACGTCCTAATGTTAAAAAGAAAAAAAGAACAGTTACTGATGTTAAGCCATTATGCTAGCATAATACGCTTCCATAAGGTATCAGCACTTTTATGAGGTATCAGACTGTGGAATGCTGTCAAGAAAATGTTTAAGTTTCTCCCTTCCACTGATTAAAAACCTATCCAGACAAATTAATTAACAAAAAAAATCTGAAGAGAACTGACAGATCAACTAGAACAGCCTGCTAAACTGGACACATTTATAAACAAAACACAAAGACCTAAGTCAAAATAGAAATTAAGCAAACCAGCCTGATAAAGATTAGACATGCAATTAATCCAGTATATTCATTTGCCTACTACAAATTCACAGGATAGAACACTTTTATCTACAGTGGTGCAACAGCATCTGCTCATGGCATTAGGAACTGGTTGAGACTTTCTACAGTTTGCTTAGTTTCTTATTTCTATTTCAAATAAAGAATTTATTTTAATATTCAACTAATAATACCAATTTTGAAATTGAAAAACAGTTTGCACAAAAGACTTTTTTTCTGTCATACATATTCTTCAAGAAGAGAATCTGTAAACTACCATTAGTTTTCAAAGTCTCAGTGGGCTCTTTCCTAACTTTGAAAGACAGAGGTCATACATTTCAAGCTATGTCATCATTCCTTCTGATCTTGCAGATTATTTAGTTGTCAGTTTCCACTAAGGCACCAATGGATCCCAGCAGGGTATCTTAAGGGTAGAGTACAACGTAAGGATCATGTCTGTAAAGCTTAGTTCCTGCAAACTCAAGGAGTTATTTGTATTTCATGTATTTTGTACAGACTTTTAAATACTGAAATCTGGCTTTATAAAATATGGAACTCAAGTTTACAGACACTCAACTCAGAATTAGTTTGGCCTCTCTCTGCTAGTCACTCACCACCCCACTGCAAACCTGGATTATTTTAATCTCTTTGGCACATTATGGTGTGATACCTTTCATCTTTGACCTACCACTACCTAACCGAGCCATGCAGATTCCAGCCTCAGATTTCTAAGCTGTGAATCCAGTAAGTAATGGTATCCTCTCTCAGCAAAGATGCAGTGTTTCTCCTAAAGCAGTATCAAAACTAAGACTCAAATACCAACGTAACATATAGACCTGCACAAACTTCATGATGCCCCTAAGGGCTCCTTCCTCAACACACGGAGACTACAGAACAGTAAAGCCACTTTTAGACTCCACCTTCATTTGGCAAAAAGTACTTTGTAATAAATTCAATTGAAATTGAAAACAACAACAGTGAAGACAAGTGAAACAAAACAGCTTCCATGCAAGTTAAATCAAGTTACAAACAAGGGTTTGCAATAACTGGGAGATTTACATAAGCTAGATGTCTTACCCTCATCACTAGGACTTTACCAAGTGATGACAGCATAACTTACAAGAGTGAAGCCAGTACACACAGATGAATAAAGTGTCTTCAGAACACAGTTTGAAGTTTAGCATAAAGAAAAGACTACAGATAAGCAAATGTGGTCACATTACAACTTTAAAACATTCTATTTTGAGTACTTCTATGCACATATGGGGACTGCTACATGCAGAGCATTTGCCAAAATCTTGGAGGTTTTATATCATGCTTCTTTCACATTCTCTGATAAACTACTCTCCATTCACATAACATTAAATGGTACTTAATTTCCTCAGGTTTTGCATTGCTTTATTTTGGAACTCCCCAGAAATGAGATAAAAATGAATGCTCTAAGTCATAAGCTCCTTAAATTAGGAACCGTTAATAGTTCTGAGATGTTCCAGCACCATTATGACCTGAATCTGGTTTATTCCATATAGTTACATATACTACAAAACTAAGACATTCTGTTTCTGTCACACGTATATAGTACTGTGTATTCTACACATGTAAATTCTGTAGGTAGGAAAAAAGCCACTACAAAACAAATATGGTATGATCAAATATAAACTAAATGATAATGAAGAACATGGAATAACATGCAGATGACTTCAAGACAAGTATTGGGAAGTATTGAGGTTTATCTTCAATCTCAGTCATATTTTAAAATATTTCCACACCAATAAGTATATAATGAGTTCTCAAGCAGAAAACACTGCAACAAGGAGCAAATATTGACTTTTGAGATGAGACTTCTAAACGAGGAAGACTTCTGAATATCTTCATACATCGTTGCTGTTCCATTTGCAAATAAGAATAATCTGAAGGGGCAGTTGATACTGTCCTACAACAAACATATTTGCCTGTTAATATCAAGACCTTTGCTTCATCACCAACAGGACAACAGCTCCAAGAAAAACCTCATCAGACACACCACAGACCGCAGTACCAGCAACTGTTAATTTAGCACACAGACTAGCACCATCACTAGCTAAAGACTGAGGAGCTGAACTAAGAGAACACTTGGTACTCACATGAATTTAGCATTAAGAGCTGCCAAAGAATGGCCATTTGAAGATGGTATCAAAAAGCAACTATGAAGTGGTGCTGGCTAGTTTAAAGAACGGGACAATCACTTTGGCCAGTAACTTTTTTTTTTTTTTATAAATAAAACCTGTCTTCTGTTTTACAAATTGCAGTAGCTCACGTGTAATTATATGATGATACTTGATGATGTTCTGAGGCATCACTGTTCCCTCCTCTCTTAGCACACTACCAATTAAAAGATGTAACTTCCTTCCCTCTTGTAGACTTTCACTATTTAAAATTTTCAATGCATTTGCTTTTGCAGCTACTTAGACAGAGGATGTCTTTTCTTTTAGAAAATAATTATTGCAGTAATAATCTGTAATTATGGTTTATAACAGCAATAATCCCAAAGAAATCAGTCATTACCATAGATCACAAGTAATCATTAACTACTGTTAATGACCCATTTCTTGGGGATTATTGTTTTAGTAAACCGTGACCACATCACTACCGATACCAAGAACAAGTCAGTATAATAAAATGGGATCTTAATATTATATTAACATATTTCGCAACATTAAAAGCCATTAAACATCTAAATTTAACCAAGTGTATCTAGGGGATGTAGCAGTTATCATTCATTATGAGCACAACTGTTTAGTTTGCAGCAAAGAAACAAAATTTAAACTGCGTCAAACGTTTTCTAATGCATAAAGTCAGAGTCTCCAGAGCTCTGCTACTGAGAGATTCCAACCAATTCCTTACTTTTGCCCCCCCCTTACTGGGTAACAGAGTATAAATTCAGACTGCAGCTAGTCAATAAAACCAGGTTATTCAGTGAAAGTTCTCCCACAAAGTTGTTAGGCACATGGAAGAAAGGGGTATACATAAAATCAGTTAAGTAGGAGGTTTTACATAAACTAGTGAAAAATTAGCTCCTACACAGAAGAAAATCTGTATATTCAGACTGTCAACAGAAGAACAGCAAAATAAATAACATTTAACAGCATGCAGAGAAACAGCTGTATTGTGCAGTAACCTGTCTCATCTTCTCAAAACAACACCACTTATCCATGTAAAGATGCCACAGCCATACGATAACTATATTAGGAAAGATCCAGTAGTTATAAAGACAATTTAAGTGACACACAGCGCACCAAAATAGGCATGAAAAAATGTTAGAAGTACTACTTATTTTTACAACTTCCACTACAATAAAATACTCGAGTTTCTTAAAAATCAGAGCTATTTGAAGTAAATTAAGGGGTTTTTAAGTAACTTTAGTATTCACAGAAGGATAAATGCAAAAAAGAACAGAAGTTAAGATCTTCAATTTCAAAAACTGTTCATCAAGTTGCAGCTGGTTCCCATGAGGCCACCTGGGGCACTAAAATGTTGATTTTCAGAAATTAAAAGTTTTTACAGCTCTCATGCCTACATTCTAAAGATGTAACAAGATATTAAACATATCAACTGCCAATACATCTATTTAGCATAAAAATGGTGGAAATGTGGTGCAAGGTTACTTGGAACATGAATTTCGTGTTCCAGAAAAGATGTAGGGATATCTGCCACATGATTACTGCTGCTTCATACGCAAGGATATTTTTATTAGCACATAAAACACAGTCTAAAAATTAAATTAAATACTAACCTTCCTGGACTGTGATTTCTAATGGATTCCTACTAGAAGAGTGCAATAGTTTTTGGTAGTTTTGTGCATTTTGGTCAAACAACTGTACAAGAAGTGTACAGGTCTTTTCATATTCACACCTGCTAACTGTGCACAGTTGCTCCAGTTGTTGGAAAACTGTAGCTGTATCATCCAGTGGATCTTCTAAACCATCTCTGGAATAGAGACAAAAAGTAACCACTTAGCTACTATTTCTTGGAAGCTGATTCTTTGCTTTCCCATCCAGACCTTGCACCACTGTCAGCCAACTGCTGAACTACCTGTGAAAACCTTTGCAGCTTTTACACACAGCAGACAGACACAAGATCTCATTTGCTTTACATACACACCCATACACATCTACACCACAACAATCTCTTAACATATAGTTCAAAATGCAAAGAACTGCAAGGCAGAGAGGAGATGAAATTGGCAGTATAAACACGGAAAGGTAAGTCCTGAAGACCTGAGGTCTTCTGTGCCTGTCTGTGCCTAACAAGCAGCACATTTTTCAGAGGATGATGATGGGAAAGAATGAAATACATAGCAGAAATGGATTTTGCATATTCATCAAATTAAGCATAAGACCATGATACCAAAGCCAAGGAGCAAGCTTCAGTAAAGTTCCATGCAGCAGCTTTATTACAGGTTCTGCTGCAAGCAAGCTGTGATCCTACAGAATGCCTGGAACAAAAACACCAATAGTTCTTGCCCTAAGTGTACCTATACTCTTTACACAAATCACAGTAAGGAAGGTTTATTCATTAGAAAGTTACTCTTTTGTTGCATAGGGAATGAAAAAACTGTAGTCTTCAGAAATGCTCTACTGGATATAGATAAAGCACCTGGGACTAGCGCTGTTTAACTCCTTTGTTGGTGACTGTGGACAGTAAAATAGAGCGCACACTCAGCACATTTGCCGATGACACCGAGCTGTGCAGTGTGGTCGGCACGCAGCAGGGAAGGGATGGCATCCAGAGGGACCTGGGCAGGCCTGAGAAGTGGGCCTGTGTGAACCTAATGGGGTTCAGCAAGGCCAAGTGCAAGGTCCTGCAGCTGGGCTGGGGCAAGCCCAAGCACAGACAACACAGGTTGGGTTGAAAATGGATTGAGTGCAGCCCCAAGAAGGACCTGGAGGTGTTGGTGGATGAGAAGCTCGACCTGAACCAGCAGTGTGAGCTTGCAGTCCAGAAAGCCCCCCGTACCCTGGGCTGCACCAAAAGCAGCGTGGCCAGCAGGGTGAGGGAGGGGATTCTGCCCCTCTGCTCTCATGAGACCCCACCTGGAGCCCTGTGTTCAGCTCTGGGGCCCCAGCACAAGAAGGACGTGGATGTATTAGAATGAGCCCAGAGGAGGCCACGAAGATGATCAAGGGGTTGGAGCACCTCTCCTATGCAAACAGGCTGAGGGAGCTGGGGTTGTTCAGCCTGGAGAAAACAAGGCTCCAGGGACACCTTACAGCTGCCTTCCAGTACCTAAGGGAGGGCTCCAGGAAAGCTGGGGAGGGACTCCTTGTCAAGCAGTGTAGCAACAGGACAAGGAGTAACAGCTTTAACTAAAAGATGGTAGACTTAGAAGAGATGTTAGGAAGAAATTCTTCACTCAGAGGGCAGTGAGGCACTGGAACAGGCTTCCCAGAGAAGCTGTGGGTTCCCCATCCCTGGAAGTGTTCAAGGCCAGGTTGGATGGGGCTTTGAGCAACCTGATTTCATTGGAGGTGTCCCTGCCTGTGGCAGGGGGGTTGGAACAAGATGATCTTTAAGGTCTCTTCAACCCAAACCATCCTATGATTCTTGGATCCCATCTTCATGTAAATGAATGTAAGTGTGACTTTGCAGGGTGAACACAGCACTCAAGAGAAAATCAGTCAAGCAGGCTGTGAAAATAAAAATCTACACTGTATCTTAAAAACAAACAGAAACAAACAAAAAAGCTGAAATCTCAATACTTAGGCAACACTTCAAAAGTGTAAAGGCTGTGAAGTTAATGAACTCGCTGACCTTGCAATGTTACACATGAAGTTGGGAACTGCTTCTTTCCAATAAGATGTATCTTCTTGATATTAAAATATTAAATCATGAGGATGGAGGTATCTTTTCTCTGATTTAACACCCACCAGGATTATTCAGACTGGTCCCCTCTGCATACACATGGATTAATGTGCCCCAGTGCTAATACCCAAATGTTGAAAGATATAAAAACAGCTGAGATTCCTTCTCTGTCTTAAGGACCAGCTGGATGGCCCCTGAATGCAGGGTAATGGTATCAACCATACTGGTGTGTACAGAAAACGGTCATTACAAAAAACAGGACTTGTTTGCAAAGATACCAATTAATGTCCTTTGAGCAAAGAGAAGAAGTCTTGTGGAATCAACTGCCAGATGTCCTGTGTTTCTCAAGGATGGCCTAGACATTTGAGATTAAAGTGTACACTAGATATTACTGTCTACAGAAATATCACAACAGAGGATCTTCATCACAGAAGAGAGTATGACAATACTAGGAAGATACACAAATTACTTACAGCTGAGAATGGTTACACACTCACAGAACTATTAAGACTGTCTTACGAATGACACAAACTGGTCTAAGATCAGTACTCTCCTCATTTTTTTTCCTGATGGCTTTTTTCACAGATTAGAAAGTTTACTCCAGCAGAGAACGAAGTAACAAGAACATCCAGAAGAATCCCTTGTCAGTGCCAAACTGAAAGAAACTGAACTTTCAGTGCTGTTGAAGACAATAATGTATTTTCACGGAGCTGTTCATGCAAGATGGTGCAATCCAGAAGCTCAGACCTGTGTGCTTCATGTCTGAAAGCTGATATGGAGCACACCACTCAGTAGGGGAGAAAGCTGAGCCAAAAAGTTTCACCCTGAGAATACATCACAGAAAAGCAGAACTGAGAAGATAACTTTAAAATGCCAAAGAAGTTTAGTCTGGTTGAGAAATGACCAGATAAAACTAACTGTACATACAATAAGTTGCTTGCTCTTGCATGTCCTAGCACTGGAACAGTGGAAGCTCACAATTTCAAACCATTAGGAAGTCAGCCTTTAACACAACTAGGGTGATAACCTCAGGCAAGTAACACCAACTCTAGCTTTGTCTCTAAGAAGTGAGATGACAGGTTACATGAATTGCAGACAGAAGAGTTTGGCTAAGCTGAGACAAAAGGATAACAATGGTGAAGCTAAATGTACTTCCTCACACAAACAGAATAAATGACATCATCTCAGCAACTGAAAACTGAGAAGGCAAAGCAGATGTGGCTTGTTCTGCAGTCCTGCAGTCTGACACAATATCTCTCTAGTAGGAATTCATAAAAGCCCTCAGAGAAAACTAAATCCTTTCAGCAATCTAGGCACTTTTTAAAAATTTGTTTTATTATAGTTTGAATTATATGATATGCTTTAAGAATAAAAACAGATATGAGCTAAGACATTAAGCAGGCCAATTTCAGTCTTGCCACTAGAGCTTGTTCTACTCGGCCTGATACTTTCCCTATGCGTGGACTTCCTTCTGCTTCCCCTCACTGCTTTATACTCCACAGCCCTAAAAAGTGACTCGTGTAGCAGTACACATAAACAGGTCACAGGTGAAAGAGTTAATTTAGATATTCTTCAAAAAAAGAAAGAAAGGAATTAAAGGCTTTTTCCAAAATACAAGGACTACGAGAAGAAAACCAACTAGGACTTACAGTTGATTTTGGCACAAATTACAGGTAAAAGGAATAAATCAGCATCTACTAATTAAGATAATCTAAAGCAATCACCGCAGTACTTTGTACATAGATTTTAAACATAACCAAAATACAATACACCAATAAATCAGAAAATGTAACATTCTATATTACAAATTGCAATTTCAAGTTTACCTTATAACTACAGGAACACAATCCAGTCTAGAAGTAATATAAGCTTTTGTTATCTCAGGTGCGTATGTGTCTAAGAGGTGGGGTTCTGCCGTTTTCACAAAAGGTACAGATGCCACCATTCTTTGCCACAGAGTTAGCAGATAATGAACGCTGTTTGGAGCAAACTCCCAGTGCTATAAGAAAACAAAACACACGTCTGTTAAACCATCCCAGTGTGAAATTTTAATTGTGAAACTCAGTGTTTTTATCTTTAGCGGTCTTATTCATTCACACAACCATTGAAGGACCCAGACGGAACTGAAACATATGATGGCACATGTTACAGACTACGTAGTAATTGCAGCATGGTATTTGCAGGGACTCCCACCTCCCTCAGGTGAAATCCAAAACAAGAAGCTCAGAGCGAGGCCTAGATCCTTAGTACATGGTTGAGATTTAAGTGCTGTAAAAGGGCCATTCAAAAATCCTAATCCTCGAGTAGGGAACTGTCTAGAGCAACCCAGTAGGGAATGTAAAGTACAGAAATGCATCTCAACTTTCTTTTTTCTTCCAAGTTTATAGAGCTGCAAACGGCCATTCAGGAATTTAAAGGCCAAAACCTTCTCCTAAAGGTGGTTATCTGCTACTGCTATTCTGAAGATTAGAGAAAGCCTCTGGAGGAGATGTAAAAATAGCCATTGCACTATTACTCAGTGTGGGAATAGAAATGGTTTTTTTGCAGAGTTACATTGTTTAGAGGAAAGGAATATGGTATTGAGATATGCTTGCAGTGATAAGAAAGCTTGGCAGCCTACCTTGTAAAACACAGACAACCCGAATCCTTAGAGCAATTAGGCAGAAACCACTGTGTAAGAAACATTACCACCTCAAAGAGTATAAAAGTCAAAAGAAATTTGACTTATAACAGGCAGGCAACTGAAAGCCATGTATTCTCTGTGAAGCACCGGATAGACTGTGAACCTGGATTACCCAGTCAATGGGGAAACAGGGAAGGGTCCCAGTCCTCAGAGGAAAAAAAGGTATATAAACTGTGCTTTGAACAAATAGGTGTGTTCTCCTGCTTGTGGGGCGCCCACCATTGTGATCGTGAATAAAAATTACTACTTCACCGAGATCCTCGCCTGAGCCTAAGTTATTGGCTACAGAGTGTTTCTCACATTAGTGAGCATGCATTTTTCTTGATGTGTTTCAAAAATAAAGCTTTTTTTTTTTTTAACACTGAGAATCTTGACCCTGTCTTTCAGGATCATGTCCTCCCTCTGTCTTTCTCATGTAGAGCCCTCAAAAATTTGAATAGCACTCCACCTAGCTTCTGATTCCAACTCAGTAGCTCAGCATATAAACAACTGTGCGTATGTTTGTATACATTTATGTGTGTGATACATCGAGATACATAGATAGATGCAAAAGCCGAACCCCAGGAATCTACTCAGTATAGGCATTTCAAAGGTTAAATGGGAGCACAGGTGTAACCATTTTAGGGTTGGACAGAGGATCTAGTTTGTTGGATTTTTTTGAGGGTAAAGACTAAAGCTTGAGGATTAATGTCTATGACCCATTTCCATTGTCTTTCTTTAAATCTGTTCCCGTAACAAAACACAGGAAGAGTGGGAATCAGCTGCAAAGAATTTATAAGTTACACCACTATGAAAATACGTTTTTATGTAAAGGCAAGCTTTACCAAGTCCTCAAAATAAAAAAAAAAAAAAGCGCCACACCAATGCAGAGAACCAGGACAGACACTCTGTCCTTCAAGAGCTGAAGAAAACAGAAAACTTCAGTATACATTCTTACCTGTAAGCTAGTAATAGTAAAATTTGCTATGAGCCGGATAACTTCTGGGTAATCTTTCACCATTACCAGTTCTCCCAGTTGATAGTTCGTCTTTAGCCGAGCCAAAAACCGACAGAATTCATGGTAAGTACCCGGATCAGATAAACCCTAAATTTGAAAAACCAAATTTGTAGAAGTTAACAGCTTAATCTAGTAGAAATTTCATAGCACTATGGCTGATCAGCTGGCAACTTTATTTACATAGTTTCTTTTTTTCCCTCTTTGTTTTGAATAGGAAATCAAAACAAACAGATGGCTGGCTGAGAGTGGTTTTTAATAGATTCAATAAATTAATGACAAATGTGACTGGAAAAACAAATCCACATCTGTTTCAGCATTTCAAATAAACAGAATCAAAAATAAAAAGATAGATACCTGTGGATTTTCAAGTATTTGTTTCACTCCTTTGATTAGATTGCCAAGATACTTGGCACGTTCTGGATTGCTGAATAAAGATCTCCTCGTAGAAGCAAACTGAACTAAACAAGAAAGTGCCTAAAGAATAAAACAACTGTAAGATTTAAAAAAATAAATTTTCAGAATAATGATCTCTTATTGCTTGGAGCAATCCAATCTACTGATGTCTGTATTACGTTCAGTGACTGAAGATTATTTTTCCAGCAATGTCTTTAAGATCATTGTACATAACTATGGCTCAGTTTTAAAAATCTCTATTACAACAGCTTATGACTTCAAAGTAATTAGGAAGATACTTTCTGTGTGGCATAGTAGTACTGAAACTGGAAGGGTTTGAATGCTTTCAGACTCAGAAATGAAAACCAAGGCTGAAGAGAAGACATTGTGACTGGGCACTGAACCAGTGAGTTAATAGTTGTGGGACTCATAATATGCTAATGCACAGAATGAAACAGGGTCTTCTGGAGAAAGTACAGACGTAAAAAAAAGACTATTTACCATCATTATTTGAGTGTAAATCACTGTGTCACTTACTAACTGAGACAGCATTGGTGGAAGGGAATGATACAAATCAAAAAACAGGTCCAAGGTCCCTGGCTCCAGGAAAACTAAGGAAAAAGATAAGTTGGTTTTACCACTTTCTGCCAGCAATAACTATGTATCTTTATTTCAACAGAATTATCTCCTTTTTAACAACAAAAAAATACACAACGCCCAAGAATGAGATATCACCGTAGCTGAGAATAAACTATGGATAGATGCATTAATCAGCTCATTGTACATTATAACACTGTTCTCTTTTTATCACATCTATTCTATAGCTCATAAAGAACACCTTCCTTAAACTGCAGATTATGCAATACTCTGTCATCTACAGAATGCTGTTCTGTAGTAGACATAGGTAACTGATTTCTTCAGGTTACTACAGTACAACACTATGACAGGTACCAGATAATAAGAATTAGTTTCGTGTATATGTAAGCAAAGGCAAGTCCTTAAAGACACCCTAGAGTCTATAGGCACATAAACAGAAAATACTTTAAGGACTCTGTTACCCATTCACCATGGAAGCACATCAAATGAACTATAGTGTTACCCTCCTTCATGAAAACAAGCAACAAGAGGGTAGAAAAAATTCATTGATAATTCATAATGATATAATCCCACAAATCAGGAAACATTCCAAAGTTGTTCAATGTGTAAACATTATTTTTATGAAGCCTTGTGTAAAATAATGCAACATAAAAAACGTTAATTTCCTAACACACTCCTAGAGTTTAATGAAGAAAAGAAGATCCATGGAGGATTTAAAGCATCTAAACCAAAATCTTAGGAAAAACCTCTCCCCTTCGCTTCTCCAGGTTGTCTTGGTAAATTGCTATCACTTGGGCAAATTCAGACTTTCATCAGTATTCCCCTGCTTGCCATATCCTTTGATGTACCTCACACTGTAATTAGAGGCTTCCGTACATTAGGGGAGAAAGAATGAAGTTACATGTGGAAACTGATGAAGAATAATACAGTTGATATCAAAAGCAGTATCAAACACTACAGTGCGATTTTATTCAAGTAGGGCAACAAAGATGGTGAAAGATCTGGAGGGCAAGACGCACCAAGGACGCTGAGGTCCGTTGGTGTGCTCAGCCCAGAGCACAGCAGGCCGAGGGGAGGCCTCATGGCGGCCTGCAGCTCCCTCACAGGGGGGCGGAGGGGCAGGCGCTGAGCTCTGCTCTCTGCGGACAGCGACAGGACCCGAGGGAACGGCATGGAGCTGGGACAGGGGAGGGTCAGGCTGGGGGTTAGGGAAAGGTTCTGCACCCAGAGGTGGTTGGGCACTGGGACAGGCTGCCCAGGGATGTGGTCACCACACCAAGTCTGATAGAGGTCAAAAAACATTTGGACAAGGCTCTCAGACATGGTTTAATTTATAGGCAGTCCTGTGTGAAGCCAGGAGTTGGACCCAATGATCTTTGAGGTTCCCTTCCAACTCAGGATATTCTATGATTCCATGCCTCTAAGTAAGCCAGATTTAAACTCCCATCTTGGTTAAATGAATCTGTGTAGCTGCTTTAGTTACAAGTAACAGACTTCCAAGCTGGCTAATTTATTTTGCCAAGAAGCAGGATAAATTAGTCTACAAGGAACTCCATACTGCTGGTATATACTGCTTCCATCACCCAAGGTAATTTCATTAAAGCTAGCTTGGATGTATTTATGCTACACTGCCATCTGCACTGTGCGAGTCCAAGAAGTCAAAACTCTAGAGTCCAAGAACCAAGATGCAGCCCTTCTGCTGCCTTCATTAACAAATTCACATTCTAAAGAAAACAAGCAGACTTAAATAAACAAATAAACAAACACACACACACGGTTTTCTTATCAGGAAGAAGAGGAAAGAAAGCAGACATGCTATAAATGCTGTACCTCTTCAAGGTGTTCATATCTCAGGGATGAGAATAGTGTTCAGTGTGTCTAGTTAGAGTAATTTGATTTACTGTGAATACCTATGTTATAGACCACATTCATTATCTCTGTCTGTAAAGATAACAATAGGAAAAGTGTGAGAGAAATAGCAGAAGAGGTTTCCCAATAACTCACCAGTAAAAAACTCTACTCCACATAAAAAAGGATTTTATATTTGCAAGTATTGTGACAAAAGTAGTTAAACAGTGAGTGTAGAATGCTTCAGACTACTAACAGTTATGATCCTTTCTTACTTGTTCTCCAGTTTGTTGGAATCTGCACAGTGCATAGGTCATCTGCAGATTCATCAGCTGAATTTCCAATGAAATCAAAATTTAGACAGTTTAACACAAGCTTCAGAAGATGCATGGCTAGACTTTCTTGCTGTCGGTCCTGAATGGTTAAAGGTTTTGCCAAGAGCTAAGGAGAAAGAACAGTTTGTCAGGTCACCTGCACAGAACATGTTTTATAAACAGTTTTGAAAAGGAGATTGTTTGGACATAAAACTTCGAAGTCCACAGCAAGACAACACATACTAAGAAAAAACTAAATCCTTCAACTATAAAACATACAGTACTCCTTATAGACAAGGGGAAAAATTATTATTACCAGCCAAGAGACATCATCCACATCAAGCTAAAACTCCAGGCCTTATACATATTTTTAAAAGACTAGTGAAATAACTCTTTGATATAAAGTACTTATAGGCAAAATGCAGCATGGTAAAATACTGTTAATGTTCATTGCAAAAATTAAACATTAATATTTCATGTTTTTCAGTTACTTCAGACCAGTATGGTGTATATGTCATGTCTATCATATGGTTAAGAATTATTGCAACAACTGTGGGTTTTTGTTGTTGGAGGTTATTTCAGTTCAATGCCTAAGATTGTCCAGGCTGCTAATTCCTTTGATATGTCTAGGAAAACCTCACATTAAAATTAAAAACAAAACTAAACTAAACAACAACAACAAAAAAACACACACACACAAAACAAAGAAAAAAAGCAAACAATGAATAGCCTGTATGTAATCTGAATACAGCTATTTACAACTTCTGTATGAACACAGCTGTTTGTCTCCATCGCATTATAACCACTGTAGTGTCAGAATAAAAACGTATTTTGTAAGCAAAATGAGCTTTTGGGATTTGGAAATCTACACTGAGCATACTGTAAGTACACCTTTTTACTGATCTGCTTCTGTAATTACAACAATTTAAGCAACATTTTATCTTAAAGAAAGCTACTGCCTCAAAATTACAAGAACAATATAAAGGCACTAAAAAGAAGCCTCCAATTCATTAGTCATTGATGGAGTTCTTGAACATTAAAAAAGAAAATTATCATAATTTTGTTTAAAAAAAATAAAATACAGTGGATGCAACAACTTTTTACCTAGTTCATCTGCTCCCTATTTATACTCAAATCATATTTCTCAATTTTATCAACAAAAAAGGTTTTAAAATTCAGATGATAGGAATGAAAATTACCTGTTTTGCTACCAATCTGCTCCTAACTTTCATACTCCTGCATGCAATAGGTTGGAATTATTTTAGTGACTCCATAATTAGCAGTTGAGTGTATTTTTCAGTGTACTATATATAGATGCTGTTAAGTATTTCTAAAATTGGCTTCCTCTACTCAAATTGGCATTACAAAAATGCCAATTAAAATTTCATACACTTCTGTCCAGATTATCTGTGTGATGTGAATCTGACAAACCTCTCAACATATGAAAGACCGAAAAAATACCTGTAAGACCAGCTGAAGTTGAATAAAGCTAGGAAGTTCTCATAAACACAATTATTATTTTCCTGTGCAATGGGGTTTAGTATATCTAGTAAGATTACATATTCTTCCAAAAAAAATTAATTCATCTTTTAAATGATATTTGATTTCTCTATTAACTTGGAATTCCAACACACATTTAGAACAGCCTCTGTAAATTAGCAGAGCAATCCCTCTTCAGAAGCGAGGGCTTACCCTTTATTTGTTATATAATGATATATACATATAGACTTCTCAGAGCCTCCTGTCTAGGTTCTGAGAAGGCTGAACCTTCAATTATCTCAAACGTTACAGAGAAGATGATGGAACTAGCAAAGGAGGAAACCACCTTAAGCCATACCACAAGATGGAGAATTGTCTTTCTTCTTGGTGGCTCATAGTTCAATAAATAATTCTTTCAGCAAATATTGAGATGGAAGGCCCAGCAAACCAAGATAAAATTAAATTAAAGAAAACATTGACAATGAAGGAAAGGAAAATATTGAAACATCACTCAGGATTTAGATAGTTCATCTTTTATGGCAAGGTATAAAGAGAGAGGGAGGTGGCACAGGCAGAAACACTGAGAGCAAGAGCAACAGAGACAGAGGAAGGGAAGAAGACTAAAATTTTTATCTTTGAATATTGTTTGGTCTTGAGCTTAATTGGGTGCCATGTAATCCACTGAAGTACAGAATTCAGTGACTCGGAAAATACTGGTGATTCAAACTGGAACAATTATGAAGTTAACAACTTAAATTTAACTGTAAAGAGCCTCACCTCTTTTAAAAGAGAGCACGCAAGCATCAGTATGTCCTTTAAAGAGGTGTCACGGAATGAGGTAGCTATTTTACGATGTTTTGCTGAAGGTCTTGAATAATCAACCTAAGAAAAGTTACAATATAATCAACAATGCTCCCTGCTCTGCTAAAACTAAATGATACGTGCATCTGGCAGGTAAATTACTTTACACTAGAAAAGAAAAAATATATTCCAACAGCAAAGATAGAACTTGGCAGCTTCCTAAAGTGCCTGGTTCTATTCCCCTTCAAGGCTGCCACTCTCTGGATGGAAAGGTCTGAAGCACTTTCTCAGGTCAAGATCACAAAACAGAATCATTAGCAGAAATAAATTTAAAAGAGTTGATTTTCCAGTTCTCCTTACTAGTTCTAGTGAAAGGGATGAGAAACACTACCATGTAGCAGATGTGGCACATATCTGGTACGGGTGCAGTCTGTGCATTATGAATCTCTCTCTATATATTTTGGTAGAGGTTAGAAGGGGTGTTAATCACTTTATGTCTAAGCAGCATTTCTCCTAACACTTTTATGAAAGGCAGACACATGTGACATGCTGCTGCATCGCTAATACACACATCCCTTGCAGAAATAAAAAACAAGACACGCATGCTTACTAGATTCATTTCCTGAGTCAGTTCTGAGAGAATCATTACTCCAATTATATAATGGTCCACGGTGCCCTACAGAGGAAAAAAAAATATATATTTTATATATATATATATATATATGATTGCTCAAATACCACTGCAGGTACTTAAAATTTATCAACAGTAGAAACAAGAGGAATTATTAGGCTGAGATATGCTAAGTTGTTCAGAAGTCTTTCGTGACAACTTCTATCACATTAATAGAATTGGACGTTAAGCTCCTTAATTAACTCTGAAAAAAAATCTCATCATAAAACTTAAGAATGGTATGATAAGAAAAATCTGCCTGAAAACAGTCTAAGCAACCACAACCTAGAAATTCACTATTACACATTTCTAAAAGGTTTGTTCAGTCTTCCAGAACTGATACGGTGAACTGCATAAAAATTCAAACCATTAAAAAAATTAAGCCATGCATGGATGAAGACAATCACAGGGCAATCTCAGAAAAATAATGTAGTTATGAGATGTAGATAAACAAAACTTCATTCTCTTCTCTCCATAGTACTCTGCAATGCACTGGCCTCGAATTAAGTGATATATTCCTATTTCCAAAAACGTGTGTAGAAAGGGAGGCAGTAGATACCAACTACTTGCATCTAAGGGTGTGACCTGATCGATAATAGTTAATGCCCTTGGAATGCTTTGAAAATCAAGTATAAGGTAGAATTTTATTTACATTTAGTTGTCCTTACTGAGCTACTACAAAGCATTTATTAAGCAAATCTGCTTTGTTAAAAATAATTAAAATCAACTGCAATTAGGCCTTGCCACTGATTTAATTGTGAAGACCTATGTCTACTTTCATAGCTGAAGTCTGCAGCCTCGGCTCCCTCGGTGTCCAAAATTCAATTTGTCACAGCCAAACTCATTATTTTAGAAACTCTTAAGAGCAACCAAAGTTCAATTAATGAAGAATCTGGCTGATAGTCTTCACTGGACTCATTTTTCACAGTCATCTATTCTGTAATATCACTTACACCAAATCAAACCAAAAGGAAAAAGTTTGCACAGCCCTCAGGCAAGATTTGTACTGTTGCCCTATCTGCCTTTTCAATAAGATTAAACATCTTATAATTTGAGCACTGAAGTTTCTTTTACATTTTGCATGAATGTTCCCTTGATCACATAAATCTGTAAAAATTGAAAATGCAACCTCTCTTTTTTCACTGGTGTGGAAAGCTGTTGTGATGAATTATGGAGGAACTGAGAACAGAATTGGAGATCTAGAGTCTATAATCTCTTTTACTGTATTAAACCACACTTGAATTCACACTGGATGAACTTCAATTTGGAATGTTAACGTGGAAGTATTTGAAGCTACCATTTGCTAATTATCAATATGTATCAGTATTATTTAGGGATTATTTTTCAATTTTTATATAAAATTTAATTCGCTAGTAGATATATGGCTTAATTTCCTTTTCCACAGGAATTCTTAATTTAACTAAAGAAATCTCTTAAGAAGCTAAATTTTGCATTTAAATCTCCATTTTTAATGAACTACACACCAAAGAGTCACACTGCAATCATTTTAATAATAAATGCAAAATCCAATTACAGTACATTCATAAAAATAACTGCAAAACGGTGGAGCAGTATACTTGAGTTTGTTTTTAATAAACGAGATATTGCAGCTTATCTTTTATTAGACATTCCCAATGTAACTCAAAACCTACAGTAATTTGAATAGTACTATGAACAAAATCAGACTGCAATACAAGTAAGATAAGCTCAGTGGCAAAAAAGACAAACTAACTCCTTATTTTCTTGCAGAGTTGCCAGGATCACCAAGATATACGCAAATAATGGATCACTTTGGAAGTAAATCTCCAAATACTTTACATTTTCTGATACTTTTTTTCTTAAGATAAGTATTAGGCTTAATGTCTACATAGACATCAGAAATAACTTTCAATGCAGATTAGCTAACTCCCAGCATTTTTTAGGGAACATTTATATAAATATTAAACATAAAATTAATTGTCGGGCTAATAAACCATATGATCACTTTCCCTGAACTTACTTCACAGAAGATGCTGTCTATTATATATATCATTAGCTACCATGTCTGATTGTACTTACTCTAGATTTGACATGTAAGTTTGCCTAGTGAACAGTGAATGAATGATTGCACCCTGTTCTTTCCAATTCTCAAATACTATGTGTAAAGATCACCTCTCTATCCTGTAACTCATCTTCTTTGCTCTAATGATGAGCAGAGGGGGAAACAGGAAATAATGTGGAAAGAAATGTTAACACAAGAACATTCCTGCTTCATTCAATTACTGGAGAGGGAAAATTAGTTATCTTTCCTCCCCAGATTGTCCTTATCACTTTCTAGAATGGATAATTTTTGTGATAGGCTAAATACAAATGCCAAAATGGTTACAAAAAACACTCTAGATTGATTACCTATCTCCCTATGTTGTACACCATAATCCTAGGAGAGACAGAATAGCCTTTTTTTTTTCACTCCTCTACATGTACAGAGAGAGAACATGCATATGCAGGTAGCAAAGTACCTATGCACACAAATATGAATCATCAATCCAATCTGGATAAGCTGGACCGATGGGCTGAGGCCAACTCTATGAATTTCAACAAGGCCAAGTGCCGGGTCCTGCACCTGGGACACAACAACCCAAGCAGCCCTACAGGCTGGGAGATGAGTGGTTGGAGAGCTGCCAGGCAGAGAAGGACCTGGGAGTGATGGTGGACAGTCGGCTGAATATGAGCCAGCAGTGTGCTCAGGTGGCCAAGAAGGACAACAGCATCCTGGCTTGTATCAGAAGCAGTGTGGCCAGCAGGGCTAGGGAGGTGATCGTCCCCCTGTACTCATCTCTGGTGAGGCCGCACCTCGAGTACTGTGTTCAGTTTTGGGCCCCTCGCTACAAGAAGGACATCGAGGTGCTCAAAAGAGTCCAGAGAAGGGCGACGAAGCTGGTGAGGGGCCTGGAGAACAAGTCCTATGAGGAGCGGCTGAGGGAGCTGGGCTTGTTCAGCCTGGAGAAGAGGAGGCTCAGGGGAGACCTTATCGCTCTCTACAGATACCTTAAAGGAGGCTGTAGTGAGGTGGGGGTTGGCCTGTTCTCCCACGTGCCTGGTGACAGGAGGAGGGGGAATGGGCTAAAGTTGCGCCAGGGGAGTTTTAGGTTGGATATTAGGAAGAACTTCTTTACTGAGAGGGTTGTGAGGCATTGGAACGGGCTGCCCAGGGAAGTGGTGGAGTCACCATCCCTGGAGGTCTTTAAAAGACGTTTAGATGTAGAGCTTAGGGATATGGTTTAGTGGAGGACTGGTTAGGTCAGAGGTTGGACTAGGTGATCTTGGAGGTCTCTTCCAACCTAGATGATTCTGTGATCAACCACATAACAAATATACGCTGTCCCGCAGTTTTGCATACTGCAATTCCATCTTTACACAAGCTTTGCTCAGTAGCCTCAGACACAGGGGTTGCTAGTGATTTCTGATAAAAATTGAAGCGATAGTCAATTCCCACTGCTTATGCAGAACAGTAACAAAAATCACAATAAAAATGCTCTAAAAATGTTAAAAATCTATCTTTTTGACCAAACATTTAAATTAGTTCTAGAACTAAACAGTTTGGCACAATTGAGATTAATGTTTAAAACATTTGACATTCTTATTCTTCAGATGGTGCAGTAACACTGCTTCTAATCAGGTCTTCTAATTAGCTGGAGCTGATAGCTTATCAGAAATATATCTCCACAACAGTTGAAAAAAAAAAAGAAGGCATTAAATAGCATGGCTTGATAATAGGGGTTGATGTTTATATTCACAGCATGAAGAAGTGTTTTGGAAAAAGAAAATCAACAAAAATTCAACAGGACTATGAATAGTGAATGGCATCAATACACAAGCATGAACACCAGTCTTGATCTTCATCGTAGAACAATCTTCTGTTTTAAGTAATTCTCTTCACATCTTTTCCACTCAAGAGTAAAAACAACCTAATGACAAAACATGCCAATGAAAAAATGAAGAGTTCTAAACATAAAAACACGTAAGTGAACAATTGTTTCCTACCTGCAAAAATTTTTTTACATCAGCAGTAATATCTCTGAAGATAAGTTGATCTTTCAGTACCTCAAACCATCCTAATTTCGTAATTTTAGCAATGACTTGAACAAGAGCTTGCATGACAAAAGGAGCCAGTTTGGGTTGAGAAGCTACATAGTTCAGAATGTAATTTCCTGTAAAGAAGCATTTTTAAATCAGTAACATTAGTCTTCTGTTAAATAAAAAACTAAAATAAAAAAATAAAATAAAAATGATATAGTTCTAATAGAAAACTAAGGCATGAATTTGAAAAAAGGTACATACTTATGTTTAATACAATAACTAGGTTATGTTATATTCAATACAGCTAACCATCTAGTAACACAAAGCACATTACATACATGATCACTATCCTAGGACACACATGACAATAGTCAGTGAATTCAAGGAATGATGGAAAGTAAAAAAAAAATGTAATTTTTTCATTTTGATCTTATACATGTGGCACTGATTTATTCAGTATGTAACCGTAGCTCTCACAACCAGCTCAAGGTACACAGAAGTCTTCTCAGACAAGAGACCCTACTGAATGTTCTCACTTCAGCCTAGACAATTTCCTTGAGCAATATACATTTCAGCTACAGAAATTCCTCTCTAACTAGCAGAATAACCTGTTCCAAAAGCTGTTAAAATTTATGTAATTGAAGTTGATTAAAGCTGATTTTTACCTAAAAGAACACCAAAAGAACTTGTCTCAGAAGTGGATTCTCTGACATGCATTTCAGAGTACTACCATCCACAGAATTGATACGACAGTGGAGACTTTCTAAATATCTGTAACAACTCGTATGTTCCTCGTGCAAATCCTTTCACTATTCAACCCAACACATACTTGCTTGCTTTTTTAGGTTATGAAAATTAACGTAGATCCTTAGATGTATGGAAAATTCTGTAGCATCTCAATCCTGCACGTAAGAACCTGCCCTGGCATGCTTTTTACAAATGTTAACACTTCACAAATGTTAATGCAAATCTCAAGAGCTGATCATGAGGAATGGTACATGTAAGAGACTGGCAGGTGTACTAGCAGTATCTGCAACTTTTATCCTTTGCAAATATGAACTAAATCTCTTAATTATGTTGTGGGATAAAGACAAAGTATGTCCTCAAAAATGAACTTTTGTTAAAATGTGAAATTATCTGAGCCAACGTATTTATTTATTTAAATTTTTAAACTCAGAAATGTTATATGTTCATTACTTGCAGAGAAGTGATTAAAGAACTCGTAACGACCTTTATGTTCACACTCTCACAATAACTCCCTAACGAATAACAAGTTTGGTAAATGTAGAGACCTAGAGAAAAAAAACAGATTAGCCACTGGATGGTTTCAGTGGTAATATGAAGTATTACTGGATGGTTTCAGTGGTAATATGAAGTATTAGATACAACTAATGTAAGGAAATTTTAACCGCAAACTGTACTTACGGATGTCAATCCTTTGTTCAACGGGTAATGGAGATGCCCTGCTTACAAGCTTAGACAGGCATGTTGCTGCTAGAAGCTGAGCATATGATGTCTACAAAAAATATCAAAATATATTATTTAAATGTACTGATAATTAAAGGCAGAGACAATGTCATATCAGTGGTTATCACGTTTTGGTTACGTTTAGGTATACCAAAAGTTTATGTAAGATGTATTTTAATATTATTTTTGCTTAATTATAAATAATCATAAAACACAACTGAACCAGTACCAGAGGTGGAGTCCTAAAAACGTTACCCCTTTTGATGGTAACTACTTGTCTAAAAGTTCTTTTATTATATGTGCAGTTCTTTTAGTTTTGAAACCTGTGCTTTTATACTACTTAATAGTTTAGAACCACGAGATGATTGGTCTAGTCCTGCATAAAAGATACTCTTTTTTTCTTTTTACAAGAAATGTACAACACCTTTAGTATTTGAGGATTTCTAAACCACAATAGAAAGTTCTCTTTGTTCCATTAAAAGCCTTAAGACTATAGATACTGCTAATAGTTCAAAACACCAGACAACTCCAGGAAATCATAATTTTTGTTGAAATAATTCTAAATGATTCTGTTGAATAAAGCTATGACATTTTTTTTTTTTAACATTCAGAGTCTGTTTAGCCTAACTTCAAATTTACCACAGAACAGTTTTTTTCATTTATATGTAGTAATTCAGTACCTGAAATTGTGAGAGTCCTGAAATGCCTTACACACTTTCTTAAGGAAGTGCTTAAGTTGTCTACACATCACATGAAAAGAAGAAATGAGAGGTACATGAAGACTGTTTCTAAAATGAGTAGATGTTGGGCACTACAGAATTTCTCATATGATGGTTTCCAGCACCCAGGCCAGGAATCGAGGTGTAGTGGAGTGCTTCACAAGAAACCAGACCAAGGCACAGCAGCTGCCACACCATGGACTTGAGAAAGTGGGCACAGCTTCACTGCTCTTGTTCAGCCGCCCGGTTTACAGGACCATCAGTCAAGCAATTAATCCAGAGCTCAACAACTGACTCAAAACGGATTCCTCAGAAACAATTTTTACTGTACAAATTAATTACAAGATCAGGCATAATACACCCGAATAAATGTAAATATTTAAATACTTTTCTATAATGAATTCTGTAGGTGTAACTTTTTTTTTTTTTTAACAATTAAGTTATGTTAGAGCTGAATAAACTACTGAAGTATGTGCTAGAGCCTAATGGATTTTGCAAGTTCTTCCCAGGTATTACCGCTATCTCCCAAACATCCAGAGCATCTTAAAAGCTGTCTTTGAATGATTTGAAAAACGATGAGAACTACACTGGGGTCACCTTGGACTATCAAATCAGAAACAACTCCCCTATCACTTTATCTAGACTTAATCATGAAATTAAACACCAAAAATGGAACTGCGTAATGAGAAGAGAATGGTTTAAATCAGCAGACAACAGGTAAGCTGTTTAAAGGTGTGGGGTGTTTTATACAATTTTTTTTTTCCATCGCAGCTGATAGCTGGAAACAGAAGCAGGTGATGTTCAATACCAGGTTATTCCAGACCGTGTCCCAACACTGCTGTAGAGGTAACACACCCCCTGACTACAACCTTCTGAAAGCACTGAAACTGAAAGCTAGGATGCTCTTCCCCTTTGTCCATGTCATCATCTAATGCAACATGTTGTCAGTCTTACAAAGACTGCCTTGAAACGCGAAATTTGCTAGAAAAAATTACAGAACAGAGTATGTATAAAAAAAGGAAAATTATTTTGATGTTATTGTACTGACACAGTAACAGCCCATCACTGGGAAACCTACGTGAGCTTCCAATTACATTTATGGATAACACGTATTTCAGATACTTACTGTTCCTTGTTCTAATAAAAGTTGGCACTGGCTAAGACATTCTGGGCTATTAATTAGCTCCAAGAGTACCTTCTCTGCTTGCATTCGCTGTGCTAGATCTGTTCCTTCATATAGGTGGTTACACAGTACTTCTAGTTCTGCCAGACTCTGTTAGAAAAGAACACAATTGAAATTTCTATGGAGATTATTCAACCACAAAAGATTCCTCTGAATGCTTATAAAACTAGCTACATACCAGTAATATGAACTGTTACCTGTGCTAAACTTTCCAGGTGACTCGCATTTTAATTACTAACAGAGAAGAGGTTTTCTGTGACAATAAAATAAAAAGAACTCTGAAAATGAAGCTTGCATATCTTATTCTCTCAGCTATCAAAGTGTTTTATATTATGGTTCAATCTACCTGTTATTCTTAGTCTTCATATGGGAAATCTATATCTTTTCCAAAAAAAAAAAAAAAGAAGAAGAGAAGATAGAGACTAGTGAACAGTTTGAGTTACGCTGTTTGGAAAACTGGTAAACTTAATTTTAAAAGCTTTAACTGCTCATCAAAGTACTACACCTAGAAAAAATTAGCAGTCTTTATCTGTGGATGCAAGTATCAGTGAAAGACAGGACAATTCAGAAGCAATAGTACCAACAGAGGAGATAAAATTCCTCTCCGCTTCAAAGTTGAAAAATGCATTTCAGTAAAGGAAAAAAAAAAAAGCAAAATGCATCTTCACTGTCAAGAATACGGTTTACATCTACTAGCGACAGTTTCACAAGAGAGATGAACCCTTTGGCCATGTTTTGGAAACTGCTACACAAACAGAAACTTGAGCATCCATCAGCTCTCCAAAGCCCGTGGAACCCTCATCAAGAACTGGCCCTGTCATTCGAAGGTGCCTAGTGAATACTTCATGACTTGAGCACGGCCTAGAAAGAGGTGGGGAAAAAAGAACACCAATAAGCCTAATGCAGTATTTGACCAGCCTCATTTAAAAGTTTGAGCCCAAATCCTGTTTACCAGCCCTTCTGAAAAGATATTTTGTACTTGAAATACAAGATCTGGTTTAGCACAATCTAGCATCACCTCTATCATAGCTCAAATGCCTTTTAAAAATCCAAGACCATAACAGTGTCTTTGGCAACCAAAACATATTCAGCTCTGTTAACCCAAGTATGCCATTCCTAGAAATATGTTTCTTAACATAAAAGCGTCATTTTTTCTATTTTTCTTCTTTTTGTTTTTGCACATATAGTTTCCTTGGTTTTGTTGATCTTTTTCTGAATTTTGAATTAAAGGGAAACCTAAGGCTCATAAAATGCAAGCATTCACATTAAGGAAGATGTAATACAACACAAAAACACGTTACGGGGGTATAACGTGGGAATAAGAACATCTAACAAAGGCAGTTTTCAGGCATAAATTACAATGCATCTTTCTGAAATGGAACAATTCCAACACAACTTGAGAAGCATGATTCAGATTCTTGTATCATTACGAGGAAAGGTTAGAGACCCTCCATATTTGATCTGAAATTTGATTTTCAGATCTGGACAAAGGTAACTTAGCAAGAAGTTCAGGAAAAGCACAGTAGAAAACTAGGATGTAAGCCCAACCATCGAGGCTGAAACCATCAGTATAATAACTTATGTTAAAATAGTCCAACTAATTATAAGCTCACTAAGCAAAAATTTCCACAAGAATAACTAAAAGTGGATTTCAGGAACATATGTGTATCCTGGTTTCAGTCAGGACAGAGTTAATTTGCTTCCTAGTAGCAGGTACAATGCTATGTTTTGGCTTAGGATGAGAAGAGTGCTGATAACACGCTGATGGTTTAATTGTTGCAGAGCAGTGCTTATACCAAGCCAAGGACATCTCAGCTTCTTGCTCTGTCCTGAAAGTGGGCAGGCTTGGGGTACAGCAAGAGCTGGGAGGGGACAGACCCAGGACAGGTGACCCAGACTAGCCAAAGGGGTATTCCATACCATCTGAGGTCGTGCTAAACAATAGATGGGGTGGCTAGCCGGGGGAGGGGGCTGGAGTGCTCGGGGTTAGGCTGGGCATCGGTCAGTGGGTGATGAGCAATTGCATTGTGCATCACTTGTTTGTACACATTATTAGTAGTAGTACTATTATCATCATTGTATTATTATTATTATTGTTATTATTATTATTTTCCTGTCTTATTAAACTGTCTTTATCTCAACTCATGGGCTTCACTTTCCATTTCTCTCCCCTGTCCCAGAGAGGGAGGGGGGAGGGTGAGCAAACGGCTGTGTGGTGCTTAGCTGCCGGCCGGGTTAAACCACAACAATATGCTTTAATGCACCCTTTTAGCATATTAAGGTTACACTGAAATTTAGGCCAAATGTAAGAATTAATGTCTTATTGACACGTTAAAACTGTTAAGTGTCACACTTGATCCAAAGGACAATGTTTTTTTTAAGCATCCCTGAACGAAAAACTAGACAATTTTCAAAGAAAAGTTGGCTTGTTGGAAATTGAAACTGATGATCTTCAGACCTCTGAAATGCTCTATCTGGATACCTCTGGTCTCAAAAGAATGTCCCTCATGGGTAGGCTGGAGGTATGGCCAGAAACTGCTCATAACTCTCAGACTGCCGAGCAGCTTGTCCTCTGGGTTAGGCTTTGTGTGAGACCGAGGAGATGGACTGATTCTCCTTGATTCTGACACCGACACCAACAAAGACAACCTGAAATCCAGCAAGTAAAACAATCTTCTCTATGAGAGAATTTCAGCAAAGCAACAGAGGTATTATTCAACTTCAATAAGAAAAAAAAAAAAAGAGAAATCAATGAGAAGTCGAGAGAGTGTCAAGAAGTCTACACTAGCTCTATAAAATACATACATACTTTCTTCAAGAAAACAGAAGACTGACATTGTCCTCCCCCCCTCTTTTTTTTTTACTGTGACGCAGAACATGAACCTGATGCTTTCAGAAGCCTCCGTTACTCAAATCCTTATCAACAGCCCAAAGATGACTCCTAAGAAAACCACAACAGCACCAATGAAGAGCAGGTAGCACTTGAAAGACAACGGCTTTAGGTGCGTCAGAAGCAGGACTGCCACAGGCAGTGGCACTTCTGATCGCGAGGAAGCGTTACATTTTCCAAGCAAGAGATTCACATCCTAATGAGAAAAGTAAGATGATAATTTTTTCTGGTCGTCACACTTTCATAAAATTCTGGAATAACCTAAATAAAACTACCCAGATACTTCTGTCCCCATCTCCCAGGAGTCCCTGGCAGCTCTCCTCCTAGCCTGTGAAGGAGCCAAGGGCCAGGAGCGCTGGGGGCCCGGCTCCACAGCAACCCACCGGGCAGGCAGCCAAGGAGCCAAGCAAACTGGCAGCAAACCAGGTAGGTTCCTGATTAAAGTTCTGCTGACACTGACAAATTCCCACAAACATTTTGATTTTGATCAGCATTTTCTGACTGAAAACGTTCTATTAAGAAAGTTCCACCAGCTCTACGCAGGAGCAACAGGACGGGCCCAGCTGCCGAGACGCCAGTCAAAAAGGCAGCCCCGCAGGTAGAAGGTGGCGGCAGGCGCTATTTTCATGCTCCTTCTTTTATGCAGCACGTCTGATGCCCAAATATTTAAAGAAATGCTTAAGATGGCCTCCCTCATCCTCCAAAGCCTGCTGCTACCAACCTAGCGAAGCCACGAGGGACTCTGGAGGAAAGCTCAACAAGAGTCTTACGAGGCCCCTCGCCTCCCCCCAGCCTCCCCCCTTCTCCCTCTGTTGTTGGATCCATCACTGCCCCGCTGCCAGCCGCTGCCCACCTCGGGCAGTGCCGGGGCGAGGCTGCCCCTGCCTGCCAGGGCAGAAGTTGAGCGGGGAGCCCCCCAACGCCCCCGGGCAGGCGCTGACAGCTCACACGGCCGCGGGGCAGCCCCAAGGTGAAGCCAACACGGCGCCGGGCGAGCAGCCGATGGGCACGGGCTGCGGACACACCGCACAGCCCCGGCACCGACATCGCCCCGCCGTTGCCCCCACTCCCACCACGGCCACCGCCAGCGCTGCCTGCCCGCAGCCCGCCCGGCACCACCGTGCCCACCCCGCTCCCACCTCCGCGGCTCCCCGGACACCCCTCGCTGCCCAGCGGGGAGCCCCTCCGCAGCCCCCCGAGCCCCGTCCCCAAGCCCCGCTCCTGCCCGCCGTGCCCCGTCCCGGCTGCACCGACCTGGCCGCGCAGCGCCATCTTCCCGAGCGGCGCCGGGGAGGGGCCGGGGGTAGGGGGCAGAGCGGAGCCGCGCCGGGGCCGCCCGTTGGGGCGGAGCGGAGCGGGGGGGAGCGGCCGTGGGGGCGGAGCGGGCGGCCGGGAGGTGGCGACCGGGAGGTGGCGGCCGGGGGGCGGCTGAGGGAGCGCCGCCGGCCCGCGGGGACCGGGGGGGTGGCAGGGGGCAGGTGGGCGCCTCGGCCGGGAGGCGCCATCTTGTCCGGGCGGGCGGGCGGGGAAATGGCGCAGTCCTGACTGGAAAGGGCGGCGGTGAGGGGAGGTGCCGCGCTCAGGTGCGGCTGGGAGGGAGTTAGGGCCGGTGTGCTGCCTCGGGCGGGGAAGGTTAAGGGAGAGCTCCCTCGGATTTTGGCAATTCTTGTCATAACGGCGGCGAAAGGAAGGCTTTGCTCGGTGAATACGGGAGCTGCGGGTGACAGCCCCCGGGAGGGGCAGGAATATCCCTGCTCACAGGGGTGTGAGTCAGTGTAGCGCTGGGTTCGTAAATTTATAAATCCAGGAGTCTTGGACCATGAGCACCTAGGCAGTGGCCTGGCCACTGTTGTGCAGCCGTGTCGGTGCCTGTCGAGGTGTATGAACCCACGGCTGGGGGCTGCGCCATCCCACTTCGGAAAGTGCTGGAAGGCTGAGGTCAGGAGGCTGAGCCCGAGGAGGGTGCTGAGAGGGAAAAAAAACTCTGCTTAAATCCAGAAGGCAAAAGAGACCGCACAGATGGTTACAGATGCAGCTGAATAGACAGATGGCTCGAGTACCCTTGAAGAGGGGTAATCCCCCTCTACAGGTGCCTGTGAAGATGTGAAGAAATGGAACTATGTGGAATATAGTTGCCTCAGTTGTCAGGTCGGGTTGAATCCCACTTCTGCTAACCAGTGGTTCAGGTAACAGGTGACATCTGCAACATCAAGAACTCTTAAATAAATAGAGATATTTTGCTTCTTAAGTTACAGCACTGCAAAGATAACATTTTATCTGAAATTCTCTTTAAAGGAGTAATTAAAAGTTGGTGAGGAAAACACTGCACATAAATGAGACAAGACCAATACTGACATTACCCAACAGAAGGACATGAAGTGACTTCAACAATGTCTACAGGTATCATCATAGGAAAAATGTGTTTTGATGCAGATAGCTACTTATTTTGGGAGAAAAAGGTGTAATTGATTTGAACCACTATAAGCTAAAGCTGGACAAATTTGGAACCAAAATAAGCCATGCTGGCAATTGCCTGTAAGAAGGACTGACACCAGAGAATGGTGTACTCCTTGTCACTGGATTGAGTGGTTGTTTTCCTAAAAGACATGGTAGGTACATGTCCTGGAGTGCAAGTTGGTGAAGTGTATGGCCTGGGTTACAGAGGTTGTTACAGACTGCATGTACGTACAGCGTTGTGCCATCTGCAGTCACAGAGCAACATGCTTGTGACACTAATGAAGAAACATGAGAAAAGCCAAAAAAAGGGATGCATTTGTGTATTCCCTGTCCTGCTAAGGGTGAGCAGTGGTCCTGCGCAGTGTGGAGCGCCAAACAGAGCCCAGGGTAAAACTCAACAAAGTGTTCTGGCATCATAAGATGCTGCTGGTATCGGTGGCAAATGGAGGAAGGAGGCTCAGGTAACAGCAAATAAAGTGTCAGGGTAAGCAGCAAAAAAGGTTGAATGTGCAAACAGTGGAACTGATACCAACACAAGCTGGGGCAAGTTAGGAGCAGTGAAAGCTAAAAACTTAGCCATGGAAAATCCAAGGACTGTTGCTGTAGTTAACTGGCAGCTTTTATGAATAAGGCAAAAAATAATATCTGAAATTCTTATTGGGCACATTGTTTTTTGATGATTTAACATAGTTTGGAAGAATTTTTGCTTCAATCTCCCCTGCTCTAAACTCCATGGTGACTTGTAGTCCATGGCATTTTAATTGTGGTTGACAGAAGGCAGGGGGCCTGAACAGTTTGTGTAGCTAATAATAGCTTTCCTTCCTGCTACATCACTCACATGACAAAAACTGTCATGAAGCCTGGTAGCCCCGTAGATGAGGGCCAAACTGGTAGAGTTCCTTTGAAAATGGAAGCTGCTTTAGACCAAAAATAATTTGATGTATTCTTAGCTGGGTCAAGAAAGCTAGGACAATTTAATGGAGGCAGGAATAGAAGTTTCTTTGTACATGAACTATCACAGTCAAATGATGATATCACTCCTGAATCATATGCTTCTGCACAAAATACTACCACATTAATTATTGGAGAATGAAGCAAAATCAAAATGGAAGATGGTTTTAAACAGTTTCTTGTTCTCACACTCCCAGAACTGATGCTAGAGGATGGCATTTCCAAAAGTCAAATGGCTGAGATTACTCAGTCCCCTAATAGTTGATCCTCAGTCCTGTCCAATGCCTTAGCCCAATGTTTCATCCTCTATCCTGTGAAGAAATAGAACTATTTATCCTTAGCCATAGTCTGTAGGAAAGGAAAGGTCAAAAAGCATGCTAGAGAATCAGAGACAAAGAACTGGTGATTCACACAGAAGTAAGAGAACAGAAAGCATTTCAAAGGAAAGCAGAGGGGCAGATCTAAACAGAGGAATGCTCAGGACTGAGGGATATGGAATGAAACAGTGACACAGGGTGAGAAAAGTCAGCCATAAATTATGATGCAGTAGTTGTGGGAAACTTTCACATGCTATGCAATTTTTAAACTGTCCAGAGAGCCAGAAGCAACTCTGGTCAAACAGGTACGAGGAAGTCCTTTAAATACCATGACCCTGTGATTAATTGCAGTTCTAGCAATGGCTGTGACTGCTGCTCCAGGTGGTGGGCCATTACCTAGCCTGTGCCACTAAGCTATGCAAAGACATGAAGAAATGCATTTAATAAGTTACACAGTTGAAGAGCTGTGCATAATCGAAGGACACCACAGGTAGCTAAGCATGAGTGAGAGCTTGTGGCTTCTGCAGCTGTGACTTCTGCAGCACCAAGCCAGTCTCCAGCTGGTGTCGAGCGAGCGTGTTTTCTCTTAGCCAGAAACACACACACATTCCTCGCTAGCCTTGGTCTTGGTTCTGTGTTGACAGATGAGCATATACTGTAGTTTAAACATAGATTTAATCATTTAAATCTCTCAGATGCAGGCAATTGTGCTTCTGTATCCAATTTGTTAACTATACCCTTATTATGTTTAAAGGAAAAATAAAGTGGTCTAGCTAAAGAATTAACGGATTCCTAGACTAATACCTAACAAACTGCTGAGATTTAGCATAGCAAGTAAGAATGTCAGATTGTGGAAATACTTCATACTATGTCAGAGTCCTGGCACAAAGGGCAAATCTGTGTTAGGGAGTGTAATTTACTGAGGAGTTTTTATACAATTCCTTTATCTTTACTTGGGAGGTGGAAATGACATGGTGAAGATGCTTGAAGAGGAGGAGGTTGTGTCATGATATTCAATCTTGCTTCTGTGGAAGATAAAAACAAAAATCTTGCTCATTCAATGGAAGTTGAATTGGAATGTTTTAAATGTGCCTCACAAGATACAGTTCTGAGACCTCCCTGCAGCTTTCCCTCCCCTGTGGTTTCCAGCTCAAGTCTGCGTCTCATTTTCTGCTAGGTGGAATAACACCCATTTCCTGAATTTGCTGTTACTTTGGATTATGTGCATAGGGCTGTTGCTACAGGCAATGCATTCACAATTAGATCCGTTCTTTTGCCACACTGCTTAGAGAAGGCTGAATCTTCTCCATCCTTTTTATGTTTAAGTGACTTGATTAAAGCATATAAACAAAACCAGACATTCCCCCCTCCTTACCCTCCCAAAACCAGAACTTGCAAATGTTCTGGGTATCACTGTTCCTTCTTTTTTTTTTGTATGACATTGGGATTGTCCCTAACATGCAGTTTTCTTACTGAAAAGAATAGCTGATAATTGACAAGAAATTATTAAATACATAAGAAAAAACATAGACAAATCCAATAGTGTTTAATTTAGAACCTTTTTTTTTTTCTGTAAACTGTTAGGTTTTTTTTGTTTCTTTGTTTTTTAAAATAGATAGTTCATCAGGCCAAACAGTTGTAGTCTAGTATTTGATACAGTTTCGGTACACATTTTCTCATTCAACTATTGTTTTCTTTCTGCCTTTTTTTTTTTTTTTTTCCACATTACATTAGCAATTGCAGAAGGCCCTGAAAAATTCTAATTTATTTCTATGGCTAATGATTTCAAGATTATTTTCTGTGCCATGTTCAAGTCTATGCCAATATACATTGCCACAATTTAGTGAGTGGTTTAGTAATCCAGTTCATTCTTTTGCAACACATGTTGCAATTGATCTTGAATGTACGACTGTAGATTAAATAGTTATAACAAAAAACACCCACTTAAAAATGCGATGATTACTTCCAGATAATTTTATGTTTAAAGTAACGGATAGCGAACAAACAAAAAACCTTATTATACATAACACTAAGAAGACCAGGAAGAGCCCAAAGCAGCAAAATCAGTGGTTAAATCTGTAGTCATTTCATATTCCTAATTATAGGTTATTAATCTTTTCAGTTATGTAGTGGTGTGGTTTGTATTCATGAGTTGACAATATTCCAGGAACTCTAAAACAAAAGAAGCTATTCCATGTTTGTTTGTTACCTGTACAAAGATCAATAACACCTCAGGGCAAACACAGTCTATAGTCTCTTATAGTCTCTTATTCAAATTGCAGGAAAATAATATGCCTAATGGCAAAAAAGCACAAAACAACACAAAATTATTGAAGAAGTTTGTGAGGCACTGTATATACATTAAAAAAATACACGGTAACCACTGCATATTTTTGTGCATTGGATAAAGATTACAAATACTGAGGCTTAAAATTAAGATGCCTGAACTTTTGCTTCCTTGTTAATGAGAGACTTCAGTAACTTACTGCGATTCATCTGTCCTCGGCCACTGGGAACCGCCAGGTGTAAAGGCCCTCCAGAAGTGGTATTCGTAGTTGGGTGTCTTCCATCACCCATTAGTGCAGAGCCAGCCGTCATGTATATAATTAACAAAAGCAATTACAGACATTTTTCAGGGTGATCACTTGACATTCTGCATTCTTGTGTTTTTGAATTGCATTTGAGTCGCTCTTCTGGCTCATGCTGATCAAGAAGTGACTGGAACAATCTGAAGTGACTGGAACAATTTTGTGTGTTCTGGTGGTTTGCAGAAAGAAAACAAAGCCTGTTCTCCTGCCTGGCATTTCCAGAACTGTGGCAGTGCTGAGCACTTCAGTTGGACAAAGTACAGATACCGGAGCAAGTCTCAGAACAGACAAGGACAAAGCAGAGCAAGACAAAGGACAAATACTGGCTCTCTGTGTGTTTGAGAGGTATGCACTGAGCTATGGAACAGCCATCTTCCATAAACTGCAGTCATTCCCCCCTCTTCAGAACATAAATAGCAATCCCAAATCTTAAACTGTTGCCTAGGCCAGTGGGAGGGAGCTGATGCTAGTAGGAGTAGCTCAAGAACTGTTATAAAAAGAAGTCAAAGGGTGTGCTTGTCTGCTTGGATGCACAAAAAATCTTTTCTGGGTATTGCAAGTAAAACAGCATTCACTTGCTTAAGATTGTGATTCAAGTTTCTATTAAAAGTAAACAAAATAGTCCCCCAGAAGATAAGTAATTCACCCATGGTGAGACTAAATAAGGAAAACTTCAAATGAGAAGAAAAATCTTGCTGAAACTTATGAGAAAATAAGAACTAAGAAGATTAAAGACTCTTTTTAACCTTCAGACCTAGGCTTGTTGCCATGCGAACAGCTTCTTGATATTTCTTAGTACATTAAAAAATAGAAATTGATACATAGTGAAAATTCTGTTTAACTAATGATATTTTTGGTAGACAAATTAGAATGATTTAAAGAAATTGTAGAATCATAGACGTTTAAAAATAATATAAATTTTGATCCTTTCAGGATGCTCAATAGACAAGTACACATTTGAGAATTTTATTTAACAGTTTAAATGTATGAACTTACAACTGTTCTTATTTCTAGTAAGTAACGTGATACACTTCAGCCAAAGCTGAACTCCAGGCAGGCGGGATACACGAGTGAGTGTGTGTGTTATCAGAGGAGCCATTGCCAGCACAGAGAATACTAGTAAATATAACAGTGTGAAAAGTATTGGACAATATATGTATAAAAATTATTATTCAGAGTCGTTTCAATTTTCATAGTCCCCAGATTCATATTCTTCTTCATCCTCATCATCCGAAGGGTCATAGTAGTCCCAATAGTCAGGGTCATAGCTTGCACTTCTGCTAGCAGTAAATGCAAACGCGGAAGGTGAACCTGCACAGCAAGACATAATTGAATCCAGATTGAATTAGCTGTAAATAGGAATGAAGAGGAGAGTACAGTTTTAGATAAGTACAGCAAGCTCAATATTTCTGAGTCCTTGTTAAGAACTATGCCTTCAATCATTTGCAAATCCTACAGACCCAAAAATACGAGCAGATCTGATAAAGCTTTGAAAACCACTGGCAGAGTCAGTGACAAATGAAAAAGCCTTAACTTGGGAGGCAAATACAGACAGCGTCTGTGTCCTGCATTTGCCAGCAAACCCAGTTCTCACTGGCACCAGAAAGATGTTAGCCTGTGGGACTGAGCCCAATGCAAAAAATGTAAAGCTGTTTCTTGTATTTTTCCGAATGCTATTGGTGAGGAACAACGGCTGTTGCCATCCTAACTTTTGGAAAAATAAGCAGATAAACAGAACAGCCGTAGTTTGAAGACTGCCTCAGATCCAGCAGTTGTTCTGGGTGCAGAGTTCGTAACATCAAAGGGCTTCTCTAGGAGGAAGATAGAATAATATGTTTCAGATCTGTGGCTATAATTTTCAACTATTTTTCTCAAAGATGGTATCATTTGAAGCAAAATGTTATGATATTAACATGTCAGTATTTTTCTCTTCCAGAATTCACAGGCACTTCTGAATTAAAAATACCTAGAACTGAATCTCTTTGAAAGGACGAAGGAAAAGAAAAGCAGACAGAAAAGTTAAAGTATGGAAATCTCTAGGTCATTTCTGATATCCTTAATTTGCATTTGCATTCTGACAGACCCACACACTTTGCAGGCTGCTTGTCAGTCTTAAACATTTTATATTCTTCACATCCAAATAAAAAAAACAAAACACAATATACCATCAATGACTTTCAATCTTGCAGAGGCATATGTTGCACCATACTTATTTTTGGTATGGCAGATGTAGATGCCTTCATCTGATTTTTTGAGGCCTTGAATCTGCAGCCAGCCTGTCACACCGTACTTCTGAGGTCCACCTCTTGCCTTTTAGAAGAGAAAGAAATAGTGAAGTAGCTAGGAGACATGATAATAGTTTTCAAAATAATTGGGTCCAGATTTAAACATTGTTCCAAACTTTGCTTTTGTTTACCATGTACTGCTATCATGCTTTGATTCTCAGTTTGATTCTGCTGCCTTGTATTTTAATTTCCTGTTTTCTCTGTGACTCTTAGTTCATGCTTCCCCTGCTCAACCCTTTAAACTTCAGTGCCCTTCACAGGGCTCTAATTCCTGGTCCTTTTGATGCTTCTGTTTCCCAGCAGTCCTCACGCTTCTTGTCCTGGCACCACTTCTTGCTGCTGCTTCAAAGCACTGCCACTTGTCCTGGAGCTCATTAATTTCTTCAGGATGAGAGTGGCGTTTGAGCCTGAGCCAAGGGGCCTGACCAAGCTGGCACTCAGCATCCAAGTTTGAACAGACAGAGCATGAGTTTTCACAGTTTGTGACAATCAGTTTCAACTGGCTCGTGCCAAAGCCTCTTAATGGGGGAGCTTTGTTTTCCAAACAAATAATACAAATACAAAACAGGTAACAAATGTTGGTAGAGATGCTGTCGTGCTCACTCTAACCTAATGAGACAAGTTAACAAGGTTTAGTTTAGGCTCTGAATCGACCAGTGTTCGGATGGGGCTCCATGCACCATTGTTTTTAAGTCCACTAATTCCACATACATTCATGCTCTGTTTGCATGGATCTGGGTACATTTCTAAATAATTTAGATACTTAGTACTATAATAAGGTATTTCTGTGCATTTTCTGTCTATATTTTTTTCAGGTTGTGTCCAATGTCCATTGGATCTTTTAGCTTTTCAGTTGTGTATCCAGAAAGCTAGATTTGCCGTTCACTTCCCCAGGACACAGTCTGCTCGTGTTCTTTTGCCCACTCGAGGAGGCATGCTGATACAGCCCTCAACCTTCCTGCAGTCTGCCAGTACATCTGGCTTTGTTAGCTCTTCTCCCCAGAATGTTATTTCCATTTAAAAAATTAGCATTTTGATTTAATTTTAGCTCAAACTTTCAGGCTATCTCTGCATTTGCTCAAACCCCTATCTAATGCCATTCTGCTAGTTCCCCTCAGATTAAAACACAGCATCCTCCATAAAATGAGCACATTTCTTTGTTTGCTTTTTGAACGCATCAAGGACTGAACCCAAATGGCAGGTCTCCAGAAACAGCATCTTGCAGAGGAGAAGTTGAGGTATCTGCCAGAATTATGCTTCGGCACCAAGAATAGAAAAACAGTTGCCAACAGCCATCCTTCCCACAATGCACCTTCTTCTAGGTATTAGCTTAAACATTTCTATTTTTATATCAATTCATTTTTTCCAGAATGATTCATATGTAAGGAGAATCTTGCATCTTTTCTTTCCCTGGAGATGGATGGATGGTACCCCTCCTGTTATTCCTTCTGCTTGGACTGCCACAGCAACAATCCCTGCACTCACCAAAGTCAGAATTCTTTACATAATCATAGGACCCCTGTAGGATTTCTATTTATTACAACTGTACATGTATGCTGTAGGAGAAATTCGCTACTTAGCACCCCTACTCCTCATTCCAAATCAGTAAGTTACAGTAAATGCAAGTTTTACCTGTACTGAGATATGGGCATCATCTCCCGGCAGAAACATTTTATTCCCTTTTTTTTTCCATTCAAGGTGTGGCATAGGATAGGCTGACACCTCACAGCCAAAAATGACATCATTGCCTGTGAAATTCTGGACATCCTGGGGTGGCACAGAAATCACAGGAGCTGCAGAGACCCAACAGAGTACTGGTTTAGAAGACAGTGAACAGCATAAACACAAAAGTATATAACATAAATTCTTGTTTCACACGATAAAACTAATTTTCATGTTTTCAATCTTGCACATTATGAGGAGCCACATGATTCCAAGCAGCTTTTCAAGCTCAGAAAACTGTGTCTCATTAAGGGTGAACAGGTATTTCAAAGACACGAATTTCAAAGTACCTGCCTGTCCTTTCTCTATGCACACGATTGTGAAACTTAAGCTGAACTTAAGTAGTTTGCGTCCTGTGTGCTGTCATCATGGGCTAGACCCGAGGCCCATCGTTTTAGCAGCCAGTGCTTTAGCAGCCAGACCTTCAGAGGAAAGTATAAGAAGTTGTGTAGCAGGCCGTCACAGAATAACTTGATCACGGGCAGTAGTACTTCATTTCTGTTACGTTTTGCCTAGCTTAAAAGCTGAAATGCTGAGATCGCTAGCTTATCAGAACTTGTCTTCTGGATACCTCATTGCCTTCAGCTTGCTAAGGTCTTGTTTCTCGCCATAACCTGTGGAGTGCATCGCAGCAAGTTACAGAATAACAGCATTAATAGGTTTCACATTTAGCCCCACTTGCTGTCAATTTCGTCTGATGTTCTTGTGTTAGGAGACATAAGCAACAGTAGTAATACAGTTACTTTATAAGTTTTTATGCTTATTATAACTATCAAATTTCCATGTACTTGTTTCCTGTTATTCTTTTATCTTCAACCTCCTTCTCCATTTATTTTTTGTCTCTGAATGATTCTCTTCCACTTTTTCCCAAATAAAAAGCTGACATTAACCACGAGAGGGAGCCAGATCAGGGATTTGCAGACATTAAATAAAAAAAATATCATCTGATGCACTCAGACACTATTCAAATACATAGCTCTCTATAAGCACGTATGAGCATACTCAGTTTTAACAGAAGATGATTTTATTTAGCAGGAGGGAGGAAAAACACATATTTACTGTTAATGCAGCTTTCCTGTTTTGGAAATCTCTTTGGACTTTTCTGTATCTACATGTCATCAATGAGAAGTGTTTTCTTTATAAAGTATGCTTTCTTTCTCTATTTCCCTGCTGGCTTTTAAAAATGAACATGTTTTCTGGGCCATTAGACTTTTATTTAATTATTGCTTTTATTTTTGTACATATCCCAGAGACTTAGAAATAGAAACTTCTAGTAAATAATTAATATATTTTGACTCAAAATATTTGAATCAATGTGTACAGTATTTATGCTTCAGCATCTGAAATCATAATATACTGTCCCACGTTTTCAAGCAATGTTTCATATACCTGTGTCAGTTTTTATGAATTGATAACTGTGCAGAAAATATAAAATATATTCTATCAAAATTACTTGAAAAGCAATTACACAGGAAAATATCAATTTCCCCATTTATTAATTCCTCATTAAACACTGCCAGTACCCTTCAAAAGTAAGGTTTTCAAATTTATTAGCCCTTAAATGCTTGTTCTTTCCTGAGAATGGTACATTCAGAACCTCTCTATCATTGCAAAAATCTCATGTTCAAATCAGAATTGCCTGAGTATCTTGGATGAGAATTTTTTTTGCCTATGATCAGAGGATCTGACATCAGAACACACTTTGGAATACTAAAACTCAGTGCAACCACAATGCTTTTAATTATGTGTCCACTTTAGTTAAGTTTCAGGTGTAAGAAAGAAAGCCAAATGTTACATTGACTCACATTAGTTCTTTAAATTGTTTCTGTACAGAGGCAGCACACAAACTTGCTGGCAGGCAGATGTAGACTGGTTAGTACCTTTGTGCCAGTGTCCTGGGATGATACTGACAAGACCGAGGTATTGCCAAGAGCAGAGCCCTGCCTGTGTGCCTGTCCTTGGGCACAGCTCAGCCACATGAGGCTGGGGGCTCTGCCTTCATGACACCACATAAACACATCCTTAGCCTCCAGGACACGAGGATCTCAATTACAAATTACCTTACAGACATACGAGAAATTTGACTAGCACTGTTTACCGTGCACAGATACTACTTCCATGCTGGAAACAGCCATTTCTTCATTAACTGTGTCAGATGGAAACATCTAAATACGGCCCAGGTCTCACCCAGCTGAGTACCTCCAAACAAGTACTTAAGGCTTTGCTGGACCTGGGCTCACAAGGACTGGCTTCACCTGAGATCAAACCTGCAGCAAGTAGGAAAGACCACAGTTTTGATCAAACTAAACAGCCTTTTCTGAATGTGAACACACAATGGATACTTACATTATCTACTCAAACTTGAAGTAACTCCAGAAAAAAATTAAAATCTTACAACACCATTTTGCTATATGTCAATGCAGAAAAATGAAGTCACAATTTAATATTTTAACAGCAATGTACAAGCTTCATTCATGAACATTTCATAATTTGTGTTCAGCCAGATTCTACCATGCATATCTGTGTGTTTGTTTGTTTTTGTTTGTTTGGTTTGTTGGTTGGCTTTGTTTTTTAAAATTGTCTCTTTAAAAACAGGTCTTTACTGGAATGATTAACCAGTCATTTTGATTCCTGGAGCAGATAATCTTTTCTTGATAATTATAGACAGCATTCTGATGCCTCAGTGTCTGGAGGTGAATGTGCTGTAGTTGTGCCTTGCCTTTTAAAATTCTGGTCACGAACTATCCTCCTGTGTTACAGAAAACATAAACCAGAAGCCAGGAAAAATCAAAATTCTGCTTCGCTTTTCATAATTGACTTTAAGCCAATACCATTACAGAATAAATAATTATATAGTACCAATTTTTTGTTTCTTAACTCCTTCATTTTTGCTAATCTATGTCTAATTTAATGAAAATGACAAGAAATCTGGCAGATCAGTTTTGTTGTTGTTGTTGTTTTTTTGCTGTATCTAAACTTCGAATAATTACATTTAATTTCAAAGAGCAGTGCTGCTAGTTCTGTTACTTCATTAAATCATCAGCAGTAAAGCTTTGAATGGGGATAGACTAAGTGTGGAGAATCTGTATATACTCACTACTTAGTAACCTTGGTAAATTATTAGATAAACTGATCAAAACTAACATTTAGGAAGAGAAGGGCTTTTTTTCAGAGTTACTTTAGGGAGCTAGGCCTTTTTCTTCCCTTTTTTTCTGACGATAGACGAAAGATGAAAGGCTGTGCTCTTCTGATGAAAGGAGTTTATTGTTATTTATTTATTCATTGGTTGCTGTATACAATTAATCCTTTTGGCATCAATAGGAAACAGCAGATGCTTTGAAGGAGAAATAGCAAAACAAAGTACTTGGAGTTGACTGAAGGTTATATTTATAGATTGGTACCAAAACCCCACAGTGTTTGGTGTTTGTTTCTCATGCAAATTGAAGTCAGTGGAAAGCGAGTGCCATGGTGAGGTTGCTGGTCTTGGAGCCAGACTCCCTGTTGCCTTTTGTCATCAGCTGCAGCCATGAAAAAAGAGAGTCTGAATCCCAGCACACTCTCACATGCCCACTGTGGCCTCAGGGAGCTGCCGTGAAGGAGGGGCGCACTGGCAGACTCCTGTGGGGGACCAAGGCATCGTGCCCCCATGGCAGCACCTCTGAGTCTCCTGGGTCTAAAACAGAGCCTACAAAACGTGGTCAGCAGCTGCTCAGAGAAGTTGAGAAGAGGGATGCTTCTCCCTGACCCCAGTGAGCCCAGCACCCACCTCAGGCTCAAATGTGCTGCTGCAGCTGGGCTCACGCACCAGCTGCGTCTCTTCTCTGCACCAGCCAAGGTGGCAGGCCCCCATTTCTCTTCAGTGAAGTCTGCACAGCAGTGAGGGCTGTGAGCTTATCCTCTGTGCAATTCAGCAAACTGAGGCATCCCAAGAAATTCCTCTGTGTGCCTGGAGAGCGGGGCCAGCCTTTCTGGGGACCAAGGGAAGCAGTGGGAAAACACTGGGGGTGATGCCTGCATGCAGAGGAGCTGAGCTCGTTCCTCTTGCTTGAGGAGCAGTGTTACGCACCTCAGAGGTGGCTCCAAGGCCAAATTACTGCTTTTTGGCCAGGTCCATTTAATTAATTAGAGCAAACCATTGCTTTAAGTCTGTGTGCCAGAACAGCAACCTTCTCTGCTGCAAAGGTAACGTCAGCTGCTACTTGAATGGCACTTCCAGCTGAAATCTCCCTGAAAGGGTTACCTTGCAAGAACTTGTGCTATTTTCATGCCAAATAAGAGAAACTACCCAAGGGCAAACAGGCTTTCAATCACACCACGCGCTGGTGTGCAGTGAGTTTTCTGAATGTCTCTTTACTGACAAGCCTCACTTCCCAGCTTAATGCCCTAATGGCAAATAGGGGGTTCTTCAATGGGTGTTTCTTTTGCAACTAGAAAAAGAGGAAAGAAGTCTGGTCTTAGCTGCTCATCACTCTTCCTTTTAAGTATTCAATGTCCAGTGTTCATTCAATACAAAAGCACAGCATATGGTCTGAATTGGAGGCAACAGACTGCTAGCAAGGAGTGAGTGAAATGGACCTGAGTTACTCACATACGTGAACCATTGCCAGAGACACAAGTTTGGATTCCCACAACTGTGACCCATTTGTGACTCAGAAACCTACTGATTTCATATGAGAAAATATTTCATGAACTTTCTTTTTAAAAGAAAAAACATTTCTCATTAAAACAAAAACACCACAAAACCAACCACTAAACTGTTCACTTTCTCCTTTTCATTTTGTATTTATCTGCCTTAGGTGAAAGGTGCCCATGAGTAACGACCTGTAATAACGTGAAGAATGAGAACAGCATATGAGCAGCAGACAGCATTCCCCTCTACAACCCGGCTAAGAATCCTTCCACTAGCAATCATCGCTGGGAAATATTCATGCTCTGTAAGTGTCTTTAGGGAAATTGTTTGTTTGTTTGTGTTCTGATATATGGATTTCCATTTCATGGGAACCTAGCTTTTATGATGATTCCTTAATTAGATTATTGTGGACATTTTTGTTAAAATAATAGACCTATTAATTAAGCCCTATCTTCTTTTTCCTCTACTTCATTAATTACTAGATATCCATACAGATAGATACATACATGCATGAGCGTACACACATGGACGTGAGTAAGGTCTGCTTTGCAATCACCACTTTAATATCAGATCAGTCTTCATGTAATAATAATTACTTGTCCAGTACTCCCAGACTTTTCAACTGTTCATCTACTCCCAACTACACACACAATTTTTGTAAAAAATATTCTCTGCTCTTTAAAAGCAGATTTAGTTTGTTTGTGTCTTACTGGTTGCCATGTGATATAAAATCCACTGGGTTAATAACTATACCGAGGCTTATAACTTACAAGTATTAGCTACTGACCCACATTTTCCACAAAATAGTACTGCAACAAAATAATGATAATTAGAACAAAAACGTAGCATTTCCTCAATGAAGTTAAGGCTAGAGCATCTAGTAACATATCTAAAAATCAGAATGAGTTTTTTTAGTTTGAAAGCGACTCCGAACAGGTTACCTGATTCACAGGGTCCTTTATGTTTCATGCTGATATTTCTCTTAGTTGCATAAGCCTTGTTGAATTGACAGATGTTCTCATAGGTTTTCCCTTCGGGTCCGCAGATGCTCTCTTGAGACTTGCACACACACTGGGGTTCAGGAACTTCCCCAAACCTGGCTTCGTCAGCATCCAACCTGCACTCGAGGTTGTCCCCGCATTGCCCATAAAAATGATTACCCTGGTCCAAGTCACAGATCTGACCTTCCACGTTTCCACATTCAGGACAGCAGCCACAACGGTCCAGTACAGTCCCGGCTGGACAGTCTTTAGGCTCAGAGCAAAGTGCCAGCTCACATTTTCCGCAATCATCTCCTTCCCTTAAGAGCCTCCACCAGCCTCGATGGTACAAGGCAGGGAAACCATGAGAAACCTGCACCAGTACTACCAGCACTGCTGTAACCACCGGGGGCTTCATCTTGAGAATGTAACAAACAAGCAGAAAAGGTCCTTGGAGTAAAGCCAGGAAAAAAAAAAAAAAAGAGCTTGTGAGAGAAAAACGTCACAATCCTTTTTTGTTGTAGAATATAAATTCTACTGCAAACACAGGCTTTAAGAAGAAATTAGCATCAGATTCCTAATCTGGAACTGATAATAAAAATGCATACAAACCCACCAGCTTTTCTCTACTGCAGTTTGGAATGTGAGTATTGCTTGCACAGAAACCAAACTGCCCCTTCTGACAGCTCTCTGAAAAGCTGTTTGCTCAGTGTCTCCTTGAGCCAAATTTGCAAAGCATTGCTCTACTGAAACAACATTATATTGCAGCTATTGTACAAAGGGGAACAGAGCAAGTTAGAGCAAAATGAAGAAATTAACTGATAAGAGGATTTTTTAATTATCATTTTGCTTGTCAGTTGACAGAGATCACACAAAAAGAAGATAAACGTTGGTAGAAAGTAACACCTAATTTACCAGCACTCTAGAGCTGAGCTAGTACTGGAACGAGGTTTAAAACAAAATTTCATCTATTATTGATCTTACCTCGGGGTTTCTGAATTAACAATTTACTTACAGGCTCTTTACAAGCAAGGGACAATCCAGGACAGCTGAAACTGACTTTGAAGTCTTGGATTTAAGAGGAGGGGTGTCTAGATCCATTAAAGAACTCATTGTTCTCTGCCCATTTAGCTTCTTTTGAGCATTTATGGGTGCCTGTGGTTTGCAACCCAAAATAATGTGGGCCACATGTTTGGCTCTCAAAACAAAGTGCGAATGATTTAGAACATACGCCAACATAAACAAGACACTGCAGCATCTTCAGACACACCAGAAGGAGGCTTTGCTGAAGTTAGATGCATCACTGATCTTTTCAGAGCACTTTTCTACCTCTGTTTCTTAAGATGTGCTTACACTGAATTACAAAGGATGCATTTTGTTGTACCACCCTTACACCCTCTGGTCACATCCATTAAGACAAATCTCACAGCAACATGTGTTCACTTTCCATCCTGAACATATCCATGGCTTTTCCCAAGTTGAGCTTCATATCTTCTGCACCAACTGAGCTTGCCTGAAGTGAAATAGGCTGGTTCAAGATCACTTCCTCCTACTGAACTGCATATAATGCAATTTCCCTCTGACCTCCATCGGTGGAGCACTTCTTAAAGCCATCCTAGGGAGACCTGCAGGGCCTTGCTCATTGCTGAGTGATGGCTGGACTAATTCATTTTCTGTACTGCACGCTGGCTTTGAACACAGAAGCAGACTCTGAAGGAGTACATTATGTGTGTAACTGATGCTTTTAACATTCAGAGTTAGGCAAAAAGTAACCAATGAATTTAATGGGAGACTGATTTCTTGTTCCACCTTCTTATGCTTTTTAATGTGTTTTATTTCACACTTCCTCATCAAATTCTAATCAGACATTTAGTTTTACATTATATAATCTACTCATCACTATATTTCATTGTGTCTACAGCTGTAGGGTATGAGTATCTAAAGGATAAAGATTTGCCGAGGCCCATATGAAGTAAAAAATGTTTGTAGTGGTGAAAATATACATACAAAGCGGAGCCAAAGCTAGGAGGGGCTTCAGGCCAGCACTACGCTTGTCAAGGCTGAACTTAACCCTTCTTACAGGAAATGTGATTTGAGGGCTGTAAAACAAGGGTACTAGGAATTACTTCCTGCATCCTGACATTAAGGAAACCCATCATAAATATCCTAGAAAACATTTTTTACGTTTATCTGAGTAATGCAATCTGAGTTCTTGATGGATTTAGCCTACAAATTAAGAATGGGGCATAGGTGTGGTCTCATTTGAACAGCTGCCACTCGGTAGGTGATCTACAGCTGAAGGTTATTTTGGCCACTGATAACTGAGCTCACCTGGAACAACGGGGGGTTGAGGGGGGTGTAAAGCAAAGTAGTGCAACAGAGAGAATGGACACCTGTCCCAAATGTCTTCTGTTAGCAATGGCAGCTGTGAGGAGCTGAAAAGAACATTTCTGTAATTCTCTATACAGGATGGATATGTGGCAGTACAGGAGAAGGTGGGAGCAAGGAAAGAGTGCAACAGGGTTTGAGGGGCATATCTGAAGGGACTGTCCCATTTGGTTCAGTAATAAGATGCATTATTTCAGTACCTGAAGCTTTCTTTGGTGGGTTAAGTGAAAAAAGCATTGATTTTTTTCCCCCACGAATCCTGATTTATCTTCACTCTAAATTACTCCCTGGCTCCAGAAAGAAACACAAGTGGCAATAGATTAACATTGCTGGTGGAACAGCAAAACAAGAACAGAAGTACACTGTCTCCTTTTTGGACACCATCCCCCAAATGCTGCCTGGAGAGCTGACCAGCAGTGCACCTGAGGCCAGCACAACCCCTCTGGTAAGGGGAGGAGGTGCATGAGGGGAGATCTCTACCACCAGCTGTGAAATAAGAATGTTTGGTGCACAACTTCATTAACAGCAGGTTGAACAAAGGTACTGTTCCGTCCATCTCAACAGGCAGGGTAGTGCTGAGCATGCAACATACTTTTTCTGGCCCTTTTTCTGGTGTTTCTGTGTGGCGTAGTAAGCACAATGAGTTCTACCTTCCCCATATGGAAGAGGCAGTGGGCAGTGAAGAGGCCTAGCAAAACAGCCCAACTCTTTCCATACCCTCAGACTTCATCTTCTACCAGGACACGGGAAAGGTCTTGCAAAATAATTCCTGTAAGTGAATTGTTAAGGAAATTGTATTCCTATTCATTTCCTGCTTTCTTCTTGGGGCCAGTGTTACGCTAAGCTGCTGAGTTGTATTGCATTATTCTGATTTGCATGGTAATAGATAAGGTACGTGGCTGATGCAATTTGAAATCCTGTTGCTAGTGATTCCTGAGGTACTGCTTTTTCAGATGAAATATGTTTCAGGTCTTCATTCTGTATTTATTTGTGTCAGGAGAAGTTTTACTTAAGTAAGGGTTTCTGAATCTGGCTCCTGTCAGACTCAGACCTGGTTTCTTCACAGATACTCATTGCAGAGCTCTTGTGTAATGACAAAACAAGAAGTTCTGAAGTTTCCCTTCTGTCTTCTCAGTCCTGCAATGGTTTGTTTTGTTGAATGGGTAGAGTTAAGAAACGTTAGTGTTGAGTCTCTTAGGCTATATCAAGTACCTATTCTTGAGGTTCCTTTAGAGAGAGTAAATCTTAGCTGACTCAACATGTTTCTATCCAAGAAACCTTAGTTGCTATTACATGCACATGCACACAAAAGAAGCGTTAAAGAAAACTAATGCTTGGTCTGTTCTGCTGGGTAATGGCAGAGAGCAGGTAGCCAAGCCCTATAAAGCATTACCTGACACTATACCAACCTCTTAGGATAATTTTTCTCCCACAGTATCAAGAATTGAGCTGTGTTATTTGTTTTTGTAAAAATAAGGGGCAAATGGTGGAAACTGATGACCGATGAGGCAGAAGTGTTTGGATGCCATTTGTGGGTTTGCATCAGAAGTGCTGACCAGCAGTGGTATGGGCAATCCTGGAATCTCCAAGTATGTTCTTTTTTGGTGCCAATCGTATTTGCTGACACATTGCTTTCATGAATCTCATCATTAGTGCTGTAAGCACATGAAGTATAGGTTAATTCTACTGTAACATCATTATTAAATCCATTAATCAAGGGCAGGAGATCCGTAATTAACTTATTCTCCAGCATCAAGTAAATGATTCTACTGTGAGCTTTAAGAAAGCAATTGTTCACTAATATGCAAAATACAGTGGGGCTTTTAGACTATAAGGCTGTGTAATTGTATAATAAAATTATAAATTTTGCATATTTTAATAATGTAACGTATATATTTTAATTATTTTCTTTGCAAGGTTAAAATGGGAATCATTATTTTTGTTTATTTTAATTTATTTATTTATTAGTTCTTACATCTCAGTTACCAAAAAAAGAAAAAAAGAACACGGCTCCTTCCTGAAAGCTGATTATTTTCATCAAAGGCTTTGGCTAGGCTTTTGTTGACTCATCCTAGACCTATCTGTAGCAGTAGCTGCCTATAGATTCTTTGCTGATTCATGTTTCATCATCGTCATTGTTGGTGACTGTAGGCATTCAACGTTCAACTTGCAGTGACAAAAAGAAAGGCCTGCTAGCACTGCTCTAGTACAAAATGCTCGGGGTTGATTAATGTAGCCTTACTGACTGCTTTTACACAAATACGTCTGAAAAATCCTTTACACAAGTTAATTTGCCTTCCAGGTACTTCAAGGGTTAGGCTCTGCCTTACTCCTCTGCTATGCTTTAAGAAAACCAAACTTGTGAAAGCTTTGCAGGTTTGCTCAGAAACAGCCAAGCCTCCTGTCCTATAACAGGAAAGGGACAGGGAAATATTTAGGGAATCAGCAGCAGGCAATCAAGCATTTTTCTAAAGCCATTCTTTTGAAAGGTGAGTTGTAGTGAGGAAACCTGCACATAAAGTGTGATAAGAGCATTTCCCCATGTGTCTTGCCCACATTTCCACCCCTGCAAATCTTAGTTGTTTGTTTTAGTCTTTCTCCAGATGCTTTAATCACAAATAAAAGATAGAAGCTATAGTCAGCAGCCATTCTTCTTCCTCTTGAGGGAGGGAGGCAGGCACAAAGGTTTGCCCGCCTTAATTTTAGGGCTAAAAGCAAAGCCTCTGCATGTTTTGTACAGACCTCAGTGTTTTCAGGTGTCAAGTTCTATTGCAGCAGATGCTGCAGTTCAGTATGGAGTTCAACTTGTGCATCAAAGGCAGGTGCTGTTGGCATTAACAGTGAGGCAGTAGGGCTGTCAGGTACAGCGGAGCTTCAGAGACACCAGAAAACCTACCGACCCTCTCCACATAACAGCAGACAAAATAGAAGAGCACACGAAAGGCACGTCCTGCACATCCTGCCAGCTGCAGGCCTGGGGACAGACATGGGGCAATGGGCAGGGGGCCCTTGAGGCAGTGAGCAGGGAGGGCGGGAGGCAGAGGTGAGGCCCTGGTAAGCCCAGCCTGTCCCAGGACTTACCCCGTCACCTGGGGAAGGCGGTGTCTGTGTGAGCCCTCTGCTCTTCTCACCTGGGCTGCAGCTCCTACCTTCAGCAGGGTGTTGGAAGACTAGCATGGTGCTTATCAGTGACCTGCAATGAACGTGCTCCAGGCAGCTGGGGAAGGACTGGAAGGAAAAAACAAACATGGTGTTGGCCCTAGGCAATATTTTGAGGTGCTCTGTGCTAACAAAGACTAGGAAAGTAGTATTAGCTGCCACTGAGGGCCAGCTGTGTTTGTGCATACCTGTCCGTCTGTTTCCCACCAGAGAGACAGTGAGGGGATGCAGAGACAGCTTGAAGCCCAAAGATGACTCATGCTGGTGATTCAAAGTCGCCTGTGCCAGAAAGGTTCTTTAAAAGAGCAAGCCACAGTGCTTGCTGGGGAAGCCTAATAGAGAGGGAGCTCTCTGGAACTTGCAGAAATGCATACGGAGTCATTTTGCTTGGCAACCTTAATGTTGATGGATAGAACAGTTTGCCTTGTCCAGTTTATAGAAGAGCAGCTGATACAAAATTACTTTATAGCTGGATATTTATGAGAAGTTTCATTTCAAATAATATAGCTTTTGCCTCTGGCGATGCTGTGGTTTAGCCCTGTTATTACCGGGAACTAAATCTTTAGGATATTCTAACTATAACTGCAGGGCCTGTTTGATCTACCCAGCAAAGTTAATATTTTCCACAGCAATGGAAACTTTATAATGGAAAGTCTCATTAGCAAAAACTACCTGTCCCTAAAAGCAGCCAGGAAATCAGGCACAGAGGGGGAACTTCAGGGATTTTCTTTCAGCTTCAGAAGGGATGTGCAGGGTGTGTGTGACGAGGGGAGGCTTTGCTGGGGCGTTGATCGATCTGGGGCAGCGTGGGCACCGATGAGGTAGGTAGGCAGCAGCAGAAGATAAGGAGGTGTGGGAGATGGCAGGAGGAGGCTTTGGTGTGAATAAGCACAGAAAGCAAAGCCTGTGACGAGCTCAGAGGGACAGCACTTACCACTGGGAAGGCCTGGGAGCACAGGCACTGCCCCTTGCTGCTCGATTCCTGCTCAGGACTTTGCGTTGTCTACTGACCCACATGTCTGATGCACTGTATGGCTGGCTTGCTCTTCTCCCTTCTTCGGCAGATCAGCCCTTGTCTAGTTTCTCTCCTGGACCGCTGTGTAGTGAGTTCCTAGAAAGCGAGACCCCTCGGGGAGTCATTACTTGGAGATCAGTAGTGCTGGGAGCCACGAACAAAGCACTAACGCTCAGAGCCAGGGCCAAACCAAAGGCCTCCCTTTCCCCAGAATCTGAACAGCAGCCAGATAAAGCCCACGTGTGTTGTAAACCCAAGGAGGGAAGTGCAGATGGGAAGAATTTGGTCTCAACCTTTCTAGCAAGACCCTTCCTTCCTGCTGCTTCTCACTCATCAGGAGTCCCTGGGGAAATATTGCGCCCTGCTGCATCTGCCCCAGGGGCCTCAGGGACACTCACCTCAGAGGTTCTGCACCAGCACAGCCCCACAAAGGGCCCTTCGTTAATGCTTACAGCCTCAGGGCCAGGCTGGAGCAGGGCTCTGAGCTGGATTTGCCAGCTCTTAGTAGTCCATGGTTTCTCCTGGCCCCTTTACTATCTTACTTCTGAGGGTTGCAGTAAGTTGGGTAGTTTATCCATGCTAGCTCTTAGATCTGCATGCCTGTTCCTAACAAAAGGTATGAAAGCTGGACAGAGTGTTGAGTGAAAAACATGCATGAATTAAGAAGCATGGGTAGAAGCCGGAGTCCATTTAAATCAATAGCCAGACTCTCATTAACCTAAATGGGCTCAGGATTTTACCCAGCCCGTTTTGCTTAGCTGGCTTCCTGTTTGAGTTGGCAGGGCAAATGGTCTTTGTCCCTGTCCAGCGGGGCGTATGTCAGATTTACTTTTTTTTTTTTTTGGTCGAGGCTGATGAAACACTCTTAGAAGTCTCAGTTTGTTCTAGCCGCAGAGCAGCTAGAGATCCTGAGCGCAAACATCTTGCAGGCACTGAAAGCCATGATGCTTTTGCATGAAATGCTGACCTACTTGTGCTGAAGGAGATGTCTGAGAGCACAAGCTCTGTCTTGAAGAGCTGGTCTGGTCTTAGGTTTGTGATTACATTTGATGATAACTGAACTGACGTGAATCTAAATCTGCATTGAAGAGGCTTTCCTATAGGTGAACACTGGAGCTTATAGAAAATGCCAGTGTAACAGCATCCACTGATGCTGCAGAAGTGGAGTGCTTGTTGGATCGGTAGAGTGAAAAGGATGATGTCTTGTAAGACATGACTGCATAATTGTGACCGACTCCTCTCCTACGCCACAGCACGAGGGGAAGGCAGACTGCTCCTTTGCAGGCTTTGGAGCAGGCTTTGTGGACTGCAGGGAAAGTCAAATGAAAACGGCAGGATATCTCCTGGGAAATCTGAGCTGGCAGTGCAAAACCAAACTTATTGTCTCCCTCGGGGGAGGAAAGAAATAAATCCAGATTTTAGAAGACATTTCAGGTGGGTAAACTTGGTCCTACAGCAATGATCAGAGCCACCTGCATGGTCTGACCCTACCTTCAGAGCTTTAATTCCATGTTCTCTGAAGTTTGGGATTTGTTTTCTGGGTCTCTCAATGGAATAAAACATAATAGAACACTGAATTATTAAAAACCAGCATTTTATAATACAGTGGAACTAAAAAACATGGAAACAAGTGCAGACCACTTCCCTCCAAATCCCTCCTCAGGTAGAGGTGTGAGTAAGCAGAGGGCCTGTGCAGTGTGACTGGCAATAGGAGCACACAACGTGCTGGGAAACAGAGCGAAGGGCTGCTTCACGCACCTCCTGCGAGGCACGGACCCAGTGCTGCCTCCAGACAGTGCCGTGCTCTGCAGACACAGCTGCACAGGGACCAGCTGAAGTGCTGTTCTTGCAAGGGAAGGAGTCAGCACCTCAGCACACCTTTGCTTGGGATCTGGGATCTCTGTGCAGTACGCTGGTATCACACAAAGGCCTTCCTTTTGGGGAAAAAAGGGGAGGAAAAGTCCCTTCATACCTGGAATTAATTTTGCTTTCTTTTTCTCAGCTCCCAAATCATAACTGTTCTGTTCACTTAGCTTATCAGCAGAGATGGTCATCCAAATGTTAGCTGTGTGAATACTCTGAAAATAAGGATTTTTTGTTTGTAATTACATGTATCTGTATTAATCCCACCAAGAAAATTAGATGTAACACAGACTGATGTGCCCAAACAAAGCAACTTGCAATTCAATATTGAATTCTTTTGTTGAAGTGTTGACCTGAGCAAGTATGACAATTAAAAAGTTTCAAAGCACAGAAAATTTCAGAAAAATTATAGTTTAGGACACAGATCTCAAAAGGGAAAGGAGAAAGAAAAAAATATAAAATTATTTATTATTGATTGAGTACTCACCTCAGCTTAACAAGAAGCCCATTGTCTGATCCCAAGTGCAACAACAGATCATAATTTAAAAATGCTTTTAGTCATCAATGAACAGAAAAGTTATTTCAGTGAGAACTTGGAGAACACCTGTGGTAATTACCAACACTAAGCAGTCTTTACAAGGCAGGGCTTTCTGGCTCGCTCTGTGCTGTAATACTAAATGCTGTAAACAAATCGGAGTGATTTCTGCTACCAGTTCAATGCGTAGGTTTGAGATGGAATTAACATTTTAAAAATGCAAAGTATTCCTTGCAGCAGATGGTAGTGTTTGCATACACAAATAAATACCTTGTAGAAATCATAATGTAAACCACATGCTCTGAAACAATGGGATTCCTGAGTTGAACCCTTCATCTTCCTAAAACCGAAAAATAACACCCCCTGAGCTCAAACTGGTGGCTGCTGCAGCACAGGACCTGCTTGTGCTGGGGTGAAGTGGGTACAAGGACACGGAAGGAAGCAGGATGATGTTGGGATGTGCTAAAAGGCAGTGCGTATCTGTCCCTCGCTGTTACGCTCAGACATCCTTGTGCTAGCTCTAGAGAAGGACTGCATAGGCTGTGATAGCCTGGGTTAGCCATCTCCTCTGTGGTGCAGCAGCTTCATATTTTAAACTAGTAAATGAATCACCAAAATGTTTTATGCTGCTGTGGTTAGACTGCTTTTGGTCCGTGCTAGGTAGGGCAGCTCTACGTAGCATATTCCAAGGCTTTATGTTCCTCTGGGTTGCACCAGATACAGGTATTTCACAGAATCACAGAATCACAGAATTTCTAGGTTGGAAGAGACCTCAAGATCATCGAGTCCAACCTCTGAACCTAACACTAACAGTCCCCACTAAACCATATCCCTAAGCTCTACATCTAAACGTCTTTTGAAGACTTCCAGGGATGGTGACTCCACCACCTCCCTGGGCAGCCCGTTCCAGTGCCTCACAACCCTTTCAGTAAAGAAATTCTTCCTAACATCTAACCTAAAACTCCACTGGCGTAACTTTAGCCCATTCCCCCTCGTCCTGTCACCAGGCACATGGGAGAACAGGCCAACCCCCACCTCTCTACAGCCTCCTTTAATGTACTTATACAGAGCAATAAGGTCACCCCTGAGCCTCCTCTTCTCTAGGCTGAACAAGCCCAGCTCCTTCAGCCGCTCCTCATAGGACTTGCTCTCCAGGCCCCTCACCAGCTTCATCGCCCTTCTTTGGACCCGCTCAAGCACCTCGATGTCCTTCTTGTAGCGAGGGGCCCAAAACTGAACACAGTACTCGAGGTGCGGCCTCACCAGAGAGGAACTTGAAAGCTCCTCACGTTACCTGGCTGCTGCTCGCTATCCACCTGTGGTAATACACAAACATTTCTCTGCAAAGGCTTAGAGCGCACACAAATGTTCTTACAGACACAAAGATCAGAAGTTGCAGCTGTAGGAAACGCGTGCAAGGAAGGTTACAGCAGAGCAGGCCATCACAGTGCAGCAGAATCACCTCTAAAAATCAGGCCAGTCTTTTCCTCCATACATGTGCATGTGGTTAAGAGCACAAACGAACTGGCACCGTGGTGGAATAGCAAACATTAAGGGTGACTCTTGGGTCTTGTGGCTCTTCCAGAGCTGTGCAGCCAAGTCCCCTCAGTGCTGTAGGGCAGATGTGGTCAGGGGGAGGTGAAACATCTCTCAGCTGAGGAATGATCAGCCTGGAGCCCAGAGCTTTCAGAGCATGGGCTGCTGCTCAGAATCCTTCCTGTTCCCTACACGGCATACACAAGACTGACACCTGAGGCAAACCAGAGCCTGTGTGCAGCACTCACCTGCAGCTTTGCTGTCACCTGCAGCGTACCTGTTACACGCCAGTCCTTGGGGGAGGATTTCCAGTTCAATGTCTGGGTCTGAAGCTGCTCTGTGCTTCACACCTTTCAGAACATGAAAATACCTTTTCTTGAATTTAGTGGTAGACAACACCTGAAAAGGACAGGATTATGCAGTGCATCATCCTGACCCCTTTGAAGAACATACGTGGGCTCATGATGCTCATCTGTCACTGCCCTCTGCCAGGCACGTGTGGGACCACAAAAGCAGCAGTCATGGCACTGGGCTGCTCCAGGACACCGGTGAGGCTCAGCTGACTTGGTTCACTTGAGACTGTGTAATAGCAAAACTTAACTTTGGTCCCTCTGACATGCCTGATGTACCTGCAGTAGGATGGAGGCTTGCTTAGTTTGTCTCTTGGTTTTGGTATCTGATCCTCACTGAGAATTGATTTGACCACTGAAGTGGTCTCAGGACCACCAAGTGAAGGTCTTGTGTTATGGCAGGACTATGTAAGGGAGACAGTCACATAAAGTGTGTTACTTACAAAGTGGTGCAGTCCATCACTAGCGGCAAAAATGATCTGTAAAAGCAAATAAATCAGGAGCCAACACTTTCAAGATATTAAAGGTTTCTGACGTTAGAGCAAAACATCTTCCTCTGGCCACCCCAACAGTTCTTTAATAATAATACCCTAAGCCACCTGAAGAAAAACTCCTTCCCGACCCCTTTTCTCTCCCTCCCTCCCTTCTTGCAGTTACCAACAGCAGCAGACTGAGGTGTCACTTTCCAGGGCAACATTTGGTTGCACAGAGGTGTAAGTTAGATCAAGTCCTGAGCAACCTCAAAGCCACAGAAGAATGAATGAATAAAGCAGCATCTAGCAAAAGCAAGCATTGAGAGTGGCAACTCCTACCTGCTCTGCTACAAAAAAAAATCCTTTTGTTAACATTAATATTTGGCAGCCGGTGTAGAACGCACAAGGGCATTTTAGTTGGGTTTTAAAGAAAGAAATTGACACAGAAAGAAGGCAATGATTTTTTTAATAGAGGATCTCTCTGGGGGGTTTGTGTTCATATCACCAATATTCACTTTATTACATTTTATGGAATGGAGTTTAAATGCCAGTATATACAAGCCAACATTTCATTATTGGAGTTTGTGTTTATTCACTTGCCATTGTCAGTCCATTCCCCTTTGTCTTTTTGTGCTGCTCTTTGTAAAATCTATGATTTATGAATATGTGGCTTAGGTCCTTCACAATATAGTGAGGTGGAGTGGTTCAATAAAAAGTTATTAAAGTAAAAAAAAATAAAAATCTATAGTTTGATGTGCTTTGCGCACCTTCTGTAGCAGGTCCCACTGCATGTGTGAGGCTGTAATACGAACTACATGCTGAGAGGCCTCTCAGCCAAAACTCCTGCTGACCAGCAGCCACTGCAGGCAATTACGGTTTTGCCTACAAAACTGGGGTTGCACCCTCACATTTATGAAAGATACATAGACTAAAAAGAGGGGAAAAAAATCTGCCATAAAACCTTCATTTTAAAATCCAGTAGCCTAAAGATACATAGCACCAAATGCCATTTGGTTCCCAAAGATTCGGTGTTTGCAGCGTGCAGCACATATTTAACTCATTTCTGTAACAGAGCTCTCAGTCCTGCTAGTTGACGAATGAGTACAGCCCACTGGCAGTCTCCATAGCCCACTTAGAACATGAACTGCTGCAGAAACTTAGTGTTTTTTTCAGCCTTAAATAGAGAGTAAAAGATTGATTTGGATCATCGCACCCTGGCTCCCCACGCATGGCTTTTTTCCCCAGCAGCACTGCTGACTCACCGCAGCTGCAGAGCCGTACAAACAGGGGACAAGAATTGGCCGCTCTTGTTTATGGCTGGCAAGGAACAAGAGCTGCTCACAAGGCACTCTCCAGGGTGAAGAGGAATCTATTTGTGAGGAAGACGTGGAGGTAGCAGAATCTGCTCAACTGCAGCACAACAGCAAACAGCACAACAGTAAGAGTAGGAGATGGATTACAAAACAGTTCTGCCGCCCCTACTTCCTGTTCCCAAATCTCCGAAAAAACACAGCTCTACCAACGAAGAGCCCCTCCACCTGCCTCAGGGATGGGTAACTTCAGCAAGTGAGGATTACCTCAGTGAGTCAGGCAGGCATTACGAACAGCGGGGCACAGAACCACGCTGCTGCCAGCAGCACTGAAATCACTGCTCTGGCACCGCAGCATCCCCGGGACAAGGAAGCGCCACGCACGGGAGCCCTTCCTCTGTGCACAGCACGCTGCTGCCTTTGGGTTCACTTCCTTGAACAGAGGAGCTATTGAGTCAGCCGCCATGATCCCTCTGTTGCTGTTATTTCTTGGAAACAAAGAACAACATCTATAATCCTACATCCTCTTAGAAACCAGAAGGTTCCAACCTACTCCAGGTTACCAGGATAATTTTGCCGCCTCTTGTAGTCTGTGTCCTGCCACATGCAGTCCTGTACGCCCATCCCTGGCCAGATGAGAGGCTGGATGCTGGAGTGGAGAGCCAGCAAAAGCACAAGGGCCCAGCAGAGCCACTCAGCTGAACAAGCAAATGTCCAGCGTCAGTGTTGCTACTGCTGGAGCACAAAGGCTTTGCATTTAACATACCCCACGCGCTGTTCTGCTCCGTACCTCAGGAATCACAACAGAGCATTTTGTCCACGGCAGATTCACTGAGGTCTGATACCTAGAGGCTCGCTGGCAGGATCCCTCTCCCACCAGAGTGGGAGAACAACGCAATCTGTTTCTACTAAAAATATAAATAATAAGCCCAATAAAACACATTGACCAACATAAAAAACAATGGAAAAAGCAATTTGGAGTAGTGGTCCACATTGCTGGGGTTCTGAATTGTGAAATAACCAATAATTCTGTGCATTTTGTTTCTCAAGACACGTTTGATTTTCTCATGAGTTTTCATGGTCAAGTCACTGCAGTTAATATTGTCACTCGAAATCTCAATACTTGTAAAACTGATTTTCCGCTTGTAGCTGGCGATGGAGCTGTTGAAGATGTTAGCGATGTTGACTTCTTCCATTTCTTTAGTGAGTTCATTTGCAGGCCCCTAAGAAACAAGAGCATTCAGTTACAGGGTTTGGCCTCCCCTGTAGAAGAAGAGTGCTTACCCACTAAGAGACCGTATGGATGAAGATACAAGCACAATGCTTCATGCATATTCACCAAAAAAACAGTGTGTAAACTGGCCTTCCTGCTGCTGCCTAATTTTGAAAGTGCCCAAGTCCCAGAGGTGCCTGTTTCCATACTGTATTTATAGAGATCTTGAGTTCTTTGAACAAGTCTCATTCTTGATGTCACTGAGCACCCCACTGTTAATCTTCTGCAAGGTATCAGGCTGCCCTCACGTCTGCACGGTAACCAGGTGAGGAACTCACCAGGGATGTGGGATAGTTCTCCTCCTCCTGACAGGATTTGGACCCTTGATGACGACCAAGCTACAGTCATACTGGAATATTTAATTTCTGCCACTGAAGCAGATCACTTTGAACAATTCACTGTGGATCTAGGGCTATTTGTGATCACTGCTATGGCATTTGTAGCACAAAAACCCCTGATGTTTGGTGACAATTAGGAGAAGCAGCTGTTAACGGTACCCAGAGCAGGAAGACTACTGGTCTTATTCAGTTAATGAAGGACTAATTAGTGTTGATCCGAGTTAACTAGTTTTATGAAGGTAGGTCAGACATTACCTCCTGAGGTGTTTTCGCTGTACATTTCTGTGAGGAGCTGTAGTGAGCCACTGCATATTCCACCAGGGCACCAAAGATGAAGCTGAAGCAGATGCCAAGGTAAACATCGATGGCCTTAATGAAGCAGTTGGTTTTTGAGAGTGAACTTCGTGAGCCGATCATCAGAGTAGTCATGGAAAGCACTGTTGTTACACCTGGGAAAACAAAAAGGACAGACCTTCTCTTACAGACACTTAGGAAAAGACTTGGCCTGTCCTCTGTCCACATACCCAACAGAGGGTACACGGTGTCACCCGCTGCTGCTATACAAAAACAGCACGGCACCATTTAGCAGATCCAAATCATCCGTCAGCTGAATTGCTGTTGTAGCACTGACTACTAGCTCTGCAGAGGCTCTCCATGCCTTTAACAACTGGCTCATACTTCTTATACTTTCAATTAAAATGCAAATAAAAATGTCCCTCCACCAAAGCCTGAAACAAGCAACATGTGCTCTGTCCTCTACTGCGAGGCTAACAGGAGCCTTGGCCATACACAGCTCTGCAGGGGGCAAGTACGCCAGGCACCGAATCTCTTCCATGCTTCCTGCTGCTAACCTAGCCCTGCCACCAGTAAAAGCAGAACGTGAGCAGCAGCAGAGAACTCGAGCAAACTGCCTTCTGCCCTGCCATGGAGGCTCCCCTTCCCTGCCGACCTCTTCTCCCTCCCTCAGGCAGCAACTCACCAATGCAGGTCCGGGCAGGCACTGAATCCAGGGTGATCCAAAAAGAAACCCAGGACAACATGACAAGCAGAGTAGATGGCACATAGGTCTCCAAAATGAAATAAAGGATGTTTCTTCTCAGCTCAAACTGCAGGATCAGTCGTGGGTAACTGCCTGTTCACCAAAGGGAGAAACACAGCGAACGTGAGATTCCCAAGGACCCTCAAACTGAAATCGGGACCCCCCAGCACCAGACCTTCAGCTGATGGACATCAGCAGAGCCTCACTGAAATCATGACAGATGCATTATTTACAAAAGCTTGACTTCTTGCCTCAGAAACCTTTTGCATCTAACATATCCTAGACAAAGGATGTATAAACACCTGTATGTCTGTACATATACACAGAGTTGGCTGGCAGGAGATGCAACGTGTGGCCTGCAGTGGGGCTCCTGAACTTAATCCACAGTGGGAATATTTTATTCTAGCATTGTAGCTCAGGCTGGGGATGAGCTGATACTTTCTTCGATTCTCTTTTTCAGCACAATGCATTTTTTCCCAAGACCCACTTTGAAGAGGCACTGCCAAATTCATTCTTATCTGATGGCTGAGAAATAAACACAAGATTTTCTTTTGATTTCAGCAGGCTTTGGCTCATGTCCCAAAGCATCCCAGCATCTTATCATCACAGGGATTTATATTCCCTGTGTTCATTAGTAATTTGTGATCTTTGGTAACTGATCTTTGTATACTCTAAAAAAATTCAGTCCATTTTTTAAAATCAGTTTGTCATTATAGTGACATAAGTGTTCAGGGGCTGGATTGCAAGTATTTTCAGGAGATATTTCTGCTGCTTAAACAATAGCTCCCTTTGAAGTGTAGAAACAAAAACCGTGTTGTTCTTGGGCTGTGTACACTACAGTAAACAACAAAACATGATTATTCTTAAAACCTGGATCATTCTAAGGAAGATTTGTCCCTTTCCATAGTGATAGAAGAATATTTATGCTGAAAATTAAAAGGATGTTGAATTCTGATGAACACAGGGATCTTAATCCATCAAAAACATGACAGAACTGTCATTTAGGAAAAAAAAAAAGTATATTTAGAAAGTGAATTTTACTCCCAGTCACTGTAAACATGGCTCCTTGCAGTATTTATAGACTGCAGACCTGCAAGGAGGAGAGGGAGTATATTCAGGTGTGTGTAGAGAAAGAAATTGAGAATTTAAAGGAAAAAAACACAACAGATTAAGTGAATGTAGTATATTAAAAGATCCATCTTTCCATGGCTTCCCATCCTCCAGAATGCCCTGATTGCAAGTTGGATTTTACTGTCTTTCTGTCTGTCTCTTTGTGGGATTTGTTCAAGAGTTCCTTGATTCAGGCTTCTTGAGTCAAAAGATAGAGGTCCATAGAAGGAAGGAGGTGGGAGGGGAGATCCTTAAGAGAGCTTTACCTGCTTTTCTCTTTCACTGCTTTACCTGTCTCCTGCTGTGACTTCGAGACCAGGGTGTAGTAACGTTCCACTGTGTACTGAGAGAGCCGCAGCTTTTCTATGCCATGGACAGAGTCGTTTCCTCTCAGCCATGTAAAGGTGACATCATTTTCATCATATCCCCCTAAGGAGAACAGAGACCCATGTTACTGTGGTGAGCCAATAACTGCCAGGTGTTGCTGTGCCCTGCCTCCTGGCTAGGAGCAGAAATGGCACCTCTGCAGCCTGGGCTGGACAAAAGCCCTCTTCCCATGTCACACCAACAGGGGAATTTTCATTGCTCTATTTTCAGTCTGCCGGTTCAGATTTGGCTGGGAACATGGATCGCTGCAAGTGATGCAAAGAACCCATTTCAATCATTTGTATTGGGTATTCCAATTTTAAAATGTTTTCACATTTTTTGAAGATAATTTAATATTCCTGCCATCCCCAGATCAGTTACACACTGCAGGACAGAACTACTGCTGTGCTCAACCCTTGAGCATATTCTTCAGTCACGCAAGGTGACACACAAACACATCCAATGTTCAGGCGACCCTGAATTCCTGCCCCAAAACAATGGGACAGATGAGACCAACAGCTCAAGCAGTTATCCGTGACCTCCACGCGTGCAGGATGACAAATTGCCACCAGGCATGTAAATGATAGTGCTCCGTGACCTCAGGTTGGACTACAGGATACCTCAATGTGAGGGATAAAGCTTGTACTGTGTCACCAGCTAGCCATTCACTTCAAAATTTTCACTTAATTTAGTAAATAAGCCCATCAATCTCACTAATTTGATCCTTTTATTAAGTGCCGTTCTTTGAGAAAACGAGCAGGGACACGTTTATGCTGATAATGACCTGTTCATCCTGGTAGAAGGAATCAGATGCAGTTGCGGCTCTATTTTTATCTAATTGTGTTTTCTTATTAGACACAAATTACCAGAGTTTGAGTATGATGAACTTGTAAATTAGGTGTCCAGGGTATGAATCCCTGCGTAGAATCCTAAGCATGTGACTTTGCGAAGTTTCTAAACAGTTTTATAAATCGTGGTTACTCTGGAAAATTTTATAATAAATGATAGATTGTTGTTAATTCATCTGGCATATATTTAAATAGCATTATTTCTGGGCACTTATCCTAATGAAACCTCCAGTGGGCAATGTGCATGTAATTTCATTGGAATTATACAGCAAGTGAGCATGATGTAGGACCCAATCACTTTTAAAGCAGGCCCAAACAAGCTATTCTTTAGCAGAAGAGGCCAATCATTATTATTTCAGGAGCTATTCTTTGTAATAAAGTTAACCATGGTGAACTAATATGATTTTAATGTGAAAATAATATGTGCTTCCTTAGGTGCCTCATGCTGCAACCCCAGAAGTTTAATCTGGTCTTTTCAGCTCTGAGATCGTAGATGTTGCTTTTTGTGACACAAAGCAGGAGAAGGGAGCTTGCTTGTTGGGGAGCTTCACAGAGACGTAACAGCAGCACTGTTCTTGCTGAGCTCCTGTGTAAAGGCCATGTAGTACCCTAGCTTTTCTTGGGGTCTGTGCATTTACCTGTTAACAGTTCTCAGCCAACTTTGCTGTAGACGAATGTTTAATTTAGGAGCAGAATTCCTTGACTGTTCCTTTTTTTTTTTTTTTTTTTTTTTTGAGGCTTCCAAGCCTGAGACTCCTCCTGTTGATGAGGGTCCCTCCATCTCCATTACTGTAACAGACAGCTCTCGCAGACAGGGCTGGATTGGTTTGGGAGATACAACAGGATTAAGGTAAATGTGTGAAGTTGTTCTCTGCTCCATCCCATGCACTTATCCCCACAAGTTGCTTTTGAAGTTGTGTGCAAAAAGGACCAAATTTGGAAACCTAGCAGTTACTACTTAACCCTTTCTGTACAGAACTGAACTATTTAATTTACTCTTTGATGAAGATACTATTTATTACCACGTTTTTTCTCTAAGTATAAATTGCATAGTGACAGAAAAAAATTGAAACTCTGGATTACAACACAAGCATTTGAACAATGATCAAATAAAGTTGTTTTCTTTTGACCATTATTATTTACTGCTTCAGGAGGCCACCGTGATGAATGCAAATATTCAAAATATATTCAATATTTGAATATTGAAATATTCAAGATGTATACTTGCATACATTAGTCTTTGAATAAACAAATTTAAAGTCCTTTTTTTTTTTTTTCCTGGGGTGTTATACTTACAGCTCTCTAGCTGCAGTTTGCATGTTTGTGTGTCCATGGGATATTTTGACAGGTCCATGTTACAAGCAACAGTAGTAGTGATTCTGTAAGAAGAGAAAGAACTCTAAAGTTGCAATAAAAGCATGTAACAGAATATTTCTACTTCTCATAGCTTACTAGACCACGAGGATCCTGTTCCGTTTAGAAAATTTTGACCTACAAAATGAAAGGAATGCTACAGTCAGAGAGAACCCTCCTTAAGATATGCTCTCTACAGCCATACTGATGAAAATGTAACTGAAGGAGGATTTTTGCCTTGCTGTGGTGGGAGCCTCAGTGCAGATTAACATGTTTAACAAGTTACCCCTTGTCACCTGAGGCACAGCACCTAATGGTGCATAAACCTTGGCTTGCTTTGATGGGGAGGGTGAACAAGTGTGCTTATGGCAGCTTGCTTGCATTGAAGGTGACTGAGACACGCTCCGTTACCTCTAGCTAGGAAGATCTGAGGCTTGCTAACACATCACTGTGCGCTTTTTGCTAAAGGTAAGAAATGATGGCTGCGTGGCACTGGATAACGAAATAATTCCCCACCATCAGTTAAACTTTTACTGTTAAGCTGTCCTCTCTCCCTTCCTCTCCAGCCTCCATCTGACTCTACTTGCCTTGTCCCACATAACATCCAAACCTGGGAGCTTTCTGAGCAGACCCTGCTCTACGCAGCACGTGTCGTGTTGTGGAATCCTGCCGGCTCCTCAGCAGGAGTTTCCAGGTGGCCAAGACTTTGGGTACCAGATCAGTAGAGTACTGTCACAGTTGGCTTGTTGGCCCCAAGCTCATCGTTACCTCTGACAGTTGCTATCTGCTCCTGTCTAGCATAATTCTGGAAATCTATTCTGAGCCACTGCCACCAGTGAAGGCAAAGGTTGATTTACCTTAAGGCATACAGGATGGTACCATTAGAGAACAATCTTATGAGGCGGTTGCCCACAGTGACATCATGCAGGAAGGACCTTTTTGACTCCACGATGTACGTGTCTGGTACCCAGAGCAATTCCACTAGACGGGCATCCAGCGTGAAGCTCTTGTTGCCATGGAAGACTAACCGGGGATCTGTCCAGCGCTGCCGCAAATATATGGTAGCTGTGTAATCCTGGGGAAGAGAGAAAAAAAGGAGGCTGAGCATCCAGAACACCTGCATGGCATAAACTGTAGGCACATGCCATGTGTGACAAGACGCAGAACTCACAGTTGTTCAACCCGTCAAAGCTCAGCACCAAATGCATTGCAGTAAAACCAACAGATCTTCAACATTGTTTTATTTATTGTATTACATTTCCCATATACTAATGGGAAATAAGTATATATAAGAACTCTGATGTGTTCTGTATGAGAACTAGAGATTATATTCACAGTGCTTCAGTTTTATTTCATTGTGGTTTTAAAATTATTTTTATTTTGAAATGAGCAGTTATTGTAATTGATATTTCTGTGTCTGTTTTGCAGGTAAGAAAACAGATGGGAAGTGAAGATTTGAGGCCACTCAGCAAGTCACTGATATTAAAAACCAAACATTGTCTAGAGCTGGAAAATTATATGTGTGTTACATACATAATGAGAGACACATCTGGAAGAAATAAAGGTAAAAAAAATTCCAACCTGTTATTTGATAAGTAAGGTCAAAAAAAACAACACACGAAACTTGTAGCTTTTTTTTTTTTTTTAAACAGGACTTTGAATTGAAGTCATTAATTTGGCTTGAATTTAGCCTACCAAGATATATCTGCAGTGTCTGAAGTACTTGTATGTTGCCCCACCATAAAAGAACATGCAGTGCTCAGCTCTAAAGAGCCTCCTGGACAGAGACAGGACTCTGTTGTATTATTTTGCTTCCCTCCTTACAGATGCAGTAAATACAACCAGTAATGCCTTTTAATTTCAGAAGGCCTGGTGTTTGTGTAACAGCATGAATCTGCTGTGTTTTACCACAGATATACTGCTTGTTTGTGGTGGACACCGCAGTTCTGTTTCATTTAATCTGTAATTTGTAGGATGGTTTAACAGAAAAGGAGCTTTAACCTGAATGAGGAATTCTCAGCAATGTTTGAAATCAAGCTGTAACCAGAAGTGGAAGGAACCAGACTCATCAGTGGTGGGAAGATCATCTCTGTACATTTGAAAATTGTTGTTACTTTTTTTCCAGGGGGGATGACCAGTCCGTTGAGCCTCAGCCTGTCTCAGCTCAAAACCTCATTTCTCCTCCCTGAGGAGAGACGCTGGCTGTCTTCACACAGCACCAGCATGTCCAGCCGAGGCCAGCCCTACCCCACACAGAGGGCTGCTACGTGGAGGAAAAGGAAGGGAGAGGAAATTTCCAAGAGGCAATCAGGTGTTTTTGTTGTTGTTATTTTGATTTTTATAAACCAGTAGGACTTTTGGGGTCATCACTTTTTACTTAGAAGCCCACATTATTATGGCATCTATGTAGTCTGCAACCATAAGCAACCCTTCTTTTCCTCACACCCCTGAAAGTGGTCAGACACAGGCAAGCAAAGCAGCTGGAATATGACAGTTTCTGTGCTGAACATATGGTAACATAACGAGTCTCTCAGGCAGATCCCATTCTCCTCTCTTACAAAACACAAATTATTTCCCTTACCATGTCACTCTCCGATATGCTAGAAATACTGGCAATGTCCAGGCTCATTGCGATTTGAACAGGTTCTCCTGGGGAGGGAAAGGAAAGCTTAAGCAGAGAACAGAACCGGTCAGGATGCCGCAGTGTGGGCGCTGCTCCCAGCTTCCCACACACACGACATTATCTCTAAAACTGCAGAAGCCCAAAGGGCTAGACACAGTTTCAAAGCACTGTGCTCACAAATGACTTTATCGTCCAAAATGAAGCTGTTGCTGTTAGGGAATTGGAGTTCTGTATTTGGTGACGGTACCAGACTGCAAATATCCATCGCCATTAGCCGTTTAAATGAGGAGCATTTCAGTGGCATTTGCCAACGGGAAGCCAAAGCCAGTTTATTCCTTGTTACCCAGTGCACAATGTTTGCACAGTGGAGGAACAGCAAGCACTGCACAATTTGTTTCACACATGCAGCCCTCTGAGGACTCTCCACAAGCAGGTGTCCACCAGCATCCCTGTTCCTCAGCAAGGAAAACCACAAGTCAGAAAAATTCAGTGATTCCTGAGACCACGTACGGGGTTACAAATGATAAATGCAACAGTCTTGGCCTTTTTGTTATACTGCTGTTTTAATTACGAGCAAATTTTCAGCATTCAAATCCTAATCCTGGTACTTAGCCCCTATTTTCTATTATTAACTCTTAAAATCCACCACAAGAGGGCAGCTGCTCCCCAGGAAATGACTGGAGAGCACTCACCAGGTCCTGCAATGGGCTGGGTGAACAGGTGGCTCTGAAAGAGGGTCATTACTATACAAGCAGAAAGACACAGCCTGTCCCTTAGGTTGGGCCCCATTTGTTTAATCCCAGCGGCTCCAGCATGACTTTGGGGCCCAAAGATCTGAGCCTGTCCCGTGGAGCACACGGTCACTGCTGTGCTGCTGCACACAGAGCTGCCAGCAGTAGGGCCTGGTGCTTTCCACAACTGCCCTTGCCCAGGTGGTAACACAGCAGAGCCGTCTTTGTGGGACTTGCTGAAACTCCTTTTCATCATCTCTAAGTCACCTGTAGGGAAAACTACAGGACACTTTCTTCTAAATCTCTTTCCAGGTTAGAAGGGTTTGTGTTTTTGTTGTTTTCTGAAGTGTTCCAAACTCCACAATGTATTTCATTTACTTAAGATACATATTTTTTTCAGGTAGCTGTCATTTACATACTTCCATCTTGTTTTTAGATATTTAGACACTTGCCACTAAAATTAATGACCAGAGGGTGGAACTGTGAGGACTTGGGGACGCTGGAGGAGGTCAAACATGAGTTACAACCACTTTTGTTTAATGGTTATAGGAGGCATAGTCTGGCATAGATGGCTGTTAAGCAATTCAGAAGCATCTGCTCACTTATATGACGGGCTCTAATAGAGCTTTTCTATTCCTGCATGAGACGTTTTGGGTATAACAAGCGGCTAAATTCTGTCTTGTCCCAGAAATTTATCACCATGGTCAGAAAAAAGGAAGGGGCTCAAAGCTGCCAGCAGCAGAAGGTCAGTCTGCAGGAGCTACAGTGGAAAAACATGCAGCTCCTGGAGGAAGCTGATGGGGAATTTTTCTACTGAGCTTTGTTTCAGTAACAGGTTCTGGCAGACAAGCAGAATTTATCAAAATTTTCATAGCTTTTTTTTAAGCTTTAATCAATATTTTTCAGGTGCTGAATGCCATTCTGAAACCCGTTGCTCCAAGTGGTTGCAGCATTTACCTGGGAGGTGGGAGACCTGACACCTAAGCCAAACAGCCTCGGGTGAGTTCCTAAATAACTGACTGTCCTCCAGGTGCTCACTCCCTGGAGTTTCACAAGGGTTTAAAGTAGGTTTAGTTTGTGTCCTAGTGTGAAGTGAAAGCACTTGTCAAAAAGGCATTATTTCTGGAAAGGAGAATGACTTATTCCTCACTGTCTACTAAATAAATGTGCGCGCACAAAAATAAAGCAGAAAATCACAAGGGGTAGACCCTAAGCAAAAGCATGCACAGTTAGTGCAGAATTTATTTACTGTCAGATCTTTCACAGGGGTGCTGAAGTTTTTATAAATTCCACGTTCTTCATAGATGGACACATTCTCATGCCCTGTATGTGCATGTGTGCACAACATATTCAAGACAACACTGGATGCACAGGGAGGAGGGCAGCTTTGGCTATGAGCTAATTTAAAAGGGACACAACCTCTTAAACGAGGGCACGCTAATGAAAGCTGAGAGCATGCTCACCCCTCCACACGAGCATTACAGACCATTCTTCAGACAATAAAATGCAGAGAGCCAACGTACCACCAAAGTAGGGCCTGAGGTATTTGTTGTATCCCACGGTGAGGTTCTCAAATCCAGGGAGGGATGTTGTGTCGCTGCTGCCCAGGTTGGATGCATGACCCAGCGAGCACCTCCTGGGGACACAAATAATGTCCTGTTACATGGGGCCAACCACACTGGGCACAGCAGGTGTGCAGCTGCTTTCCCAGCTTGTGCTCAAACAATCAAACTGCATAAAATGCTTACTAAAAATAAGTAACTAATTGAAATCATGAGCACTTAGTCACATTACTTAACTTGGCTGAATAATTAAAACCTTAAAGGGATGGGAATATAGCAAATTACCTCAACAAGTAACCACAGGGTTCAGACACCGAGGCTTAAGGTCATTCTTTAAATGTCCCAGAGAAGTCAAGCAAGGTCAGTATATCACCGAGTTACTAATCACCTGTAATCTCTCCCTTCCCATTCCCCCTCATAAAATGTATATACAGAACATTTCATTTTTTTCCTCCTGCTTATGACAGCCTGAGACAAATCTTACCGCCCAACAGCTCCTCCCTCCTAATCACTGTTACCCTAAACAAGCTTTCATCCTCATTTGTTAGTGTCAGGCAGCATCTCTACAGCTGCCATCAGGAGTAAAATCCCTGAGTACATTGGAAGGGGAGAGGTAAGGCAGTGAGCACCTCATAGACATGAGGAAAGTTTTGTGAGCTTGACTTCCCCAACTCTGTGCACACAGAGGGTTCAACCCCAATTTACTATTACAAGGTCAAAATTAACGTTTTGTGGACAGACAATACAGCTAGTACCTGGCATTGTGAGGTTCACAGAGCTGTACCATCGTATCAATAGGCTAGAGAAACAGGATTTGGGGACCATAAAAAGGTGAGTTTTATGGTGCAGCATCCCTGGGCACTGTGTTCATGTGCTCACTTGATGGAAATGTGAGTGACCTGTTGAGTTTGTTAGTGCTCTGTGAAGGGCTGAAGGAGGAGCCGTCTCTCTCCCCAGTCTCAAACTGCTTTAAAGCTGAGTTAATGGTCCTTGGAGCTTTGCTGCAGGTTTTAGACCAAAACCTAACAGCAGAACTGAGCAGTTACTGCTTAGCATAAACTGTGTGAGAGCCTTTAGGACTTGAACACAGTCCAGGGATGGCAATAACTCAGCTGGGAGGCACGGGGGGAGGCGTTTCCAGCAAAACCAGCAGACTTTCCTGCTCTTGAACAGGGAAAGAGGAGTTGCACTGTCAACACAGATTGTATTTTGGGGACCCGTGCAGGTTGCTGTTCGAGCACCCAGCTTTCTTTGGATGGGCTGGAAAACTGGATGCATAATTTCCTTTTTGGCCACAGTATTTATATTAAACATAATTCAGATGACCTGTACAGCAAAATAAACGCTCCAGTTACCTTTGGGTTGGGAGGAAAAGCCACAGACTGAAGAAGCAAAAATATCTGCAGAACATCTCTGGAGATTATTTCAGTATTTGCGCTGCTCTTCTGTGAAACAGAAAATTAAAATTTTGTGCTTTGAGGAAAACTGTTTTAAGGGAAGGGGACAGGGAAAAGAAACGCTGCACAGAGACAGAACCCCACAATGACATTGAACTTTCTCAGCACATCGTGACACCTGCCCTTTCTTTCTATCTTGTGTTGTTTCTCAGCACCATGCTATCTTAACACTTACCAGGCAAAAGACACTAGTGACAACTCAGCTCCTAAGGTCCTTCACAGGGTGACCAGATTTTAGCTACCGCTTTGTTTTAGAAGGGGATTTTCTTTCAGCATGGGTTGGTGATTAGCTAACATTGAGAGTAACACCATAGAGAAAAGATTTATTAAATAGAGAAGTAGTTAGGAAGTTCCTAAAGCTAATCGCACTCTGAAGCCATGAGAAATCTTTCCCACATGACAGATTCAGCATCTCATGGTTGCATGCTCCACTAATCACCTACCCAGAAATGTTGTAGCTTTGCACTCCATTAGCTCATACCTGGGGTAAACCCACGCTATTAATAGTAATGTTGGCAAGTCACTCAGCATGCAGTACAGGATGAAATCATTCTACTTCAAATGGGTTTCGTTGACTTTTCTGGGAGTGGAACCGAATCCTGGCTTCTGGCCTGAGACTCCCACAGGCTTGTGCTGGCCTTGGAGCTGGCACCACGATGGGAACACTACCCAAACTCTGCACCGCTCAGCACCGCTGCTCTGCCTGAAGTGCTGCAGTCACACATCTTACTGGGGGCACCAACAGCTCTGCCACTCGCCTGTTGGTGTTCCCACAGCAAGCTGCTGCAGGAATGGGCTGGTGAGGATACTGGAGATACTGAGCTGCTTGACCTGCTCCACTGTTATTTGAAGTGTATCCTGTGTGTCAGAGACCTGCAGATACCGGCAAAGCACCGTCATTCTCGGATGGGCAGGAGCTTTCCTCCTGATTGTGCTGTTACAAATTGGGAATGACAATGCGAGTCATTAGTCCCTGTGCCCCGACACTGGTGAAAGCACAATCACAGGTTCAGATTCTGTGTCCTCCTCCTCATGCATGGCAGTGAGCACCTCAGCTTCAAGCTCAGCTATTCCACAGTAACCCGAGTATGAGACATTTTCTGCTTGGGTTAGGTCCTTCCTGTGGGGGTAGTTCACCACTGCCCAGAGGACACGCTGCCCTGGTGCTGTGCCATGGGACAGCAGTGCTCCAGGGGAGCGGGACATCTTCACCCTGAGCATTCAGGCACCACAAATGCAGGGCCTTGCAATGAGAATCCCACTGCAGAAAGACAGGAAGCTTTTCAAAATGAAATATGCTGTAATATCTATCTAATGTCCAAATTCCTAACAAGCCTTTTTGCTTTCTGCCTGAACATGGTGTTCAGATGCTTCCAGATGTTACCAAGGGCTCCTTGCTGTAACAATCATATAAGGCTAGAGAAATCATCTGCCTGCTTACACAGCATAAGGCCACAATTTTGATGAGAAAGAAGAATCAGTCCCATTAAAAGAACTTAAGACAGACAGGATAATGCTATAAAGTATCATTTGGTCAAAATATGGAAATTTATGAATTTCAGCTGAGGGACCCTTCATTAACATCCATTTTGCAAAGGAGCTGTAGTTGCTTTCATTTTTGTGCATCGGTTTCTAAACAATTTTATTGCATCTGGTCCTAGTTACTAAGACCTTATTTTGAAGAAAGCAAGCTAAACTCTATTTATTTTGATGGCTAGTGGATGGAGACCTCATAAGTAGTAAAAAGTTGTCTTAACAACCCTGTTGTGCCACCAGTTAGAAAAACGAAACACACAGTGCAACCCGTTATCTAGCAAAGGCAGCGGAAACAAAGCAACTTGGATAAATTTATAGCTGCTGCTGCTGCCACAGACCTGAGCTAAACAATCTCCATTTCTCTGTGCCTCTGCTAATTCTCCACAGAACAAGGAAAATCTTTTCTCCTTCTTCAGAGCACGGCTGTGAAGGGAAGTATATCAAAGGCTGGGAGGCAGAGAAAGGGTGCTCTGTAAGTACCCGAGAGCTAGAAACTCAGCATCCTGAAGTACTCAATGGCAAGAAAAAGGTGACAGCAGTGCCCAGAACTGAACATAACCAAAGCATTTCTTAGCTATTTATTGAAATAGCGAGAGACAGAGGAGTGCCCAAACTGTGAGACTGTGCTTTTTGTTGAAGCCCAAGAATGACAGCAGATCTGCTCCATCCCCTAATTCTGAAGGGCTGAGAGGAGTGAAAACACGAGAGGAGGAAAGCCACGGGCAGGTGCAGTAATTCTGTTCATAGGGAACAGAGCGAGAGGTAACAGATGTACACCACCACCTGATGGGGCCCCAAGAGGTATCCAGGCTCCTCCGAGCTGCTGCCCACGTCACCCTTGGTGCTGGGCTCCTGCACACCCAGCAGCACAGCGCAGCCCCACGTCACCTCCCACCTCACAGCTGGGAGTGCTGCCTGCATCTCACTCAGAGCAGGAGATGAGCACGTTCTCTGATACCCTCGTGGCAAATGGCATCCCAACGCCAGGCAAAAGGAGCTGTTGCAAGGATCTAGAAAGCCACCCAGAAAAGCAGCCCCATATGATCAGCTGCTAAGCATCAGGTGGCAATTCACAAGGTTTCCTCAAGCCACACTGCTACAAACTGCAGAAGCTGCCACACAGGCACATGTGCAGAGAATAAAAGCTGTTGAGGGAAGACAGAAGAAATAAATGCAGAAATAAAAACGTTGCATTTACTTTGCCCATTTAGGTGCTGCCTCTATTTATCAGGAAAATTTTCCTGATGAACTTGGGCATAACCTGCCTGTTGCATTTCCTTCACTCCGCAGGACACGCCGTGACAAGCAGCTTGTGCTGCTGGCAGCCCGAGGGCACCCTGTGTCCTTCCCCTGTGCTCCCCACACAGACCCTGCAGCACCCGGACACCCTCACACCTGAAGCCTCAGCCTGCCAGAACCAAACACAAGCAAGCCCACATCTGAAATGTCAGGACAGCCAGTTTCACTCCTGGGCTTTCATTCCCAGGCCAAGGTTTGAGGCACGTCCTGTCAGGACTCTTCTGTCTTGGCCACAGAGAGACGTGGATCGTTTGGCTTTGCCTTTGCTCTCCTGAAGAAAACCCCAGAGTGCAACCCAGGCCGCAGTTTCAGCACCTCTTTTGCCCATCTGTGGTCAGCGCAGCCAGCAGATGGGAACTGTGCTGCACACAGGCCGGACAGCCAGCGACTGCCTTTTTGTTCCCTGTATTCTCTCAAGGGATTAATGTTCCAGGGAAAGGCACCACTGTACCACCACCACCGGGAGTTTCCAGCTTCACGACTGCCACGTGGCTGCACCATCCCGTGCTGAGCTTTCTTTGGCCACTGGCACGAATGCAGTTGCTAAACACAATTACAGGCTGATGCACGAAGCAAACAGCACCACGTACCCTGGGATCAGACCTAACTGGCTTTGTAGAAACCAAGAATTCACATCAAGGTCAGCACGTTTATCTAGGCATGGTTTTGAGTGACTGAAGCCAAATTTATTTATTTCCTTCTTTGCCCTGCCCAGCCTGAGTTACGAGCAGCTGTCGGATCCTGAGAAATGACTGCTTGGGGGATGTGGGTGGGCAGCGGCTGCTGTAAGGAAAGGTTCACGGCATGACCTGCTCTCTGCACAGCTGCTGCAGGAGTTGTGCATTCTCATGATTAAGAGCTGTTCAAATTTTAACTTACTGACCAAACAAATCATGAAAAGCTTTCAGTTTCAGTTCATTCAAAGTGATTTACCTCTCAAATTCCTCAGATTTAAAGTTTAACATGAAATAATTGTTTCTGCTTGTTGTTTTTAACTTGAAATTTTGTTCTTCCCAGAACAAAGTTTTAATTTTTCATGTTAAAAATCTATTTTGGGAGCCCAGGAGAAAACGTGGAGCTGCTACAAAGAAGAAAGCAGAGTTAACAGGAAAACAATTGTGTGTTGTATTTTTCTGCAAGCCACTCTTACTGGAAACTCTAAGTTATTTGACACTAAAGTCAAATTACACAAAATCAATCCTATTGTTACAGAACTAAAAAGTTAGTGGGATGCTGTCACATGCCAGCAGATACAGGAGCTCAGACCTCAGCTGGCCAGGACAAAAGGAGACAGAAGAGCTGGGTGCAAGAAAAAGGGGGTTGGAGGACCTGCAAACAGCACCAGTACTGGCAAGTGGGTAATACCAAAATGAACTTTCTAACCTTTTAGCTTTAAAATATTTTTGCTTTTAGTATTTTCCAAATAAAACAAGTCATTGAGAAAAGAGTTTAAGTGTTAAGCAAGAGGAAGCAGAACAAAGAATATTTTCTTAAGCCTTTCATGTTTCAGTATTCTGTCAAAATCTGAGTTTTTCTTTTTCCTGATCTGAACTTTTTTTTTTGTCCTGCTGATTTCTGTTTGAAGAACTCTAATTTCAGCCACTTTGCTGATACCTGGACCAAGTCCAGGAGATCATTACTGTCCCGGTGTCTGCCTGGAAGAGCAGGAGGTGGGCTTTGAAGCAGATATGGCAGCCCAGGCCCAGCAAGGCACGTGCTGGCTGGGGCAGGGAGTGACCCTGGCACGGAGAGCTGGCTGCTCAGGGCCGGATGCCGCCCATTGCATTCTGCTTTTTGCTTTTCATTTGCCTTGAGTGGTTATCTGGAGTCACGGGCAGGTAATCAGGCAACTTTATGGTACCCACAGAAATCCTTCAAGAACTTCTGTGAACTTTTGCTCTTGGTAAAAGAGAAAAAAAAAAAAAAAAAAAAAAAAAAAGAAAAGGTAGATTCTTTCCATCCATGTCACTGTCATTACATCACATGAAAAATGACCTCAGCTCCTGAAAAAGCAGGCACTGCCAAGGTGACTGGCTGAGGCTGTAGCGCATACCTACACATGTTCAAGGCAGTCCTTGCTGTACTTCAGTGCAGGGCAGACGCTCAGCACCTACGTATGGGTCTCAGCGGGCAATGGGCAGCAGCACCTGCACCAACAGGCCAACAGCAACCGCCCCCAGAGAGTCCCAGGCTGCATGACACATACCAACCAGGGTAATTTAAAAACAGAGAGCCCTCTCCTATGTGCTGGTACTGCGAGTAGCACACACATTTACGTGCCTTGACCTTATCTGTAGTACTCCTTTTAGTTTACGGCAGTATGAGAGAGGGGAAACAGTCCTGTTATCTATATGACACCCCCTCACCCCCATACGCTACAGGCCTGATTCCTGCCTTACTCATTCCACTGAAGATCAGAAGTAACTCCAAGATGCAAGTAGAGTTTACAGAAAATTAGATTCAGTCCTTTTGTAAGAGTGTTAAAACCACACCCAGGTAATGCATTTATGTTCTCAAGATGTAAACTCTCATCCTTCAAGCTGCTCTGAGAAGTGCCAGCTCATGCTCACATCTGCCCACCCAGCATGTACACAGGTCTGCCTGCAGCTTGCAGGGCTGAGTTCTTTAAATAAGTGCAGAAAGTCTTAAATCATATCAAAATGAAGGTTACTGAGATTTACTTACATGAAATGCTTCCTCCAAAATGTCGTTTGCCTTCTGTCTGGTCAATTCATTTACTCTAAACAAACACAATGGATGTAAAACTTCTAAGTCATTACCATTTTATACAGTAACTTAGCATGCTTGAGGCACCTTTTTCTCCTACAATGGATAGCTTAACTCAAGCTGTAATCTAAACTTGCCTGCAATTTTCAGTCTCCTGTGGCTGCAGGTCCGTGAGCTCACAGCTGTCTGTGCTCAGTCACATTGGGCAATTATTTCAGAGCACGGGTTTCATTCATTCGGCAAACCTGCCCCTCATTGCAGGCGGGGATCCAGGGCTGGGTGCAGAAAGTTCAACTTCCCTCCTCACAACAGGCACAGAGATCACAAGCCAAGCAACATTGCTTTCTATGATTTCGCTCTCTACTTGCCAACCCTGAAATAGTAACCCTATATATACGGTCCCTCCCACCTCAGCACTTCTGCTCGCTCAGTCTCCTCCATTGTGTATGTGCAGGTATTTGATGTGAGACATAATTATTCTTGTTCCTATCAGCTGAGACAAGCACGCACAGCATTAACTCCCTCGTGGGACACAAAATAATACACCCTTCCAAACTGTACATGCAAAGAAGTGGATAAAGGTCAGAGGATCTTCTTACACTAACAGTAAATAAAGCAAAACAGGAAACAAAGGTAATTAGGGAAAGATTTTACACGTGAGCAGAACTTGATAATAATGAGACGGTGCCATTTAGACTGAAAGGAACTAGAGGGTCAGAATGATAAATGAATGGAGAGGAGATGCATCAGACAATTAATTTCTAATTAATCTCCCATTATATCAGACCAAGGGCTGTACCAGAAGGCTACAGCAGAAACACAGCCACAACGTCCACAGTCAACACGTGGAGCTGCTTCTTCCAAGCTAACAGGGATTCAAAAACACTGAATGGGTAAATGTAAAACCCAGATGTGCTGGGTGGTTTTGGGATTGCTTTCCTCAGTCATCTTCCACAGCCAGGACAAAGGGGAACTGCTTTGTTCCAGCACTTCCTTGGCCAGTCTCCATGGCGGAGCTGAGGCGTGCACTGCGGCAGGCCCATAGGGCAATTAAGCAACGACGTGATTTAGGTGAGCGAGTGCTACCTGCCCTGGCCCATCCCTCCGGGAGGAGAAGCAGGAGGGACTCGTTGACCTCTTGGAGGACAAAAGGAGCAAGAGAAGGACTCGCTTTCTTTTTAATTTGTCCTCGCTGAGCATCAGGCTCCTGCAAGCAGACGTGTCGCCGTGTGCCAAGCTGAGCAGCACCTTGCTGCAGGGAAAGGACCCAGCGTGGTCAAAGGGGGGGAGTGAGGACAAACAGAGCTGCCAGCGGCTCATTAATCGAGGGCTTGACAACACACTGATGAACAGGCATGTAGGAAAAAAAAATAGTGGATGGGGCCCCAAGGAGCACAGTTCAGACTTGAGCATTCATCTTACGTACATATCAGCCTGAATTTCTGTAGGGCAGTGAAATGCTCCTCTCCACAGTAAGTTTCAGGGAAAAAAACAGACATGTAATGTCTTGAAGGCCCCCACGGCCCATTTTTTCCTAACACATTTATTTTGCTGTTGCAGGCAGCACACTCAAAGCTGCCTTGTGACTGCGTTTCCTTCCATGCTGAAGTTCAGTTTTCTTCAATAAATGTCCAATGTCCACAGTGCTGCCATGGACATAGAAGCAGACTGCCAGCGTTTCTCTCAGAGCAGAATTTTGCTGTTTTAATAGATAAATACATTGCCTATTGCATGAAGAGGAACAACTCATACATGAGTAAATAAAACCTTACACTGGAGCCCAGTGAACACACTCCCAGCAGTGTAGGGAACCCTGCAGCTGTCTGTGCCAGGAGTCTCTGCACTTCAGGGTTACCCTAACGCCGCAGCCCGGTGGGATCACCTGGCTGCAGGGACATTTAGTGCTTCCCAGGAACGAGGCCCCTCAGAAGCTACCCCAGCCAACACACCACGAGGTGACAGCCTGGGACAGCGCCTCGGTGCCCTTCCAGGTTTCAGGCTCTTGGCAGCACTTTGCTCACGCTGCCGCCGTGACCTGGGGTGAGGGCGCCACCACCAAGCAGTGGGTGCTGCCAGCCCTTCCCTCGGGCACGCTGCCCCTAAAACAGTCTGGTCACGGTGCCTTTGTTAACCTCTTCTTAAAGACCTGTTCAATGCCATCTTTAATAGCGCAACATCCCATTCTATACAGCAATAAAACAAACAATGCTTTTAGTTCATTTTTTCCTCTTTTTAAATCATTCAAACAGCGTAAATGGTCCCCACTGCTAAGAACGGGGAAATACAGCCACCGAGAGACCCTGCAGACTCGCATCGTGTTATTTTTCCTCCTTATTTCCTTCATCCCCATTTGCCCAGACCCCGAAGCCACCTTGCAGTCAGCATGGCAAAGCAGCCCTGTGGCAGGCATCGGTCTACAGAGCAGCAGATTTATTTAAGATAATCCTTCATATGAGTGTTCATCAATAACTGCTAACCTACTCCCTTAAAGACACAGATCAATTGACACAGCATTATAATCCCTTAAAATATTAATGTCCTATCAGGGAGACAATTTCACTGGGCCTAGAGACTCTTCCATTATTAGAAATTATGCCCCAGCCTTAAATAAATTAACTCAATAAATGTCTTACCATGAATACAAATTCCTGCTTAGGGTTTGCAAATAAAATGATTTAGAGCTGTTCTCTAAGGAAAGATGAGGTGTTTAAACTTGCAAAAGAAGAAGGGCCACCATATTCATTGGTCTTTTGTTTCAAATTGACATTTCTTTCCCCCCCCCAACTGAAGGCGTCCCTTTCAGAAGGGAGGGGGAAGTCTCTGGAAAATTAATTTGCTACATTTTTCTTAGGCTGGGCTTTATGCTTTCGGTTCTGCAAACGTGCAGACCTGTGCTCAACCCCAATGGCAGCGCAGACCTCTAAGGGCAATCTGGATCCCTAAGCGAGGCTTGGCCCCAAGGCTGAGGTTTGGTGGTTTGGCCCCGCTGGTGTCCTGCAGCCATGAGGTCCTGCTGGTGCCAGGAGGGCACCGGGACTGCGCAGCGGGAGCTGAGGCAGCAGCAGAGCGGCACCTGGCAGCAGCTCACCCGGGGGCCAGAACTTGGCAAAGAAACACAGCGCGGTGCTGCCTGCACTGTGCCAGCCCCAGAGCATCCTCAGGGCGCAGCAGCAGCCCCACAAAGCCTTAACACTGCTTTTCCCAACTCCTGCAAGTAACCCGCTTGTTACTTACCAGGTGTTCCTTGGGTTATCTAGCCCCAAGTGTAACTTTGCCCTTCATGCCAAAGGTAGGCACCCGGCTGGCCTGCTGGGCTACTGTTTTCTCACCCAGCCTCAGGTCACCTAAGCTTCAGCCAAGGCCAGAGCACACCAAAACCACGAGGCCTGATGCAGCGCTGGTTAGCTCAGTGTGAGTCTGTCAGCCTGCGGCCCCCAAATGGCCACGTACGTGTGCCTGAAAAACCCCGCAGAGTTCAGAGGGTGACTGTTAACAACCTTTACAATTAATAAAGCTCCAGCCTTAGCAGGTGGTGTTGATTTCAACAAAACACGAAGCATGTAGCAGCCCATTAATCATCCCACGCCTCCTGTCAAAGCGTTTGCCCTCTTCATATTGATGAATTGACTGCAGCAACACAAAAGCCACACTGTCACATTTCATTAGAGCCGTATTTCACACCAGACTCTGTTTCAAGAAGAGTTTTCCAGCTCTGCATCCTTCTACAAATTCTGGAGCTGGTGAGATGAATCCAGAGCAGCAGCAGGGTAACATCTTGGCTGCCTGTTACACATACTCACACCATTTGGATCTCTGGCCACAGAGTTTTCATAGAAGTTTCACCCCCAAAGACGTTGCCTTTTCTGCCCACAATTGTACTGCTACAAACACATCACTTCAGGAACTGATTTTCTCAAACGAGCACCACCTGCTTTGCTCTGTCTGTGCTGTCCTTAGGGACGGGACAGCCCCAGACAGGTAGTCTGCGATGTCAGGAGTACCCCATGCTTGGTTATCTGCCTGCTGTCAGCTGCTGGGTGTCACTGCCTGCCTGCGGGATGTCCAAAGCCCCGTCCTGTGGCAGAAAGAGGCCTACCTCGATGGGTGCTGCAGTGATAAAGACAATCATAACACCTCCCAGAAGGATCTGCCTTAGCTCTGAACGCAGCATGCAGACATGCATATTCCTGTGACAATGCAGGTCTGCAGAAAACAACCTGAGACTTTATCTTCCCTGCAATATTTATCTTTTCTCTGTTCTCAGGTACCTGTTTAATAAGGTGTGCTTTGACAACCAGAGCCCTGTTGTTTCTGGGTTAAGAGCTCACGGGACCGTTTCTTGGTCTTGGCTTAACAGGACCAGGGCATCTCTTGAAAATGGATGCAACATTTTCAGCTCTTACGTTTCAATTTGTACATGCTAAACTACATCAAAAGTTCAGTCCCACACTGCCACTATGCACGTAAAAGACAAGTCAGGATGAAAAAGTGGCCACGTTGGTTCTACTTGAGTGAATCAGAAAGATTTGTGAAAGAGACCAAAGGTTCAACTTAGTTCTTTTGCCTTAGCTAAAGATGAAATTCTATCAAAAGCCATCTCCAGAGTCACTGTACACACAGGGAATTTACAGGAGGATCAGAGAGATCAGCTTTGGCAGCAGCCTTCTCCTTAGCGCTTCCTCTTTGAGGCACTGGGTCTGCACTCGTGGCTGATGCCTCAGTGAGCTGCTGTGCTGCTGCCAGGCCAGCAAAGCCTTCCTGCTGGGGAGCGGTACGTGCTGCAGCTCCCAACAACAGCATCTCAGTCAGCTCCTTAGCACCCTGAATGGTTTGGCCAAACGTAACCCACAGCTCACACGAGTGTGTGGGCAGGGCGAGGGCATGCAGCCCGCTCCCTCCTTCCCCTGCTCCTACACCACCAGGACAGGTGCCCACTGCAGCACCCGTGCTACCCCAGGGCCCTCAGACATCCAGCAGTGCCCGTGGGCAGCACACCCCAACCACTGCTCCCAGACCAGAACCACCCTGGTGGCCTCGGTTTCCCCACAAAGCTCCCATTGAGCAGTTGCACACAACCATCAGCTGCAGCTGCCTCCAACACGAGGCGGCAGGTACCGTGTGCTGGCCCCGCTGCCCAGCTCATGGGGTTGGGGCCAACCCACGCAGATACCATCAGCAAACAGCACGGGGTAAAATCATAAGTGATAAGAAGTTTCAAAGCAACGTGGCAAAAAGTACAGCTAGAGCAGTGACTTCCCTGCTCTGTGCAGCCCCGCAGCCCCTCGGGAGCACGGTGGGTGGGCAGCCACCCCTCCGAGCCCCTGCTGCCTCCTCCCTCCCAGCCCCAGCACCTGTGGGTTCTGGCTCCATCTCCAGCTGTCGGCTGGGCTCCACGCTGCCACGGCGCAGCCGGTGGTGATCCTCGCTGGAGCCGGCCCCTGATGCTCTGGGAGATTATTCCTTAATAGGCTGATCTCTGCGCTAGCGAAGGGCTGAGGAAGGGAGGAATCCATTATCAGCTCCGATCTGGCATTACGACATGTTTGCTGCTTCGGTTCTGCCTCCCAAAAGCAGAATTAATTGCTGGGCTAGAACACGCAGATAAATCAATCGGCTCCTGCCACATTTATTTTCGGTAGCTATGCGCCGGGCTCCCAGCAGCTTCAAAACAGAGACACCCACTCTTGCTGGGAAGAGAGGTGAAGGTCGGACTCCTGCCACCTGCCGAGAGCGGTGGCTGCCCAGCGTGCAGGGCAAGGCAGCAGCGTGGCCACGGCTGTGATGTGGAGCCAGGCAGCAGCACACCGGTGGTATTCCTGCCCCATCTCAGCGTGTAAGCATCAGGTCAGACCCACTGCATGACTTATCTTTGTAGCTTTTCTAAAGGAAGTGCTGGAAAGACAGGATAGAGAGAGGAGGCAGAAAACTGATATTGTGGAAAACAAATGTCATTTATACTGTAGGCTTATTTACAGCAAACTCTGGGACTTGACAACAGGTGTCTACAGCAACAAAGAAAATAAAACACTGAATCATAACCAGTATACTCTTCTTGGGTGAAATGATAAGGCAACACAACCTCAAACCGGACTCCTGCCTGAAAAATTCCTTCCTGCTCTGTGCCTTAGCTACCCAAAATGTGAAAAATGGAAATAACTGTTCGTGCTATCTGCCAGTGACCTTTAAAGACAAGGATGCACGGAAACACGCTTTGCTGCTGAGCTTCTCTTACTTTGGACTTGCAGCCTCCAGGATTTGTTCTTCCCTCTGGCACCCCCAGGCAGGACAGGCTCCCCATCCAGCTTTGGTGCGAGTCCAGCTGCCTGCAGATGCTGCCCCCAGCAGCACGGTGTCCGACTCCAGAAACCAGCTCGTGTGTGATAGAAGCAACAGGCCACATCTTGCCTTGCAGCCAGTATTTACAGCCCTTGTAACGTGTGGGCACTTTATGAGCAGAGACTGAATGGAGACGCAAGGCGCGGGGCTGTGGGACAGCCGCCTGTCAGTGACGTTGCCTCAGCCGATGCGTCCGCAAGAGCAGCCAGAGCCCGGGGCAGTCCCGAGCCAACCTCACGGCAGCCCGTGCCCAGTGCTCTGCTAAATCTTACCCAGCACTGCACATCATTTGTGGTGAGGCAGCTATCTGCTGTAAAACACCAGCCAGGTTCCAGCTACTCCTGGAGAAGCAATCGGTGCCAACAACAAACTCCCCATCACCAACAACGTCTTCTTCTTAACAAGACAAACGTGCCAAGTCTGCTGGTGCTGGAACCAAACAAATGTTTCACGTAGGAACAAAAAGGTTCTGGACTGGTACCAGGCATGTTTTTTTTTCCCCAACCCCAAGCCCCATGTAATTATTTCCATTATGATACTGCCTGTTGCAACCTGAAAACATGATTTTAATCTGTGTGCACATCAGCACCCAATGTTCATGCCTAGATTCTTGCACATCTTTCCAACTTCATTTTAAACATAAAGAATATGCTTTAAAAACAGGTCGGTGTAACCTCTTGTCAGATACAAGAATCAGTTTGGGAGCAGGTAACTAATTGGGCACAATTTCAGGCACACACTATTTTGTTATTGTCTCAAATTAATGCACAACTGTGGTTTAATCTTTGGCCAAAACTTTTACATGCCACAATGCCATTCCTTCCTCCTCACTCACTTATTAGATATGTATCTGGTCCGTAACAAGTGCCTCCAGCTAGCAAAGCTGGGCAGATATTTAAACTGGCACTAGATTAAGATCTGTTGGAAAGAATTGCTTATTTTTCCTTTGATAGTCTGAAATACACTCGCAGCAGATGAGATCAAGATGTACTTAATTAGATATCTGTAGTAAGCACCGGTTTCTGGTTTGCACGTTGATGAAAAGTAAAGTTATCTCCACTGGTGGTACATGTTTTTTGGAACTGTTTTGAACACCATAAACATAAAAGCTGCAGTGAAGGCTTAACTTTATTTAATTTTTAAATGAAGAACTTTCCCCACAAAGCACCTTTCCTTCCAAGGTGGGAAAGATAGCTTCAAGAAGAAACCAGAATGCTGAAATAGTTGGATGAACACATTAAATGAACACACTGCACAGATGCTTTATGTTTCCTCTCTCCAAAGACTGCACTTCCCAGGGGGATTCATCCCACACAGTGCCTCTGCTGAAGCAGCCCTAAAGCCCTGGGGGAGGCACGGATGCAGCAGGGACCCCACTGTACATCTACGTGTCTCACACAGCACTACGGTGACGTAGCCGATTGGAAACCTTTCTGTACATGTATTTCATTTCAGCCCGAACACTCACAGAGAAGTGATACACATAGATCCAGTGTTGTGCTGCTAAAGTGGCTGGATGTTGGTTATATGCGGACTTCTTGTACTATTTTCACCATTCAAAAATAATAATTCTTGCTCTATGTTAATTTTGAGCTGAGGAGTTACAGAGAGTGGAAGATACTAGATCCAGGTTATCCACGTAGGATATGAACGTAGCGATATGTGCTACCAGCAGACGAGTAAAAGCTGATAAATGTCTTACCTGAAGCTTTTGCTCACCGTTACACCCCAAGTCTCAGTCCTACAGCTGCTTGACTCTGGCGCAGCGAGCACGGGAAGTCATCAGGTGCACATTTGTCAGCTCTGTCAGGCCCACGTGTGCACGTTTGGTACCTCCTCAGAACGGACATCTCTGAAAACCTCAGAGAGCACTTGAATGATTTCCAAGATCAACTTCCAAGCAACAAGCATTTTCTGCTTTGGGGAGAACAAAATGTGATTGAAAATTGACCCTGATGTTTGCATGGGTTCACCATTATATTTAGCTTATGAAATAGTTGTGGTAGGTTTGCCATGAGAAAGACAGCTGGTAACCTAGAAGAGGTAAGGCTTAGCAGTCTGAAAATGCCCCAGCAATGGGCAGTGCAGAACAGAAACATATTTGTGTTTAAAAATAGCCTCAGTTGTTGTTAGAAGGTATTAAGCAATGCTTTTTGCCCTTAACAGCACAACATGGCAGTGAGGACAACGTAAAAGGCTAAGTGTTACCCTATGAATGAGGAAATATTGCTCTAGCTAACTTACTGGGGCTTGAGGTGAAACATGAATTTTGATGGGATGTAAAAGAGCTCCCAAAAATCGTGGGCTTTCTTCTGAGGATGTGAGCTGAGACTCTTCAAAGCCAAGTCTGAACGGTAGCACAACGCAGACCTTCCATTTCATTCCAGTGTTCACTGAAAGTGTCCACCTTTGGAGGAGATGATTTTGAGCACTGTGGAAAAAAGGAAAAGGAGAAAAGGTGTATATGATGGAGGTTTCCCAGAGGCATATGAACATGTTTTAAAGAGATTAAAAACATAAATAAAATAGCAAGCTTTCCTTCAAGTTTTGCATCTCAAAAAGTTAGAAGCCTTAACAGCATTTACCGTAGCTCAGAAGGTGCTACCTGCAGGGCTCCCTTCCCACTTCTGCATATCATGGAGCTCTGGGCTGGAGCCAGATCGATGCTCCTCGTGCATCTGCAGTAAAGCAGGTTTCAGGCTGCTCCTCGTCAGGGTCTTTCGTGATTATTTTAAACATGTCAGGGACATGTTATCTGCGTACCAGGGAATGCCCACACCAAACCAAAAGGAAATCGTAAAGAGGAGGAAAAAATCTGACATTTTCACTCATGATTATTTACAGTTTTGTTACTGTATTAAAGTAGCTCCAAGGCCTGGCACAAATAAAATAACAAGTTCTGTTACCAAAAATCTTTGAAACACGAGCTGACCTTACTTCTGTGTGATACTGATAACTATCTGACTAAGAGAAAATGCCCGGTGTCCTGAAAGGCCCTATAGCCTATTTACTGCTGCACCTCCAGTCAGGGCACATCATCACACACACCTGAAGAAGTTATGTGGGACTGGAAAAGTACTGACCAGTAAGTCATGTCCCCACGGGACCGTCAGCACCCAGGTGCCCTGCTGCAGCCTCAGCACATTCGAAGGGAATTGGTTTATGATAGGGCCACACATCTGCCCGCCAGGGAATGTGTGGACCATATCAAAAGGGAGCCTGCTAAGAGAAGGAAAAGGAAAAGAACCAACACCGTCACTCCTACAGTTATTTACAGTTCAATTCTATTACCACATTAAAGTACTTTAAACGAGTTTATTGCTACCTCACATCAAATGCCAAGCTGTCGGCACAGCACTGAAACACGGTGCTGTGGTGTGCGATGTACTTTAGTACTGGTACGTTAGTAGTGCTTTAATGGATGATCAAAGGGATCATTTGTAATGCTGGAACCTGTGCACAGGACTAACCATTTCCACAGTTTAAGACCTTACTACATTATAGTTGAATAAGCATGCTTGAAAAATATAATTTTTATCCTTACAAAACCAAGCGGGAAAGTTTTATAGCCAAAAATTTGATCTGAATGGAAGCATCTCCCTTACAGATGGCACAGAGATCTAAGCCTGTTTCTCTGAGTGTCAGGATTTAATCAGCAGAGCACCGATCTCTGGCAGCAGTCAGTATCTGGTGCCCCCTTCACAGGACGCCTCCACCACACTGTAGCCTGCGATGCTGAGACCTCAGAGCTTGTCAGACACCTGGAAAATACCTGTACCTGATTTGGTGAGGCCCTGCAAACCTGCCCACGCGCAGGGCAAGTCCTGGCAGCCCAGGCACACGCAGTGCTGTTCCTGTGCCACCCTGGGCTTCTGCAGCCAGCTTGGGTGCACTGTCATTGTGTCCTTCCAGGGAGCACGGGGAGAGCCCGGCTGGGGGTGTCTGCAGCCGCTGGGCAGACGAGACCTGAGCAAGACAAAACATTGTAATTAATTCCATCAATCATGCAAGGTGATACGAGGGGTGGCAGAGCATTTTCTGATCCCTGCAGTCTGGGCCCAGAGGCATCCCTACCCCTGCTGTTACTTTCTCAGCTATATATATCAGTAAGGTTAAAATCGTACCCATTAAAAAGAAAATCTGTATGGAGTAGTCAAAAAACAGAAGGAAGAGGAGCCAGGAAGCTGTCCTTTCATGCCAGCAGGCTTTAAGAGAAGCTTTAATACTTCAGTGGTGTATCTCAGATTGCTCAGCAAATCCCAACAGCACATGAAGACCTGAAATCAGTGCCTTTGCTGCACCACTCCTCCACAGGCTGTTTGCAATTTACATCTGAGCTTAAATGATGTATTTTCCAACGAGGGCAAGGACAAATCTGGATCTGTTCCAGAAACCTAAATACTGAAGTTCTGCCCTGGTATTTGAGCTTCAGTACAGGATTAGAACAAAGCAGGGACAATGTGCTCACCCTCCTCACTCTGGCCACAAAGAGGAGCACCTGCAGGAGCTCTTGGTAGAAGCTGCAGCCCCAGAGCATGTCGAGGGACAGCCAGATACCGATTCAGAAGTTCCTATCTGCACCAACTGCTGCAGAGCCCGTGCTCTCAACCAGGGAATCAGGTTCTCAGCCTGACCCCCAGCCTCCAAGGAAATGAAGACCTGACAACTGACACGGCATCACCGTGCCTGCATAGCTATTGCTGTCATCCTGCGCCTCTCCCACCTTTTTCCAGTGGAGTCCCGATTTAAAAAAAAGAAAAAAAAATCACAAATGCACCAGTCCCACCCCAGTTCCAAATCACCAGGTTAAAGCTGTGAGATAACCAAGCCGCGTATGTGTGTGCATGCCCAGCGCCTCCTTGGTACCACTCAAAAAGAAGCAGCTGCTGAGAGAAGCTACACCAGCACCCCCACCATCCCCAAAATGCACTCTGCAGTTTTTCTTTTATCCTGGGAACCCCGGTGAGCTGCAATCATCACTCGGA